AGATGTCTGTTAATTTGATATAAAAGCAAGGGATCCAAGGATTTGCCTGTATAGATTTTATTTCCTCGATAAATATATTACAATAACTCAAATCAAATAAACCAACTCACAATTCTAAGGTATTATTATTGATAGTTGACTAGTAGAAATTATCAGATTAATTGTACTTATGATCTCTTTGTTTGTTTGAGATTTGTTTGTTTTATTTAAAGCACATCCCAATTCAAACAGTCTTTTCTCAATGATTCTAGAGAAATCCATGTAAAACAGGGGTGATTCATCATATCATATGAATATTATTCACTTCTGCATACGGCTATGTGTCAAAATAATATAGAATGTTCTAGAATCTAGAATAATCTACAATATTTTATGACGTCAAGAGTTAGATTTAGTCTTGATGTCATTATTTACAAAATTATTGGTTAATTTGTTACAGTGTTCATGATAACATAAACAATAAAACCGACGACCTCTCTCGTGCTATGGGCCTCTCCCCGACCTTTGAGCCCCGTAAAATTCTTCCTATACTTTACCATTGCAAAATTTTCGGTGCTTATTTTAGGAGGGGTTTCGCGAGTTGGCGCCTGTAAAATAGGGTATTTGTTGCAAACCATTATTCTGATTCATAGCATTCAACAATCTGTTTTTCAGAGGTACCGGTAAAGAATTTTAGCATAGTCTATCACAGCTATTTCTACACTAATTTTTGATTACTGCGATTAAACTGGAACTTCTAAGAAGAAAAAGTGGTCATTGAATTATTTGATTTATATTTAAATTTCCGAAACACAACTGAAAACAAACAAATAGAATTTGAAAACGCGAAAACGAGGTAATGTTCCCTACCACGCCTGAAAAAAATCTGTCTGATTGAGAAAAGTATCTGAACGGATGTGATGTTACGTCACTTTTTGCATCTTGATGATTGGCCAATGTCACGAAGTAAAAAAGAAATCGATTCTCGGGGAATCATCCATTTTCTTGATATGCGGAAATCGGGAGTTTTTTGACATTACCGATGCTGTAAAAGAGGTACTCCCGAAGTATGTGAACCAAGAGGGCAAACACCGGAATGTAGTAAGTGTACCAGGTTAGGGTTAGGCCATAATTTCATTCCAATTTTCATTATTTTAGTTCTATCACTTGATCGGGGACTAGCCAAGTGACTTCCTTAATATTTGTACCTGGAATTGTGGCCTAACCCTTACCTGGTACATATACTACGTTCCGATGTCCACAATCTTGGTTCACATACTTCGGAAATACCGTAAAAGGTAAGGTAGACTACTGCTTCGCTTTGATCTTCGTGTTCAAATATTTGAGCATCGATGTCTTAATTCAATGGTGTAATTGAGCCATTCTGTCCTTTACTGAATTTATAAAGGCACTAATTTTTCTTATTCTCCTCTTACTATAATAGCTATAAAACATATAAAGAGTAATAAAATAATATATAATTACTGTACAATGTACATTAAACAATAGGTTTGGTTGTTCGATACAAGCGCGTTTATGTACTGTTCTGGACTAGTTGCGATTGCTGTTGACATGAAGGTCCTGGAGGACGGCTTAAAAGTTGTTCAAGTTGAGTTGAGACGTTGGCAGTGACGAGATAGGAGTGCGCGTTCCCATAGTGCTAAGATGACCTCAGCAACCAATGTTTTTATTATTTCGACTAATTTCAGGAATAAGTTGAAACACCTATACCCGTGTTTCTTTTTCTTTGTGTGCGGACCCCTTTTGGTTTGCCAATGTATAAGTCAGGGACTACAACAGCTCCAACTGTAATAAATGATAATTCTGAATAAGAAACAGATTTAATGCAAAATTGCCCCCACGCAATAAATTCACATGCTGGATTGCCAAAATAACTGCTCATAGTTGACATATCCCCAAGATCAAAAAATTTCAAATGCAAACTGTTTATATTCGGGCAATTTATCGCATACTGTATGTCCGAAGTTTACGTACTATTTTAGAAAAGTGCTTCATTTTACCGTAAGTCGATGCAAATGCGAGTTACGATGCTTAGGGATTTGTTCAAAAATAAATGTTTTTTTGATATATCAATTTTTTTGCCTGTTTTGTTTAAAATGGCTGTATTCTATTCTTTTTTGCTATAAACTTGTCAATTTTCGCCTTCTCAAGCTGTAGCGCAATGAGTCCGCACGGCGGTTGGCGGAGGAACACGCAAACGATAAGCAATTGCGTGAACCACCCTGCGACGGCGAGGAGTCCAGCTATCCTCACATCACTCATGGGATTTAAAACCAGTGCCGGGTAGGCTGAGACCCTCAAACCTTGAAAGCCTTAACAATCAATTTTAAATTGTTTAGAAATTGTGAACGTTCGTTCAAGAATAATGTCAGTTTGAAACTTTATAGATCTCGTATTTAGTTTAAAATCATTCCTAATATTTATCGTTCAAAAGAGTAAAGAAAGTTGAAATACGACCGAATAAATGAATTTCTATAACTTTGAACTTTATACCTTCAAACTTAAAAAACAAAGTATGGCTATTGAAATTTACTGAATAGCCTTTGACGTAATAAAGCCTTTATTTTACGAAAAAAAAAATGGTAATCCCGTGAACCTTAGTAAAGCCGGTTTCATGATTTTCTTGCCTTTTTTTACTCGAAAGGTTTACCTGATATCTCGGAAAAACATTCTCGTTAAGATCTCGTGAATTCGGTGGAAGTACTAACTTGCCGATAAAGTTACGCGATAAAAATGAAAGTCAAAGCAAGAAGTTTTTTACCATTTTTAAAATTATTTTTTAACAGCGTGTGAAGTTGCCAGAACGCGACATTTTGACGTAGTTTCACGGCGAAAATACAAAATATACAGAAACCAATTGATTTTAATGACACTATTTCAATTAGGGCAACTTTTTACACAAGAATAACTTCCGAATAACATAGTGGCTTGGGCATTACTTTATAAAACAATTGACAACAACATCACGTGTCACAACCACCATCAATTTATTTCTCAGCACAAACTCAATATTTATTTAACTGATGATGTGCGATGTTCTATCGGTTAAAACGTTAGCATCGAAGGTTACACATCTCGAGTTCAAGTACCCTGATATAATAAATTGGGTAATATTGGGTAAAAAGGTAGTAATAAATATTCGCAATAACTTTCTTCCTAAATGTATTATTTAATGATTGCCCAAACAATCATTTCATAATGCATTTTGGTAAAATGAAAACCAAAAAGGGTCTCCCGTTCTTTAAACTTTCATAGAAATCTGAAACCCTTCCTGCATACAGTTTTGACGAATTTTGTACATTTCCTCAGTTTTGCACATTTTTCATATTTATTCCTTTTTGTTGTTTTATATTTTAATGACCTACACTGGTATAGCTCAAATCCAAATCCTAACCTGATTCTCTGCAACTAGAAAAGTTTATTTAGGCAATATTGTTTTCATACGACATTTTCCCAAATATGAATGATCTTGAGACACAAAAGCACAGTCGTGTCCGGAAAATTCGCCGCTGGAAATTTCGCGTAGGAGATTTCGCCGAAGGAAATTTTGCCGCATAGGTGAATTCGCCGCATGATAAATTTCCTCAAGAGCATTTTGCTGTAAAACAAGTATTTGTGATAGCATGAAAAATCGGCGCAAGAGCATTTTGCTGTAAAACAAGTATTTGTGATGAAATCAATTAGGTTTATAGGGTTAGGGTATGCTCTTAAATAACGAATCTTTTTTAAAATAAACAGGGATTTCAAAAACCTGACTGCTTTTATCACAAATACTTGTTTTACAGCAAAATGCTCTTGCGGCGATTTTTTCTAAGCGGCGAAATTTCCTGCGGCGAGATTTTTTATGGCAAAATTTCCTGCGGCGGTTTTTCCTAGAACCATCACAGTAGGTATCGGTATCAGGATATCGGTGAGTTTACCCTAACTGTCCTAGCTTTTCCAGGCCCTTTAACAATGATTCATGTTTCCAGTTTTCACTTGAATTACAATAAATAATGATGCGAGCTACCAAATCTTTAACAGTTCCGGTACCGTACCCAATTAAAAAAAATCTTCCGACTTTTGCTAAACAAGAAATCCCATGACACGTGTTTGCGGAATCTCTACAAGTAATTTTTATTTCTGTTGACGTCACCACACAAAACGTCGAAGTGAAAAACGAATCCCATAAAACCCACGGAACTTGGAAATATATAAAAGTAATAGCCTTCTAGTGATAACAACAAACTTTAACCACCTAAAGCTATATTTCCAGTATGGATTATGTCACAACAACAGCATCAACAACTTGGCGAATATAACACAACAACGTAACAACAACAACATTTCGTGTCCACAAATAAAAGCGACAACGGTAAGTAGCGTTTATTTGTATCCGAACAACGATGTAAATAATTAAAAAAAATATTTGGAAAAACATATATTTTCCGTTTCTAGCTTCGCTCGGAATAACTATGGAGCTTTAATCATTTGATTTCCCTGTTTGCGAGAAAGTGATGACTGTGGTTTACTCACAGTTGTAATTATTGCGGCATTAACAATCACTCAGTAGGATATTATATACATATTTAGAGGGAGAGGAAAGCCGAAAAGACGGCTTAATCGTATGGCGAACCACGACGTCTTGTCCAGTTACAAGTCCGAGTTCGGTATGGGGTTAGTTAGGCAGTCATATGTTTCGGGAGCATGGACTAGATGGCGGAGGAAGCTGTTATCGACCAGCGGCTACGTGAACCACCCTACAGCGGCGAGGAGTTCAACAATCCTCTCACACATACCTATCCCGCATGGAATTTGGACATGCGAATCAAAGCAGAGTAATCACAGGTGCGGTGGCAGAGGTAACGCTTAGCGCGATGCGCACACAGCCGAGCCTGTTTTTGAATTTGGCAAACGTAAATTTCATGATTACTTCTATCATTTATTTGATTATTCATATTATTTATTTGAAATTCGAATCTGTTAGAGAACCTTTGCAGAAATTAAACAAAATTGGCATGGGATTTTATTTTGTATTTACAAGCAAACAAGAAAGCTTTACATACACAAATACAACAGATATTCAAAGCATGATATACACATTATACATAAAAAATGAATGAAGCAACGAGCTTTGTTTCAAACTCTCAGCAACTTCATCTTCCCTTTGATCCAGACTTCTTGTCAATCTAAAATTATATATGAAGTTATCATTTATAAAGCTTTGGCTAATTGTGACTGGAATAGTGTGTTGAAAATTCGTTTCATAAATTATCTAATTAACAAAAAAAATCCGTTTTCTTTTTGCATACCATCCTTGCAGGTACTCCCGTAGTATGCGAAGATGGCGGACACCGGAACGTAGTATGTGTACCAGGTTGGGGTTAGGCCATAATTTTATTCCAATTTTTCTTATTTTAGTTCTGTTACGAGTTCGGGGACTAGCCAAGTGACTCCCGTAGTATTTGTGCCTGAAATTATGGCCTAACCCTAACCTGGTACACATACTACGTTCCAGTGTCCGCCATCTTGGTTCGCATACTACGGAATACCTCCATGCAGTACGTTGACACCTCGGTCATATTTTACCGATCAATAAGAGGAAGAAGAATTATTTTCCATATAACTGCTTGGAGCTCCAGAAGTATGTGCACCAAGATGGCGCACAAACTGAACATAGTATGTGTACCAGGTTAGAGTTCAGATTGTGCGCCATCTTGGTGCACATACTTCGGGAGCGCCAACTGTTTTACATATCGAATAAAATTATATGTCTGTACAGATATAATTAATTTGTATTGAAAACTCATATACTAATCTTCGGAGAGAAATTTATTTTTATGCCATAAAATAGTGCATATAATGATGTTTGGATAGGAGTAATATAAAATAAAATAGTAAAACAACCTGTCGAAATTTCATGCATGCGGTTCAAAACATCTTTCAGTTCATTTGTTCTCTGACGTATGCTTTGACTTTCGATTTTCTACAAAATAAAAATAAAATAATGAACGCATATATATTTATATATATATACAGGGTGGTCGCTTGAAAAAAAGAAAATTTGTCAAACAGCTATTAATTTTTACGAAGAATAACTTTTACAAAATTTTTAAAGGCATATTTCACTTATAGATGATCAAAATGTCGTTCGAGCATTTCAGAGCATTGTCTTGACCTAGAAGTCCAAGCTTGTGTAGCGCTTCCAAGGTTAACTTGTGGGATATCGTTCCAATTTCACCTATACGCATTTTGTTCGTGACCTCGATCTGACCTTCAAATTTTCTGCTTTTCTACCGACCACCCGGTATATATACATTCATAGTGTTGTATCATACTGAAATGATAATACAAAAAATCGATTCCATTGTTTTCTGCCAAAGTAAAATATGTTTGAATGCCATTTTATTGTCGTTTATAAACATTTCATCTTTTTTCATCAATGAATATTAAATATGATCTTCATTCAAAAATTGAAATAAACATACTTTGTATGCTTTAACCCAATCCATAGCTGCTTGAGATTTTTTCAGAATTTTCTCTTGGTCACCAGGGCTTACACTGGTTGTGTCTTTTTGAACGATTTGCTTGATTTTGTAAACTAAATCCTCTAACTCGTTCTTTGCTGCACTCTTCTCTTTCCATTCCATATCTTCCATTCTGAATTTTTCCGCCGCAGCGATCTGTAAATACAGGATGTCCGTAAAACTTTCGCCCGAATATAAAGTCTTTATAATCAAATGATAATTTTTTTTCGAATTGTGAAGGTTGTAGTTTGCATTTGTCATACAATAAAATATATATAAACTTACAATCATTATTGTAAAATCGGGCAAAACTTTTTGGACACTCTGTATTATAGCATGTTTGGTGATTACTGAAATAAAAGTATAGACGGCAAAACGGAAATTATTCAGACAAGAAAGAAACTATGCACTCTGGGGACTGCGGTTAGGATGGGATAGAATTTACATATTTATCCCTGGGGAGAGGAAAGCCGATGCGACGTCAATACACGATTTCGACTTAGAATAGGATTTACATTTTGTCCCGAGGAGAGGAAAGCCGATACGACGGCTTAATGTCTTACAAAAGCTAAACTTGAAGACAATAAGTGTCAAAAATGATTTTAATCGCCATTTCAACAAATTTTCTGAGCTAATTTTTATACAAAACATCAAAACTTGATTTCATTTTGGTTTTCGCAGCACCAGGCGTACCAGACTGAATTACCCAAATGGCCGGATTTGGCCCGCGGGCCGTAGTTTGACCATGTCAGCTCTAAACTGCAGTTAGCTACACAGTCAGGATTTTGTTGAATAGGAAAAAATAAAGAAGAATATTAAATTACACTATTTAGTACATAATATATTTACTATGGTGGACTAAGTATAAAGTGGACTGTTGAATTTTTTGAACGCATTTATTTTCTGATAGAGTCATTTTTTTTATCATATTTACTATCTTCAAATAACTAATTATTAACAATTAGACATTCCGCAAAACAACACATATATTAAATTGCTCAGCTGACTCGTTATGTGCTCAACTGTGATGACCCTGGGAATAACATTAGCAAATGAACTAGCGATAAGTCTAACTTTATTTAATCACGACTTCAACAAGAAAAATTATTAGTATAAACAAACCATTTTTTCTATTTCATCCTTTGCCATCAGTTTCTCGTCATTAGTTATTTTTATTTTGTTTTCGCTGCCTGACTTTGGGTCGTAGGCTGTTACAATCAGAATTCCGGATCTGTCAATTTCAAAGACTGATTGAACGCTGGCAACGCCTCTCGGTGCAGGTGTAATTCCTCTTAATACAAATGTTCCAAGATGGTGATTGTCGTGAATGCAAGGTCTTTCACCTTCATACACCTAATAAGTGTAAAAATTTATTTTCAAAGTCAAAGAGACATTTATGAGACTTGACAGAGTTAACACAGTACAGAGTTTTTAAGATAAGTGTTTTATATAGGGTGTTTCCGTAAATTCCTCTTACAATTTGTTGTATTTTAATCATTAATCGTTTTGGTATTTTTACTTCATTTAATACACATGTGAGGGCCAAAACAAAATATGGTATCGATAAATTCTCTTTGTAATTTTAAGACTTTATGGGCACCCTGTATTTTTTTTAATTTGAAAAACTGTTTCACAAATATTTAATTCTTTCACAAAATATCTAAAATTGGATTTTGACCACATACGAGTTTTTTTATTTAGTTTAATCTGGTATGTTGGAGTAATTCCAATTCCTTTGCGTTGCAAAGCGAACAACGCATGTCTAAGATCAATGACCAAAATTTTGGTGCCTGCGACTACTAGTATGCCAATGTTAAAAGGTAAGGCCCGTGGTTTTACCCAGTTATTTGTATCTGGCCCTATTGTCATAAAGGTTGCACAGAACTGATTCAAATTAAAGAATTTATTTGAAGCAATTACTGTAGCATTTGAGCAATGACCCGAATCCTGAATGTAATATGACATAAATTACACAAACCTTGAAACTAAGAGCGGTTTGGTTGTCTGCAGAAGTTATGAAATTTTGCGTCATTCTTGTCGGAATCTTTGTATTTCTTGGAATAACAACAAACATATCCGACACTCCAACATCAGTTCCAATCGAGAGTGGAGTTACATCCAGGAGTTGGAAACGCTCTTTCTAAATAGGTAGGATTTACATATTTATCTCGATGGAGGGGAAAGCCGATACGACGGCTTAATTATATGGCGAACCACGGCCATTAGTCCGGTTACAGTCTATGTCTAGTATGGGATTAGTTAGCCAGTTATTTGTTTTATGGAAGAATGAACTAGATGGTGGAGGAATCCGTAACCGATCAGTGGTTACGTGAATCACCATACGGCGACGAGGAATCGAGCATTCTTCTAGAACATAGCGATCCCGCGTGGGATTTGAACTTGCGAACCAATGCAGGGTAATCAGAGGTGCAACGGCGAGTGTATTTCTAACGCTTAGCACAATGCACACCGCCGATTATTAAGGTTTGGTAATATGAAATAGATATGTTTCAAAATTATTAACCTACATTAATACAACGGAGCGATGCTCAAATATATGGAAACGAAACCCAAAGCGAAGAACTAGTCTGCCTTACCTTTAACAGTACCAGTAGCGTCAAAACGGTCGTCAGGCGGATGAAAAACCGTGTTCTCATTAATAAAAAATAATACAGCGAAATTTTGTATGAAATATCAGATCTCATAGGATTCATTGTAAATTCAGAAATAAACGAAAGTCATAACCTTCTCGAGAAAAATACAATCGTTAACCACCTAAAATTCCAAAGCAATTGGTTCAGTAGTTAAATGAGAAAATCGATTTTTTTTCTTACGGTAACAAGAAAAAAAGACTAACAACAACAAGATAATAACAAAATAATCCATATGTCCATTTCGTGTCCAATAATGTGATGTTATCCAATTGTATATTATTTTCATAGCAGTAATGCTTTTGATTTACCTGAACTAAAAAAAATTCACACCAAATGAAACGATTTTGGTGTCATTGTATAGTAAGAGACAGGACGCAAAAGCGTCTCTATTCGCGAGTAACTGAACATTATTTCAAAACATTATTCTGCGTCAAGTTAAGTGAAAACAATCCGTGATTAATTGCTTTCAACTTAAAATTACAATTTATTTGAAGGCATACAGTAAACATTCGTTAGATGACGCTAGCGCACACCTACCGAGTATTCGACACTTGTGCAACAATCTCACTTGACTGCTTTCATGAAGTAGTATTTGGATTTAACATTTGATGATATTAGAAATGACATCTCGTACGGAATTCTTAATGTTCGATTTGTCGGTATGCATGTCTGTGTGCCACTTTCCTACAATTATCACGAAGTCAAATCTATTGCATAATTTACAATAGTTATACAACTAGTTATAAATGGTTTTGATAAGAAAGGTATGCTCAATCAGTGCAAAGTGCCTCCACTTTCAAATTTGTGACTAACCACTTCAGATCCTCCTGAACTGATGTTTTCAGCTAATGCTGCAGCTCCATATGCTACTGCTTCGTCTGGGTTTATTTTTCTGCATATCTCTTTTCCCTCGAAGAAATCTTGCAGAAGTTTTCGAATTTTTGGAATCCGAGTTGACCCTCCTACAAGGACAATATCGTCAATCTAAAAAATTAAAAATCTATTGATTGATTTGACAAATATTACAAAAATCTATTTTGTACATATAAAGGTACTCCCGTAGTATGTGAACCAAGATGGCGAACACCGGTACGTAGTATGTGTACCAGATTAGGGTTAGGCCATAATTTGATTCCAATTTTTCTTATTTTAGTTCTATTACGAGTTTGGGAACTAGTCAAGTGACTCCCGTAGTATTTTAACCTAAAATTATGACCTAGCCCTAACCTGGTACAGATACTACGTTCTGGTGTCCGCCATCTTGGTTCACATACTACGGGAGCACCCATATAAATTAGTATCTTAGTTAAAAGATTTAACTCTTTGAACTCTGACGGCTCTGAGCGAAGTTACTCGCTCACCCTGAAGGTTCGCGGCGCCGTATTGGTAGAACAATAAAATAAGTCTAAATACTGGGTATTTGGCACGCTTATAACTTTTTACCAATTATAGGTAGCACGTTGTGTGACATTTCAATCGAAAGGAAATTTTATCGTGAATTCAGAATGTATTTTTCATTTTGAAATATATTTTGTCAAAATTAATAAAATTGACTCTAATCTAACAGTGATTTTTCTGCATGTAAGTGATTTATGGCTCCAAATTTAGTTATTTTTGTACAAAATATACTGCCTATAATTGATGTTCATAAAGAGTTCTTTATAAGCTTTTTGTTGATATTGGAATTATTATTGTGGCTGCCGTATAACCAATTTTATATTTAAATATCCAATTGTGTATCAGTGTGCCGGGTGGACAACTTCGATAAGCGGCCATAACGCACTGATTACGCAGCTACGCAAAAGCGGATCACGTGACTAACGTCATGAAGATGTTGATACGTACCTTCGAAACGTATTGCGTGGCAAAATGCGCAAGATAGCTTTCACGACGACGTTCACAGCGGGACATCGGTTGCCGAGTTTCGATATGATATTAACCCCGTATGGATTGAAGCACCGACGAAACACATGAAATAACATGCTCAGCAGCAGTGGAAGCTTATTATAATTCATTCATGGAAGGTACTGGTGAAAACGACCAGTTGACACGCTTACAAAAGTGCAGGAGGCATTATAAATGGCCAAGATGTTTAGTCATGAAGTTTTTCATGTGGGCGACCTACAATTCCTACGTCCTAATGAATTTTGTCAAACCTCACAATATGAGAGCAAAAAGGGTATTCACAATCCCTAATTTTCTAGAACAACTATTTGAAGATCCCGCTGGAAAAGGCAAGATGTTGACGAAAAAATGCAAGATTGTGCAGCCACAAGAATATTAAACATATATTAAAAGACTGCAACTAAACGTACGACACGACATATATAAACCGCGAAACGCCAGTTCTAATAATAGATGCGTCGTATGCAGAAAAATTCACAGTATTGCCAAAAAAGCCAATCCAGCTGCTAAAGACAAAGACTTGCCGAAACGATGCTATACAGTATATAAATGCAAATACTGTAAAGAGTACCTATGCATAGGTAACAAAACCAACAACCATCAGTATGAGTGGCACAACAAAGTTCAATATTGGATTTAGAATGTGTCTTTTATCTGCATAATATTTTCATGTTCTTCATTGTTCCGAGCACAACGAAGTGCAATATTCAATTTAAAAATTACCCCAACTTAATAAGGGCTTGAGCGGTCAGTCAACGCGTAGTGCGAATTTTGAATGCGTAAAATCGGGTTAATTGATTACTTTCTGCGGACATTTAAATAATAACATCTCGACGTAACGTAATTGCGGACATCGTCACGCTTTGTTGCATTTCCGTAATATACGTAAAGATGTGCGTGACGAGACGTAGCCTCGCTTCAATGAGAACGTCATTTTGACGCAGCGTCGCTGGTAAATCTACAGAAAATCAAACATATTTGGCCATGAAATTTGAATGGCCAGCAGGGTGAGAGAGCAAACTCGGACTGGCCGGTAAACCGGCCAGCAGGGTTCAAGAGGTTAAAAATATTATTCAAAGTACTTTGAGAAAATATGTTACCTTACCTGGTTTTTGTTCACTTTGGCATCAGAAAGAACATTTTTAACAGCAGTGAGCGTGCTATCAAACAGATCCGCATTCATGGCCTCAAATTTTGCTTGACTGATATTGCTTCTGAAGTCCAAGCCCATAAACAGTCCGTCAAGCTGAATTCTGGAAATTTCTATTTTGCATTAAATTTAGCAATATAGCTAAATATCCCCATTTTGGCGAATCTAACATGGAGGTATGTCTTCTGCCATTTGGATAATTTTTAGAATCTTTATACGACTTTGATTATTTGTTTATAATTTCATTTATAATTTTTCTGCTTACTTTGCACTGGTAGACACAGAAAGTTTTCGTTTTGCTGCTTCGCATGCCACTCTCAGTCGACTAACAGCTCGTTTGTTAGTTGACATATCAACTCCATGCTTATCACCGAACTCTTCAACAAAATGATCAACCATTCGATTATCAAAATCTTCACCTGTGTTGTAAATATTTTTTGTATTTAGATTATTTCGCATTCTTTTTAAACAAGAAAGCGATGCTCAAATAAATGATCATATGAGTCGTACCTACCAACTTACCTATCTACCTGTATCAATTAATCTCCTAGTTTCGCTTAGCGTCGCGTCAAATTGCAAAATCCGTCATGCTTGGCGGATTAAAAACAATGTTTCCATGAAAAATAAAAATATAGCGATTTTTTGAAGGAATATCAGATCTCATAGGATTCGAGAAAATTTACGAATAAAAAAAAGTAATACCCTTCTAGCAAAAAATACAACCATTGAATATTCGAAGCGATTGGTCCAATAGGTAACGAGAAAATTTTTTTTCCATACGGCCCCAACAAGAGGAAGAATACTAACAAGATGATCAACAACAAAATATGAAAACGATCCAAAGGTCCATTACGTGTCAAATAAATCGGAGGTTTAAGAGACAATCTGACGAAAGTGTGGTAGGATCAATATTATGTTTAATGGGAAATAATTTTTCTCTCAATTTGATATATAGTTGAATTTGAATTTGAATTCGAAAATATAGTTCCGTATCGGCATTGAACGAAGTTTTGTCTCAACTTAATAATACTGTTGTATTTACTTTAACATAAGAATCCAATATCTACTATTCAGCCTGACAAATACGCTCGAAATTTTAACATGTGATATAAATAGCAGAATTCCAAGAACTGAGATGTCTTTTTGTTTGCTCACTCTATAACAACTTATGTAAATACAGAAAATTTCACAAGCATTTACCAACTCACCTCCGAGATGAGTGTTCCCACCAGTTGCTTTGACATCAAATATTTGTTCCTCGATTGTTGCGATAGTTACATCGAATGTTCCGCCACCAAGATCAAAGATCAACACGGTTCGTTCCTCATTGCTCTAAAATATTTCCAAATAGATATTTATTAATACCAAGAGTAAATTTTCAATCAAGTACGTATGAAACTTATAATCAGTGGTTTTCAAACTTTTTAAGCCGCGCCCCATTTTTAGAATTTGTCAAGTCTCGCTGGTCAACCTCAGACATGACTAGCTAACAATAAGCCTCAAATAACAGATAATAAGGCGAAGGTATGTTTTATTCAAAAACACGTCGAAAATACGTGGATGAAACGTAAAAAATGAAATGAATGAAACGTTTTTAGATGTAAATATCGAAAATAAGGCCGACAAGATCAAATCTAACAAATATTTCATTTTCAATTAGCTTTACCCCCCCCCCCCCCCCTAATCAAAAAAAATTGTCCTTTAAGTCTCTTGAATTGCATAGTATGGTTATGTTTATTCTTGCAACAGCATCCTTGCGTTATACGCATACCGATCCACTAGCGTAACAGCAATGAGGAAGGATTGGCAGTTAGTCTTGTGTAACCTCTACTGATAGTTTTATGATAGTTATGTTTACATTTGACCAATTAGTTACTTTTTTCTCTGTATGTGTCCTAAACAAACAATAAACAATTATTTGCTATTGCAAGAATCACGATAACACAGACGAATAAAATACGCGTCTGATTTTTGTTTTCAATTCAATATAAATTAAAATTATTATGAAACCTGGAAATAACGTAATTAACGTAACCAAAGAAGAGTTGAAAACTAAGGAACACTCGGCGTTCAAATTTAAAAAGAAAAATTCGACATATATATTGGTTTTATAAGTTATTCAATAGTCTTGCTGCACACTAACACAAATATATTTTTGAAACGTTTTGTCTGACCAAGGTCTTCCTCAGACATAGTACATAGTTCAACTAAAACAAGACTAGCACATTTATACAATGGGTGTGTAGAAACCCAATCTTTAGTATTGGTTTTATGCTGAAGCGTTTTATTCAACTCACTTTGTTATCCAGGCCATATGCAATTGCAGCTGCAGTCGGTTCATTGATCATCGATAGAACATTCAAACCAGCGATTCTTCCAGCATCTCTAGTGGCTGTTCGTTGAGCGTCGTTGAAGTAGGCTGGGACCGTAATAACGGCGTCAGTGATTTTTTCTCCCATGTACGCTTCAGCCGCTTCCTTCAATTCGGTCAGAACCATGGCGCTTATTTCTTCGGGGAAAAACGTTTTAACTTCGTCTTTATATGTTACCTATAAAAATAGCCTTATCTTATTTTTTGCTCATCTGCCTATTTATCTATTTGAGTAAACGTTCTAGATCATTGGTGTGCAACATTTTCTGTTGGCGGGCCCTATAACCAACTTCAGACATCTAGATGGACACACAACGAATTGAAAAATTAATAAGGCTATAGCTATAGCCTTACAGTAATTAGGGCACCGGGCAAAACGGCAAAAGATTTATCGGAAAAATGGAGTATGGATTTTCACTCATGCGTGCGCCTTTTTAAACATAAACTGTCGGATTAAAATTTAATGCTCGATGAGATATGAGTGTTGAGGGCCGCACTGAATGGCTTGGCGGCCCGTTGTAGTCCGCGGGCCGCCTGTTGCACACTCCTGTTTAAGATGTCCTAAACGCGTTTAAAAATGGGTATGATAGAACAAAAAACATTTGCATATCTAAATACAATTAATATATAATGATTCACCTGCAATTTTGGTCTGTCACCCACTTCGACGATTCTGAATCCCCATAGCTTCATATCCTCTTGAACCGTTGGATCGTTGAACTTGCGGCCAATCAAACGTTTGATCTCTATCAAAAGAGATAAGCCCAATTACAATAACGAGTTGAACAACGTCAATTCAGGGTGAATGCTAAAATATGGGACAGAATATGCATTCACAGGCAGCGCAACCATTTGAAGAAGATGTGCGTAATATTAGTTTGATTGAGGAAGAAAAAGTTGCTTATATATACGTTGCTTAGGTACTCCCGTAGTATGTGTACCAGGTTAGGATTAGGCCATAATGTTATTCTGATTGTCATTATTTTATTTCTAATTCGAGTTCGGGGACTGTCTGTGTTAGCCAAGTGAATATTCCCCCTGCCCATAGAGTTCAGTCCCTTTACACAACTCGATGTGAAGTATTCGAACAAAATTAGTTACCTCCATATTGGTACACACACACACTTCTGGAGCGCCGTTGCTTTGTAATTAGTATATATAAGCCCATTGCTTCGAAGTAAATATCTACTAGCTATCTGACATATGCCATAATACCAATTTTGTTTTTGAATGGCTGCTTGAAAGACATAGATATAAAAAAAATGTATTTGCGTGATAAATAAGTTTGTTAAATATTGTCATCACAATATAACATCCAACTGTTAATAAAAAATATATAAAAGTTGCTTATATTTATTAGCCCATCGGTAAAACAAATATATACGAATAATTTGAACACATGCCATGCATAGCAATTTTTTAAAGTATGCTTAGAATACATAGATATATATGTAAAACATCATGTTTTATACAGAATAGCGTTTAGAAATTATTACAATGAATCTACAAACGACCAAATACAAATAAAGTAGTTAAATTTCTGTAGTCTCATTGTGAGAGAAAAAAACGGTTGGGGATACTTGAGTATTCAGAAAAAACTTATAGGGGCGTACTATATAAGGATTGTTACAGTTATACTATGATTATCGTCGAAAAGTGAAAGATATCTCACGAAATAAAGTATTTTCGCAATTCATTGATGCTTCCTCCTTCGCCGCTTCTCCAACCAATTTTTGCGAATCCGTGAATGAAATCCATGATGGTGTTACTCGACTGCCTTGATCATTTGCTATTATTTCGACCTTAAAATTTTATAAGTGATATTACTTGGCTTATATTGGCTGTAAGTGTATATTACATTGCTGCATATGCATATGAGTTGGCTGTATATACATATGACATTGGCTGAAGGCCTCTATATGTATAGGGCTTTGTCTGCATATGCATATCTGGTTCACTCTATATGTATATGGCCTTGGCTGTATATGCATAATTGGTTGACTCTATATGTATATGATTTGACTGTGCATATGGGATTCGCTGTATGTATACTCATATATGTATATGCATATTTTCAGCTATATTTGTATATCATGTTACCAACCCGAAGATTTCTATGACTCTCTGAGACTTTTGTTTCTTAAATCTATATGTTTGTTTATTGCCCTGTTCAACACAACTATAAAAATAACAACTTCAATACTTACTCGATTGTTCCTGTAAACAGCTACGCAAGAATTGGTTGTTCCCAAATCAATTCCTATGGCAGTCATGGTTAGGTTTAAAAGCTCTATAACATTGCTACAACTAGTCAATATGCTATACGTTGAAAAATTCAAAACCATGAGTATACTTATATGCAATACAAAATAGTATTTAATTAGCGTTATCAGAGGGTTTTAAGTTATGCTCCGGTTTGAAAAAATAATATCCTAAATTTTCTCTAGAACTGTTGTAATAATTATCCATAGAAACAAAAGGCACAAGAACTTAATTCAAAAGATATATACAAAACTATTTCATGTATGAATCGGAATGATAGTTCAAATCTCATACAAAATAACAGATACACTATTTTTAAATATGGGATTGCTGATGATTATCGTGATGACTTTCTCCATATGCTTTTTTTTAATCTTATCATTTCTCTCTTACTCATTTTTTAATAGAAACCTCGCAATATACGCCATTGTTTCATAATCTTGATGGAACCCCTTGGTTTCGGTGGAGCTTTCCAAAAGTTCGACCAATGTACATTGAAATAGTTTTATACCATAGTCTTTCTATTACGCAGCCTATTAAATATTTAAAAATAACTTTCAATAAACGCAGATATGCAAACTTCCACATTTAGGCAACTCACAATATCACAATAAAGCGTACGTGTAGTTTCACACAATAACTATTTCATCTTTTATCCCAGAACTTTCTTAAAAAACTTGTTGAATCATCACAGATGTTGCACGCTTTGGTGTACTTTTGTAGAGTGGCGTGATTAGACTAATGGTTGTGGTTTCAAATTAACTTTGGTTATATTGGTAAAATATTTTCGTGAACGACATCTTATTCACAACCAACGGATAGTAGTTCAACATACAATTTAAAAAACAGCTATTTAAAAGCAGTTTGATTGCATTCAATTCATCTTTACCCTGTCTTTACACTTTTATGAAGCCTTGCTATATCAAACAATATTTAGTCACCTCGATAAAAGAGGAACCGACAACAACATTCCACCATTCTACAAAGAAAGCCACTGGCGCGTTACAGTTGTTCCACAGTCCATTGGTCGTCGCTTGTTAATGCCTGTCAAGCTTAAGTCAGACATAAAGAACCCTTAGTTAGAGCCAATCGCACAACTTTAACATGAATTAAATGCCACGCGTGCCTGGCAAGATTAAAAATATTCGCCGTAGATAACTATTGAGACGTATATAACACGCAGACCATTGTTGTTTATAAAGCACAACCTTTTCAGATTTTTGCCAAATAAATTCAACCACACCAAAGTTGAAAACAAAATCTATTGGCAAACTCGTGCCCGATTCCTAAAAAAACGGAAAATTGGCTGGGTCATGTCCGTCTGCTTATTTCCTATTTATGTTAACGACAGTTTTAGCCAACTTACACTTAGGGAAACTGTTCCAAAATGTTATGTCTAGTCTGTGCCCTGAGATACGTTGCAATTGAATCCAAAATCACAATGCAACCGCTGTGACATGTGCATACCTAACTTACCTTTGTAACTCGACTATTAACATAAAATATTTTTTTTGCGTCTCGTTCAAGTATCGGAAAATGTGTCAGGTTACAGTGTTCTTGACCAATACGTATTCTGTTCGTATATGATTTTGTATTGGCACTGCAGTATAAATAATACAACTATATACTTAAAAATATCTAGTTTTTTATTAAATAACTGGTTTAGGTTGTCAGTTTTTCATTACTCCAAAGGAAATGAGGTGTTACCTCGGAATGTTGCGTAATAGAAACATAATTTAACGCATCGTTGTCTTTGATACACATCATTGCTCAATGACGCTGCCTTGGCGAAATGATCATACATAAGCGAGCAAGTAGTATGAATACCAGCACACCCACTACAATCGACGACACTCCATATTATGTGAACCAAGATGGCAGGCTCCAGAACGTAGTGTGTGTACCAGGTTAGGGAATAATTTTATTCCAATTTTCCTTATTTTAGTTTTATTACGAGATCGGGGACTAGCAGAGTGACTCCCGTAATATTTGTACCTGAAATCATGGCCTAACCCTAATCTGGTATACATACTTCGTTCCGGTTTCCGCCATCTTGGTTCACATATACCTCTTGAGTACTTTATCGACTTTGCAAACAGCTGGTTGTTTGGTATACATTGTCGCCTTTTTATTATTTTTAAAGACAGGTGTCTATATGTTTATGATGGGAGTTTATTGTGTCGCTGTTCTGAGTACTGATCCTTATCAGGAACAATGTCTATTGTGTCATGTTACCCGTGCTCACACAAAAGCTAACCAATGAAGCAAAAACTAATTTTGCGGCGGCTGTATTATAGGAATTTGAATATTAGGATCAGAAACGCTATAAAAACGCTTTTAATTTAATTCTTCGAGGAATATGGATCTTCGACATTATTGTTTTCCTCTACCACTAGGTTATTATCACGCAAACTTATCTATAGGTTGTCTCTTTAACATTCTACTTTACTTCCGTGCAAAAAGAAAAATCCGCAATATCACAACCCTAAGCCATACATTGGCTTAACGAGGTTTAATGGTACCATTGCTTTTCACGGTCGATTTTGTTAGGATCAACATTGTAACCGACGGATAATCATTTAAACTCTAACCTGGTAAACATACTACAGGAGTACCGGTATCCTGTTTTCTCATTTTTATTACGTCTTCTTCTTATTCACCTAAAACACAAGAGTACTTTGCAAAGAATAATATCAAGTAAAATTTTGTTGATGTGGACTTTGTAGTTCAATGCAGTCGTTTTCATTTTCATCCGATTTTCCTCATTTTAGTTCTATTTCAAGTTCGAGCACTGTTTGTGTTAGCCAAGTGAATATACCCCTTGCACATACGTTTCAGTCTCTTTACACAACTTTATGTAAAGTAGGCGAACAAAAATAGTTACCTTCATGTAGGTACAAATATTTCTGGAGCGCCAATTAAATCGTGTACCTCCTTGAAATTTTATACTTTATACGACTCAGAGTGCTTTGTTTAATGCTACTCGTCCGTCGCACGGCACTTTAAGACCTTTGTGAATGCTCGATCTGTTTACTAAGAGACGTTTGGATATCGAAATAGAAACATTAAAAGAAATGACACTTTTAAAATTCCCCCCATATTTTTAAGATTGGTCCTTATTTTGAAGGTCATGGTCTTGGAAAATACTTTTGTCTTTATTTCTGAGAAACGTCCTTATTTTGACATGTGTCCTTATTTTTCCTCAGGGATAAAGGTTCGATTGGTCAATTTGAATGATTGATTTGCTAGAAATATTATTAGAACCTCATTGCTTGCTACGCGCATTTATGACGCAATACCAGCACATAAATTGTCACAATGACGACTCGTGTAACTTGAATTAAAATAAAGTGATAATGAATAGATAGTTTCTAAGAATAAAGAATCGCTGAAGCATTTCGTTTCTAGTGCAAATTATGATTAGACACGAGTGACACTGGCATGATTACATTTTGTTCATTACGTTTTGTTCCTATCCTACTATCATGTTTCCCCGATGTCCCTTTTTTGGGTTCATGTCGATGACAGCTCTGATTATACTCTAGCTAAAGATCTTTCAAATTATTGGGAATTTTGTTATCTTGGCTGATACCATGAGTCAACCAAAATTCATTTGTTATTCTAAAATTACAACATTTATTAGTGTACTTACTGTATTTATTGATAGGCGATTTCTCTCATAAACTACAAACGAGTATATTGTACGCGGGGCGCAGTAGAGCTATCAGTAAGATGCACCGTTTGTCGCGTCGTGATATTTCCTTAATAATACTTCATATATGGTTGATTTATGCATGGCCATATCTACATCTCGACTTATAAAGGATATTAAAATTGAATAAAGAGGTCACAACTCACAAGAGCACCGCCTTACGTGAAGAAAATATAAAGACACCCGATATCTTCTATAATTCTTCTATAATTCTTAGGTTGTTTTATGTATAGCCACATAAAAATCTAGATTAAATAATTATAGAGGGGTGTCCGTAAATACCTTTACAATTTCAATTTTGTTATGAATTCAGTTCTCAATATATCTTAACCAAGTTTGATCGATAAATTCCCAATTGCGATTTGAATTTAAAGACTTCATTGACACCCAGTATTATATTCGTATTAACAAACCCTACCTGAAAACTAGACGACGTATAAAATTCTTCGAAGTCAGCGAGACGTAGCAGAACATAACATTCGGATCTCAACACTTTTAACAATGAATGTAAATGCGCTCAATGAAGCAAAAATGCAAAAGAATATCCTATTTGATAATAATAGGATACACACGCAATGATAATGTTTGCATCAAAGTTTTTTTCAAAAATAAAAATAAAAATTTTTTTTTTAAATTATTTACAACTTTATTCCGTTTTCAAGCACACAAAATAAACTTATACTCATCTTATTACAATCGATAGAAACTGACCAAATAAATAACCTATTTTTATAATAATACCTGATATATAATTTTCCACTGTTTTAGGGTTTGACCGAGAGTCCACTTTTAATTACATGGGCAAATTAAGATGGACGGTTACTCCGTCTTTTTTCCTTGCCAAAAAAAAACAAAAAAAATTAGGTTATGTTTTCTGTTTTCTCACTCTTTCTATTGTGAATACATTGCATTTGGGGTGTGATATTCTCTAAGCTAACAAAGACGTGGTTCGCTGCTTTTGTTCACGGAATAGTCATTTTTAGTGAGTGTAGTCAACATTGTATTAAAAAGAGGAAGCAACTTGGGGCTGAAAGTTCAGGCTAAACGTAGTGTGTGATTTAGTAATTTTAGCTCCACTTCAAAGATGACTGCAATTGGAATTGATCTTGGCACATCCTATTCATGCGTAGCAGTTTTCAGAAACAATCGGGTAAGTTAATTTTAATGAGTGACCACTAAATACGTTCAATATTGAGTTTTATCTTGTTCGGAGCGAGAAGCACGAGTAAGCGTCGTATTGAAACAAAAATTGGCCACCCCCAAAATGTGTGTTGGCTATGCACTTAAAGTTTAGTTGTCGGCATGATAGGGAATTTAAACTTTCAATACTCTCGCAGTATGTGTACCAGGTTAATGTTAGGCCATAATTTTATTCCGATTTTCCTTCATTTTAGTTCTATTACGTGTTCGGGGAATGTCTGCGTTAGCCAAGTGAATCAAACCCCCGCCCATTGGCTTCCGTCCCTTTACATAACTTGATGTAAAGTAGGTGAACAAAATTAGTTTCCTCCATATTGGCACACATACTTTTGGATCGCCACTATGCCAACTTTTATTACATTCATGTCTTACAAGATTGGACATTCCCAACATATATAAATTTCGGTTGTTTAGCATCTGCGATACTGCCATGTTTTAAAAATTTAATTTGCTATTTCTCAATAGTTATAGTAAGAAACTGCAGCTTTATGTAAGTAATATATTGGCGACCATAATAATATTAGTAACAAATCTACATAACTACACCTACCCCTCTAAAATTAAAATATCCTCATTTATCTACCGATTTTTATTCAAAGTAACCGTATAACACTATAATATTGTATCCGCTTTTGCATATGACAGGCTGAAATCATCGCAAACGATGAAGGCAACAGAGTTACTCCGTCATGTGTATCATTTACAGATACGGAGAGACTTATTGGTGATGAAGCAAAATCTGAAGAATCAATGAATTATGCGAATACCTTATTACGTATGATATATTCCCTTAATTTATGTATATTCGATAAGTAATTGAAATACGTGCTTGAAAGCATTAATTAAAATAAGTATATATACATGTTGAAGTAATTAAAATGTGGAAATTTATTAGCTGTATCCCATTGTAAAAATGTCAAAAGTGATTCGATTCGTATTATGAGTTGTTGTTTATACTACGAAATTACAATCAGCAATTGTGTTCGTTTATACCATCTGGATTGTTTTACTGATACTACTTTAGCGTGAGGTTTACCGAGTAGCACTGTTTTACATTTATATTATTTCGCGTACTCCCGTAATATGTGTACCAGGTTAGGGTTAGGCCATAATTTTATTCTGGTTTTCCTCATTTCAGTTCTATTACGAGTTTGGAGACTGTCTGTGTCAGCCATATGAATATATCCCCTGCCCATAGTAATCAGTACCCTACACAACTTGATGTAAAGTAGGCGAACAAAATCAGTTACCTCTATATTGGTACACATACTTCTGGAGCGCCTTATTTTTTTCGTTCCATATTTTAGAAATCAAGCGTTTGATCGGTCGCACATATGACGAAGAAATTGTTCAAAAAGATTTGAAATTACTTGGGTTCGAAGTTCTCAACAAAGACAACAAACCACAAATACAGGTTGAGTAACTTTTAATTTAGGAATTGTTTAAGCTTTATTCATTTCAAAAGTCATGCTGCACACCAACACAAATGTAATTCTGTAATGTTCTGTCTGACCAAAATCAGACTTCTCCAGACAAGCAGTTTCTTGTCATTATTGTAAATCAGGGGTGGCAAAGTTTTTGGATCAGAGGCCAAAGATTTTGGCCACCTAGACTGGCGGGCCATGTAAGTATATCGTAAAAAGTTACATTTTATGAACAATATTCACAGTGTTACCAAAGAAAAAGTGGCAAATAATAAACTTCTTGACGAAACTAAATTTAATGGCAATTTCAACAAATTTATTGAGTTATTTTTAGCTCAAACATCAATACTTGGGTTTAGTTTGGTTGTTGCAGCATCAGCCGGTCCAGATTGAAATATTCAACAGGCGGATTCGGCACGCAGGCCGTAGTTTGCCCATGTCGGTTGTAAACTGTTTGTACGAGGAAGTCTGAATTTGGTTTGATCGAACGTTACTAAAAGGTAGTGTGCAGCAGGACTCTTAAATTGCCTAGTATGGTGATGTTTATTCTTGCAACAGCATCCTTGCGCTATACGCATACGGATCCACTAGAGCAAAGGCATTGAGGAAGTATTGGGAGTTAGTCTTGCGTAACGTCTACTAATAATTAAATATTATAGTTTGACGAAAAGCGTTACAAAAACAAGCCGAATCCAAGCATTGTTAATGATATGCATATGATAACAGAAATATAATGCACTTGTAAAATTTGTTTTGTTATGTTAATATTGGATGTTTCCTAATCTAAACGGAAAAATAATTTAACTTTAAAGGTAGTTGGGCCATTATGTTTGATGATGTATAAAATCTATCATTGTATTTTATGAAGTATTGAATTCTTGCTCATATCAAATCTGTAATTTGATAAATTGGCGCTGCAGACGTGTGCAATATGGAGGAAACTAATTTTGCTCGTCTACTTTACATTAAGTTGTGTAAATGGACGGAATCCCATGGGCAGGTGGTATATTCACTTGGCTAACACAAACAGTACCCGAACTCGTAATAAACTAATATAAGGAAAATCGGAATGAAACTATAGCCTAACCCCAACCTGGTAAACATACTGGGAGTACCAATGAATTTGACTATATGTTTTTAAACATAAATTTCGGGGCTTCCAGCAAGAAACATTTATCTTTTTATCATTTTTGAATTATATGCAGTCATTTATAATGCAAATAATTGTGTTTGACAGGTCAATTATTTGAACAAAGTGACTACTTTTTATCCAGAAGAAGTAAGTGCTATGGTGCTTACTCATCTGAAAGAAGCAGCAGAAGCTTATATTGGGAGTAAAGTCACTGATGCTGTTATAACAGTTCCAGCTTATTTCAATGATTCACAAAGAAAAGAAACCAAACATGCTGGCGAAATAGCTGGGTTTAACGTACTTCAGTTATTGAACGAACCCACTGCAGCCGCTATAGCATATGGAATTGAGAATGAGGTTTGTTAATCTTTTAGAGACATGCGTAATAGATCTTCAGTTAATTGTTGTCATTTTTTTTCGGTATCCCCGTATTTTGTGAACCAAGACGGCGGACACCGGAACGTAGTATTTGTACTAGGTTAGGGGTCGGCCATATTTTCAGATGCAAATACTACGGGAGTCACTTGGATAGTCCTCGAACTTGGAATATAACTAAAATAAGAAAAATTGGAATAAAATTATGGCATAACCCTAACCTGGTACATATACTACGTTCTGGTGTCCACCATCTTGGTTTGCATACTAAAGGAGTACCATTTTTCAATACCATACAGGATGAAGGCGCGCGAAATATTCTAATATTCGATCTTGGGGGAGGAACGTTTGACGTTACGGTGATGTCAATAAAAAATAATGTATTTGAAGTTAAAGCAACAGGAGGAGACACTCATTTAGGAGGTAACAAACATTTCCTTGTTATACATTGTTTTTGTACATCGTTATATTTAATGCTATGCAAACTTTTACTTTTCTTGCCATTGTTGTAAACTGCTTGTCTGAGGAAGTCTGATTCTGGTTAGACGAAACGTTACAGAAATAAATTTGTGTTAGTGTGCTGCAAGACTCTTCATACTATTACATACTTAATTTAAATATTTAGTTTAATTCATGTTACAGAATCCTCGCAATATATGCATACGGATCTACTAGCGCGAAGGCATTCGGGGAGGATTGGGAGTTAGTCTCGCGCAACCACTACTAATAGTTATATTTGATGTAGAAAATTCTAAAAATGTGTATGATTTAGTCGTTATTCCTTATGTTTGTTATTCGTTGCATAGCATACAAGATAGTAACAATATTAATACAGAGTGGAAAATTTTTGTAATCCTAATTCATTACCAAAAGTTTGTTTGATCAAACACGAGTCTGAATGAAATGAGCCATATTTTTTGAAATATTCGCTATTGATTTGGAATTGGTTCAATAAATCCACCAGTTACCTGATTTTAATTTTACTCATATCGAAAATATTAATTTTTGGCGCTCCAGAAGTATGTATACCAATATGGAGTTAACTAATTTCGTTTGCCTATTTTACATCCAGTTGTGTAAAGGGACAAAAGCCTATGGGCAGGGGCTATATTCACTTATCTAACACAGACATGCCCCTAAACTCGTAATGGAACTAAAATAGGGAAAATCGGAATAAATTTATGGCGCAACTCTAATCTGGTAAACATACTATGGGAGTACCAAATTTTGTAATCTCAATTCCATACCAAAAAGTTTGTTTAGTCAATTACGAGTCTGAGTGGAATGCGACATATTTGTTATTGATTTGGAATTGGTTCAATATGCCCACCAATTTCCTAATTTTACTTTTAACAAAAATATCAATTTTTGTAAGTAAGGATCCTCACGTTGCATAAACTTTTGGGGTCATTAATTTTGTAAAATATATGTTTATGTGTTTAAATTTGATGAAGACCTTGATAATCCAATGGTTCATTACTTTTACGTCAAAAGTTACGTCAACCTCACATAGATCATTTTTTGCTCACTCCGCGGAAATGAATTTTGACGCCCGACACAACAGCGCCAAATTGCCAATTTCCATTCAGATAATGACTGCGTTCCGGTGTAATATTTTTGTATTTTGTTCGGTCCATGTGTGAATATATGCCAAAACTACATTAATGAGAATACGTGTCTTACCTGATCTTTGACGTCAAATATCAAACATGTAAAAACCAGATTACTTACAATTTTTGTAAGTGAGGAACCTAACGTTGCATAAACTTTTGGGGTCATTAATTTTGTAAAATATCTGTTTTATGTTTAAACTAGGTGAAGACCTTGATAATCGAATGGTTGATTACTTTTCCAAGATGTTTAATGAAATGCACAATGTAAATATGATGAATAGTAAAAGAGCATTGAGTCGACTGCGAGTCGCATGTGAAGCAGCCAAGAAAAAACTATCTGTTGCGACACACGCAAAGTAATTATATTGTTTTGTTACAGCACAAATACATTTAAACTCGCTTTTTATTATGTATAGTGCTAATCCAAAATGGTTTTGTTTTTAGCAATATTTTTTGCTATAATAAAAGGATGTTAACTCTTTTTTAAACAAATAGAATTTTGAGCATTTATTTTATAAATGTGGTATGCAAAAAGTTTATTACGCAAAAGCTTTGGAACACTTTCCATATAGAGGCAAAAGGGTACTCGAAGTATGTGAACCAAGATGGCGACACCGAACGTAGTATGTGTACCAGGGGGGGTTGGGCCATAATTTAATTCCATTTTTATTTATTGTACTTCTAGTACAAGTTCGGGAACTAGCCAATTGACTCTCGTAGTATTTGTACCTAAAATTAGGGCCTAACCCTAACCTAGTAAACACACTACGTTCGGTTGTCAGCCATCTTGGTTCACATACTTGGGGAGTACCTGCAAAAGATACATATGTACCGAATCGCATATGAGTTTCAAAAATTCGCTTGTTTTTTTGCCTAATAGTTGAACATGAATGAAAACAAAATTATTTTATTTAATAAAGCAAAGTTCCAGTTCTACAAATTAATTATTGTTACAGTATGTGATAGTAGTGTCATATAAAAAAGTCGCTCCAGAAGTATGTCTACCAATATGAACGTAACAAGTTTTTTCCCTACCTTACATCAAGTTGTGTGAAGGGACTGAAACCTATGCGCGGGGACATATTCACTTGGCTAACACAGACAGTCCCCGAACTCATAATAGAACTAAAATAAGAAGAATCGGAACAAATTTATAGCTTAACCTGGCTTCACATACTACAGGAGTACCAAAAGTTCAAATAATACGTTTATGTAAATTTACCAGGATACAGATAGATGGACTCTATAACGGCATTGATTTCAAAACTACTTTCAGTAGAGCCACGTTCGAAAATCTAAATAATTACTACTTTGACAAAACCATCAAAACTGTCGAAAAAACTCTCACAGAAGCAATGTTGGACAAAAACAAGGTATGTGTGGAATATTAAAGAGAAAAAAAAGTCAAATTGTAGCGTAATTTTGGATTTAGTTCAAACCTACTACTTTCAAACCTACTCAAACCTCGCTAGAAAACAAAAAATTTGTCAAACATTTATTTTTCCAACAAAAACTTTTACGAAGTGCTTCCACGGTATATGTTATATTACACTCATAGATGCTAAAAATGTCATCCATGCACTCCAGAGAAGTGTCTTAACCTAGATATCCAAGAAATGAGTAAGCACGCGCGCATTCTGTTCGTGGTCTCATTTGAGCTTCAAATTTTCTGCTTTTCTAGCGTCCAGCCTTGTTGAACGCTTTGAAATTGAAATTCGCGAATCTAAAATTTAAATATTATGCATTATCAGATTGACGACGTAGTTCTCATTGGAGGCTCTACAAGAATTCCAAAAATTCGTGAGATGTTGCAGAAATTTTTCTCTGGAAAAACACTTTATAAAACCATTAATCCAGATGAGGCAGTGGCACTTGGGGCAGCAGCACAAGCTGAAAACCTTAAATCAGGCAAGGTAATACTTGAGTGAACAAAACCTATTTACAACATTTTTTTACTAATCCTACCTAGTTTACGCACGTTTTATAAGAGTTTTTTTTATATAGGCTAGTGTAAAATATTTGAAGTGACTGACGCAAAGAACGTAAGTTTGGGACGCAGATAGATTAATGAATTGTCTTCTTGCGTGATTATTTCCTTTCTTTGTTTAGTTTATTCTTCGCGACATCGTTCCTCTTTCACTCGGAGTTGAAGTAGATGGAGATTTTATGTCAGCGGTTATTCTTAAAAATACAAAAATCCCAACTACACGCACTATAAACGTAACAACAGCGCGTGATGACCAGACAACTCTGAACATTTCAGTAAGTAGTAACTTGTTTATATGTGTTAATATTTCGAGAAAGCAGTTCACCATTTATCCACGAATAAATATTTTGTGTTTTGGTAATAAGGACAGATAGGCTTTCTAGAATATCATTTTATTTTTTATTTCATGTCCGCTTTGGGAAAATCTTATTTTCAGTCGGTCTGTCTGTCTAGCTGCAGCGTCTAACGACTGAATCGATCTGGATAAAATTACCTACTTGTGTTATCGTGTCACCCTTCTAAATTGCGTTTAGCCGAAAGTTCGGATTTAATGTTTTATGTCCTTGGTAGCAGCGAAAAAATCTCAGTTGCAAAAATTTTCAATTTACTCAAAATTTGTCGCAATTTTCTCATTATTTAAGACGGAAATTAATATCTGAGACGCCATTCTTGCTACGAAAATACTCGTTTGAACGAACCGTTTTTTCACCACGGCAATTCATATTTTTGGGAGACCTTAGAGTGTTAGTGAACATGTTTTGATTATTAGTCACAGTAATGTCACTCACACACTGATGCCGACGAGACGCGCAGCTCCCAAATGAATTGGTTATTTCTGTAAACCGGTCTCCAAAGTATGCCATCGTAATATGCTGCTTCTTGGCGTTGCCAATTTGAAAACAAACACATTTTCTGTCGACCGATTCCAAATTCTTTTTCAGGTGAATTTCGTAGTACTCTTGTGTGTTGATTTCTTCTTCCTAAAAGGCAATTTAAAAAATAATATCACCAGTAATAGTATTTGTAAAACGATATTTTTGGAGATTTGAGGATAATCTTGTATTGAAAAAAAAACAGATCATGCTCAGTTTAGATTTTTATTACTATGACTATTCTTGTTACTCCGTACTTGTTATCTTTTGAACGGAACTGCAGTTAAACAAGAAATTGTAAAACTTTTTTTGAAGTCAAGTATTCGATTAAATCTACAACTGATGTAATTCATTTTTCACATTAATATAAATTTTAGACGAATTTCAAAATCGTCCTTTTACCTGAAACTTCATTAATTGGAAAAAAATATTTGCATCGCAGATTTATCAAGGAGAGCGTGCAGCAACCATCGACAACATGTTTTTGGGAGCATTTTTACTTGAAGGAATACTTCCTGCCCCACGCGGAGTGGCAAGTGTAGAACTTTGCTTTGAAATAGATTCAAGTGGAATTTTGGATGTGAGCGCTCGAGACATGAAATCTGGCCAGAAAAATAAAATTATTATTAATGATGAAAAACGATTACTGGAAGAAGATATTGCTCGAATGGTATGTAGATTGGGTTGTACAAATACATGACTCATACAACAAATTAATTAACATGAGAGCGATGCTTAAATATTTGGACACGCAGTAGTACCGATATTACAGTCTTTCCCAGCCTACCGTACCCGCAATGTTCACGATTTGATTTGATGACTTCATCGTACAAAAATAACAAATCTGTTAGAGACCACAGGAATTAGTGAAATAAAAAAAATATTTGCCTTCTAGCAAGAAATACAATCTTTAATCACTCAAAATTTGAAAGCAATTGGTCCAGTATTTAGAGAGAATACGGATTTTATAAAAAGTAATAAAAGAAAACTTTAACAACAACAACATAACAAACAAAACGATCCATATTGTCCACTCCGTGTCCAATATTGAATTGCTGACGTGATCTTAAAAGTCGCACTGGGATGGTACGTCATATCACATTAATATAATCTATCTATTTCACGGTCAATAAAACAAGAGAGCGATGATCAAATATATGGACACGATTATTTTCAAACGATAGAAAGAACAAAAACATGATAAAGAGCATCAACAACAACATAATAGCAGATAGATCTACTATCACAGATCTACTACGTGTCCAATAACAGCAAAAATGTTAACTAGCATAACAAAGTTTATTTCGTAATACAATGTACACTGAAAAATATGGAAAGAACAAAAATTCACTAAAAATTATTATCAATGGAAATTTTTCTAATCTAGACTGCGGATGCTGAAAAGTTTAAACAGGCTGACGAGGAATTGCGGAATCAACATAAATCAAAGAATGAGCTTGAAGATTTTGCTCTCAGAACAAAACAATCCGCTCAAGATTTATATTCGGACCAAAAAATGACAAAACATGAAGAAAGTCGTTTAGTGGAATTATGTACAGAAACCCTTACCTGGTTAGATTTGAATAAGGTAATAACGTCTTTATTTTTGCATTTGGGCTAGGCTGCCTGTTTTAGGCTACTGTTCGCTACCACCTGATAATTTGTGTATTTTAATATTTTTTGCCTCTAAAATATGAATTGAATATTACAATCAAAAGCGTAGTGTTATTTCGGTGATAGATAAATAAACAACAGGATTTCAACCGATATTTAAAACTAGTAGGCATAATCCTTAATTTTGTCATATTTGTAAGATGGTGAAGGTTTAGAAAAAGATTTTATCTTCAGTTTGAACCATTGAGGATGAATAATACTTCATACATTTATAATTATTGGATCTTTGTTCTAGAAGACCCTTACTCTCTGTAGTTTTGTCTATCTGCCCGTCCGTCTGTCCGGTTGTCGGTCTGTCAGTCCGTCTGTCCAGCTGCATCGTCTGAAAGACTGGATCTGGTGATATATGTCATTTTGTCACCTTAGTAAAATGCCTTTTCCCGGAGGTCTGAATTGAGGTTTCCTTTCCAGGGCAGTAGCCAAAATACGCTTCGATCCATGGAAAATAAAATATTCGATTTACTCAAAATTTGTCGCCATTTTCTAGTCAAATAAGTCAAAAACTAAAATTCTGAAAACTTTTCCTCCATAGAAAAAAAAAAACTCTTTCGATCAAATCATCTTGGATTTCGATAGCCCATAAACTAGATTTTTTGAAATTTGAGAGAAACTTGTTTTAAAGATTAGCCACAGTATACCCGCTCATACAAGAATGCATCAATATACTTTGATGTGCAATATTTATTAACATGTGATATTTTCAATATTTCAGAAAGCCAATCCAGCAGTACTGAAGCAGAAGAAAATTGAACTGGAATCGATAGCTCATCCGATATTTTCGCAATTATATCTATTTGATCATGTAAGGCTCAATATTTTTTACACTATAGTATATAGTGAGTTACAGTCACACTTGGTTGTAATGTTTAGCAAATGTTAGCTCTATTCAGTGAAGTGGAGATGAGCATTTTTTAAACAAAACTTACTTTATTATTCAGACAAAAACAAATTTGCAGAAGAATTCCACGGAAAATTACGCAGAATTTGACAATGTCAAAAAATTTCAGATGCTGATTCTATTGCTGCAACTTGGTCCACATCGCCAAATTCTAGTGTAAGATATTCAAAAATTTTCAATACTTTTTTCAAAATTATCAATATCATAATTGTATGCTATTCCTATGTGCAGGCAAACAGTGTCTCACGAAGGCCATACCCCCTTTGTCCCCAAATAGGTCATGAAGAATATTGATAAGTTTGCGGAAATAATTGCGATGCAGTAACTTGTTCTTCACCAGCTGCACGTGTAAATGCCTGAAAATCTAACAACGATAAATAATGACGGGAAAATGCGTAGTAAAAATCACTACAAAATTTATAGTGTAGAGATCATGTAAAAGGAACACCAAAGTAAAACAGATTTTCATTTAGACTGATGATAGCACAACTTTCAGTAACTCCAACAATGAGAACAGAGCTGGGCCATCGAATTGGGGAAACGGGAGAAGTGCTCTACGCGCTTCATTAATTAGTACCGGCCAAAATGAACAAGAAAGTTTGAAGAAAGTGACAAGTTATGATCAAGTACTTAAAAGTCTACGCCAAAAATTGGTAATCATTTATTCTATAATTTTTTTTGAACAAAATATTAGGAATGTATAAGAGGTATTTAAAAACAAATATATTTGAAAAATCCAGTCATCCAGTGAAAAAAATTTGAAACCAAAAACCAATACGATACTTCAAATACAAATTTATTATAAAATTATTCCTAATTAACAATTCATTCCGGTACTTTCTTTGTGATTGACAACCGATATTACCATTTTGGTTTCAATAAAATACCGGGAATTCTTTGGTCTTACATCAGTGAGTCAGATGTTTATTTATGTTTTGATATCCTATTGGATTTGAGGGTTCTCCTGTAATATGCGGAAGACACTTGACTCGTAATAAAACTAAAATAAGGGAAATTAGAACAAAACTATGGCCTAACCCTAACCTGGTACACATACTTCGGGAGTACCGTCAGATGTTTATTTATGTTTTGATACCCTATTGGTTTTGAAGGTGACTGGTTATTCAGAACTGATGATGAGAAAGATGTTTAAATTAGAAACGCATTCTATTTCACACGTATGCCCAAACCTGGCAATAAATAACGTCCCGATATAGCCTGTCTTCAAGTAAACATCTGAAACAAACGGCTCGGGTTCCAAATAGCGACGATAACAAAGGCGACTTCATAATAGCAACGTATTCAAGTGAGCGACTGTCAAAACAGCGACTGTCATAATGGCGACCGCATTAAAACAGCGTCTGTTATGATAATACATGACAAATTCATCAATTGAAAATTCTAGTTTTCACATGAATATTTACCTCTATTGTTTTTCTATGTTCTGGCAATAGCGCTGTGAAGGCAATGTACAATTATGTATAAATGCTAAAATATGCCTGAAATTTTCAGGCAATTCTGAACAATTTTTTCGTATTGCTGAAATGAAAATGTCAATACATGAAAATTGGTATTGCATTATTCAAAATCATCTGCATCATCTATCCCACGATTTATTACCTAATTTAAATAAGGGTACTGCCGTAGTATGTGTACCAGGTTCGGGTCAGGCCATAATTATATCCCGATTTTCTCTATTTTAGTTCCATTACGAGTTCGGTGACCGTCTGTATTAGCCAAGTAAAGATACCCCCTGCCCATAGGTTTCAGTCTCCGTACCACAACTTGATGTAAAATAGACGAACAAACTTAGTTACCCCCATATTGGTACTTAACAGACTTCTGGAGCGCCTAAAAATATCATAATAGAATTTTTACCTGAAATTCTCATGGATATCACACAATTTTTTATTTTCAATATAAATATAGTTTTAGAAGTAGTAAGCTCTGGTTAAATTGTTTCTCTATTTTAACAGAAAAATACAAATGACGAGGAAGAAGATTTTTGAGATTTATCTTGAACATTCTTGAGAATTCCTAAATAGATTTCCAAAATTCATTACTTGAATTTATTATGCTGAACATTAAAGACGTTCACATAACAATTTGTAAAATGATTTACATACCGTAACTTTATTTCGTTTAAATTTGTAACTATAATATACGTTTTATTAATTTTAATGAATTTATATTATAAGCAACTATGTATGTGTGATTTGATATGCCTGGAATAATTAATTGATGATCGTTGATTGCAAAATGAAATGCAAATGATTTCCATTCTCAGTGCTATAAAGCAGGCCCCATTAAATGACTCTACCTAGCCTAGCAAATTGAAATACCGCAATCTGCATTTCCAAATAATCTTTATGTAAATTTTGACTTTATTTTTTGAGGTAAAATATTTGTATATTACGAAGCATTGTATAAGTACGAAATATATTCGATTGAAACGAGCAATTTTTGAAGTCGATTTAAAATTAAAGACAATTCACTTGTAAGTAGAGGTTACGCGAGACTAACTCTCAATACTTTCTCAATTCCTTTGCGCTAGTGAATCCGTATGCGTATAATGCAAGGATGCTGTAGCGAGAATAAACATGACCATACTATAAATTTAAGAGTCCTGTTGCACACTAACACAAATTATTTCTGTAACGTTTTGTCTGACGAAAATCAGACTTTCTCAGCCAAAGAGTTACGACAATCACAATAAATTGTTTGTCTGAGGAAATTTGATTTTTGTCAGACGAAACGTTACAGAAGTATATTTGTGTTGGTGAACAGCAGGACCTTTGAATTGCATAGTAAATTCACAGACAATTCTTTATTTTGGGCCTTATCGTGGTATGATTTGCAAATATTTCCAAGAAAGATATTTTATTGGTATTTTGTTCTGGTGTTATTATTATCATATTAACTGATACCCGACTAAATTTTTAGCTCTGAAAGTTAGACAATGTCACTCAAAAATATTTACTTTTTCATGTACCTTTGGATCATACTGGACGTGATATCTCACTCAAATATTTGGCGCTCCTGAAGTATGAGTACCAATATGAAGGTAATTAATTTTGTTCGCCTATTTTACATCAATTTGTGTAAAGGGACTGAAACCTATGGACAGGGAATATTCACTTGACTAACACTGGCAGTCCCCGAGCTCGTAATAGAACTGAAACAGGTAAAATCGGAACTAAATCATGGCCTAACCCTAAACTGGTACTCATACTTTGAGAGTACCGAAAATGTTGCGGTTCATGCAGGAACACGATATTTTTCTGTTTCTGACGACTATTTCAGCATATTCGATGCTCAACTAAAGCTTTACCGCTACTGGTAAACGAGCATGGTGTGCATATATTTGAGATTTTACATTTGAATGAACATGTATATATATATTTTGTATGAATTTTATCGAACTCGAAACACTCACTTTTAGATGATTAAGTAAAGGAAAGTATGAGAGATATCGTAGAGTAGAAGTATCTTTTTGATTGCAATAATTTTGTACAAAAATAGAAAATGAACTTTTCAAACTAATTTTTTTTTACTCAACCCACTTGTTGTCAGCCCTCTTAGCGGCTGTTAAATAGCCTCACCATCGCATTAGGATTTCCCAAACTTGTGGTAATTACCACCAAATGGGGGTAATTTGGCATTTTTTGGGGTAATCTGGACATTCACTCTTCAACAAGTTTTTTTGAAATCCACGTACTTTTGACAAGTGTGCGGAAAAGCTGGACATTCATTGCTCGCATCTAGGCAATGAGCCTAGTCATCCACTCAAACGGTTCGTAGGGACATAAAAAATGGAACCTTGCAACAGAATGTAGGCTAAAATGCTAATCTAGCATCTTAAAATCGGATCAGAAGATTCAATAGGTGTTACTATTATCACAATTTCTGGTCAAGATAAATTGGACAACGATATGACTGTTATAGTTTTATGTTGCGGGTGATTGAGCTTTTAGTAATTCGATTTAGGGGTGACGATACTAAAAAGTTTGGGAACCACTGCACCAGACAAACTATATTTGCGCTTTTATTTATACCACGCACCAAAGAAATGTGTAAATCAAAGGTCGCTCATATCACTTAGGCTTTATTGAACATTTATTGATTGTAATTGCTTTCTAATACTGGATTTTTTTTTGTATAAAAAAACCCTTAATTTTTGCCATGTCTATTTGAGTTTAAAAATATCTATTGTATAGATTTGTAGTAATTTTCTCATATTGCTTGACTTATCACATCATTTGAATTGACATATCTTGTGACTTGGGCGTTATAATTTTAGCAGTACTGAATACTGAATTGAGGGCGCTCTAGAAGTATGTGTACCAATATGGAGGTAACTAATTTTGTTCGGCAATTTTACATCAAGTTGTGTAAAGGTACTCAAACCTATGAACAGAGGTATATTCACTAGGCTAACACAAACTGTCCCCGAACACATAATAGAGCTAAAATAAGAAATATCGTAAACAAATTATGGTCTAACCCTAACTTGGTACACATATTACTGGAGTACCCAATTTTTATACAAATTCAATATAGCATTTTGTTTAAAATTATTGTAAAGTTCTAGGCGTGTGTAACGCACTAATTCTGTAGCAATTAAACGCTGTAATCTTTTCGCACACTAAATTATTTATATTCTTACAGTCGTGTTTCTTCTTATAACTGAAATATATTTGCTTAAGTTAGACTGATCTAGAATATTATATATATACAATGACCCGATAAAGAGCTAATATTTGTGTTCTTTTATACGTCTTGCATCATTGAGTTGATAGTTGATAAAACAGAACTGGTCAATGTGATGAAGGTTTGACTAAAAGATCATTTCATTGTATAAATAGGCATCTGAAATATTAAATGTATTCATGTACGTCACGCGTTCCAGAAAGCAATATCAGAATAAATATTTCCGTTAGATGGCGAACAAGATTTAGGTTTATTCAGTCCTGTTGGGCACGCTCTGCTGAGTATCGAACGACTGACTGGAAACAAATAAGGTATTATTGTATTGAGTCCGCCAATAAAGGTTGTGAATAGAAGGTATACATACCCAGTGGTAATAACGTTTAACTAAAAGAAAGGAAATACATTGTAAATTGGTGAGTTGATTAATATTAAATTACGTATTTTAAAGATACATGGACTATTAGAGGCATAGAATTGAGTCCTAAAATGCGGAACATTTACGCAGTGGTGTTCCTTCTATGATAATAATGACAGCAAATATGAAGAATGGTGAGGTAGGCCTACATGTTATTATGAAGAATTTCGAAAACAGGAACGTGACAACAATAATAACAATGTCGCTCTCAAAAATAATTTTCACCTCGATGAGTTTACATTCGATATTACATTCATAGTGAACTACTTCGTATTACTGATCATTGTTAGTTATATATTTATATTGATGGAATTCTAACGAAAGTAACTCACTGTACGCTGAATGAATCAGATGTAGGCCCGGGCAAACAATTTAATGATTCAATATCCAATCAGATTTGTAAATATTTTGATGCTCATCTTGTGTCGCTATCATACCTATGAATCTAGAATCTAGATGGTCATATAAACAAGCCTTAATGGAGTCTGTCCAAACCATGGGTGAGCACAACCGGGTATGCCAAGTCATTTAGCGGGGCCCTCATCAACACTCAGATTTTCCCTTCAAGTATAAAATCCGTATCCTTTATGTTTAAAAATGCGCTCACATGGGTACAAATTCATAATTTTTTTACTCTTGTCACTGTGATAATCTTTCGCCGTTTTGTCCAGTGCATATATTATTATAAGGCTAGGCGAAAACGCATTACCTTGATTAGGAGGGCCCAGTTATGGCCCACCGACAAAATGTTACACCCCGGGTTTAAACGATATATTTGTGTTTGGTCACGTTTTCCCAAAATAATGAATAATTTTATTTCGAAAGCTCACAAAACGTGTTTAATTTTTGCATTTCCTACATTAAATTGAAGGCTGCTTTGGAAATGTATTATTGCTATTAATTTTGTAAAAAGATTCGAAAAATCAATTCTAAAAAATAGTCTTCTTGACATTAGTATTAGCATTAAGTTTTAGCTAAAAGTGATAATAATGAATCATGAATAAAAAACTATATCATAATTGACTAACTGATGTCACTCAGAGACCTTCTAATATGACGTATTTAGGTCATCTTAAATTAAATTTGAATGATAAGTATGTATGCTTGCTGATTGCGCATTGCAATAATGGGTACTCCCGAAGTATGTAAACCAAGATGTCGGATACCGGAATGTAATATGTATATCAGGTTAGGGTTAGACCATAATTTTAGGTGAAATACTACGTGACTTGGCAAGTCCCCAAACTCGCAATAAAACTAAAATAAGAGAAATTGGAATAAAATTATGGCCTAACCCTAACCTGGTAATCACACTACGTTCCAGTGTCTGCCATCTTGGCTCAAATACTTCAGGAGCGCCCATTATCGTTATAATTCTGTATTACCAACTTCTTTGTATGGTATTGGCTCATTTTCTGAACCAACCGGAGAATCGCCCAGACTGATTTTGTCATTTTATCGGCATTCCGAATAACTTGTCTAAAAAACATAATGTGTGTGATACAAAAATTAGAATAAATAAAATCATTCTCTGGTAAAACATATATTATAGTAGAAAATGCAAAACTATAAGCAATGAGCAAATGCGCTTGCAAAACGTCAATTTCACAATATTCACAAATTATTTTAGCGTTAATAAAGTAAACCGACATAATAAAGCTTCAGAATATCCAGTTTCCAGTAATTGTTTTTTTAAACGAAGAGATTAAATAAGTTTAGTATCTTTTTCTCCATTCATTTGAAAAAAAGAGGTTAATTATATATCGATAAAAAACTGATCTCTTTGCTTTGTGCTTGTAATATTATCCGGAATTGAGAGAAAATAACCTCGAGAAAATGACTTGAGCGAGGTTTTAATACAAAAATAAATAGCGAGTCTATTTATTGGTTGGCTTCATATGCGTAGTTATTATTTTTAGAACCTAGAAATTTTAGCATGAATGAAGACTGCGCAATTGGAATTGATCTAGGAACGAACTTTGTTTGTGTCGGAGCATTCATAAATGGAATGGTAAGTGTGTTAAAGTTTACCACATTAGCATTAATTTATTTTATATTCAAAATACCAAGTAGATACTGCGCAACGTACAACACTTTTTACTTGCTATTAAAATTGAAAACAAGAGAACTATTCTCAAATATATGGACACAAAGTTCAAGAACGCCCTAGTACGGATATGCAATCTGTCACAGTGGACTATTGGCACCAGCCGCCACGATGCCATAATAAAGTGGGAGGCAGCCAACACGATGACATAAAAGCGTATCACGATGTCATAAAAGCGTGTTGGGAACAAATAAAAGTGATATCCTTCTAGCGAAAAATACGATCATCCACCACTGAAAAGTTTCGAATCAATTGGTCCATCAGCGAATAAAAAGATCGATCTTTTCGAGTCCTATAAAACGAAAAATTCTAACAACAACCCAATTACAAAACGATTCATATGTCCACTTCATGTACAATAATTCAAATGCATGAAGCAATGGCGCGGCGGTGTGGCTCATCGTGCTAAGCGTTAGGAATATGCTTGCCACCGTTCGAATCCCACGCGGGATGGTTATGTGCTAGAAGATTGCTGGACTCCTCGGCGCCGTAGGATGGTTCATGTAACTGCTGATCAGCTACCCTCACCCCCCCCCCCCCACTATCGAGTCCATGCTTCCGAAAACAAATAACTAACTAATTCCATACCCGACATGGAATGGTAACCGGACGAGAGGCAGTGGTCCATATGGCTAAGTCGCAAAGCGGCTTTCCTCTCCCCTGGATAAATATGTAAATCCTATCCTATCCTAAATATTATTCAGGTGAGGATTATTCCAAATGAACATGACAAACGGACAACTCCAGCTTATGTCGCGTTTACTGAAGAAGAACGTTTATTTGGTGAATCTGCGAAACATCAAGCTCCTCTCAATTTGAGTAACACCATATATGGTGAGGACATGTATTTAATAATCACCTTTAATTAGGTTCAATGAATAAATTAGGAAATAGGAATAGGAATCATCGATGACACCGTCGATGCAACGATATTTAACAATGCCGTTTAAATAAGTTAAGTCTATGCTTTCGAAAAAAATAACTGGCTAACTAAGCCCATAACCGACTTGGAGGCCGTTGTTCGCCATATGATTGGGCCGTCTTATCGGGTTTTCTTTCATCCGAAATAAATATGTAAATCATATCCTATCCTATTTTAAATATTCTCAGAAGTTTTGCGTTTCGTTTTGCTACAGATGTGAAACGTTTAATTGGAAAAAAGCAAGAAGATAATGGAACGCTAATTCCGATAGATGAAACATGGGGATTTTCAACCGAAATAGATGATAACAACCGAATCCGTATACCGGTAATTTTTGTTTTTTTGTAGCGTATATGCTTGACCAATATAGGAAAATAGTTGTAATATTAGAGCTTTTAGTTGCTGTGACAATGTGCTAAAAGTTACTAAATTTTTGGGAAAATTACTGACCTCTGTCAATGTATTTATAGATCGAATTATTTTAGATATCTTATATCAAGAATGAAATAAAAGTAGAAGAAAAATTATATCCCGAACAAATAACGGCCATGATATTGGGCAGAATGAAAAAAATAGCTGAATCGCACCTCAAAACTGAAGTAAAAAAAGCTGTTATATCCGTCCCTGCAAGCTTTGAGAATGCACAAAGATTGGCTACAATTGACGCAGGAAGAATTGTCGGTTTGGAAGTGCTTGAGTTAATAAACGAACCAACAGCTGCAGCAATTGCTTATTGTTACGACAACGAGGTAGGTTATTGTTTTTATTTAACGCTATTGAGCAACAACAGGTCAGACGGAGACCACGAAAAATTCATCAAACATATCAAACTTGATCTATTCGGGATATACAAAGAGAAATTTCAAACTAATGACATCTTCATAGAAATCTATATTTCGCTATCGAGCGCATTTACTGTATAATTAATATACACTATATATAGCATTGAGTATACTGTATATATATATATTTATACTTTGTAAACATTAGTATCTGATATCTATAGCAGTAATTTTCAACCTTATTTCTTCCATGACGCATTTGTATTTTCATGCAAGACAAAAACTACAAGAAAAGCAATAAAAAAAATTTCGCAATATTAAACAACTCCAGTTTAATTATTAGAACAAAAATTACTTCTCAGTAACAAAAAACAGCTATTCATTGCTATCACAATCAAAATTTAACCGTAGTGACACAAATAAAACCAAATTTATCAATAACTCCAGCAATTTTTATTATGTTTGTGGCCCATCTAAAATGCTTCTGTAGCCCAGCGGTGGGCCATGGCCCTGGTTGAGAACCAACCGGTGGTCTAGCTAGAGCCTTGTCCATGAAGTCAAGGACATTGCTTTTGAAAAAAGTAGAATTCCTGAAAATGTTATCGGCGGCAATGATGATTTAAATTGTACCTTTTATTGTAAAACTGCTTTTGTTTTATTTTGTATAAAATTTATCTTACACCTTCGTTTCCCATTTTATTTACTAAATACTCTAACTTTTATATACTATATACTGTATTGAATATTTTACTATTAGGTAAAAATGAAGAAACAAATCGTTATTGTTGACTTCGGAGGAGGTTTTCTTGACATAAGTATAGCATTAGTGCACAAAAATTACATTAAAATAACAACAACAGATGGAGATTCAATTATAGGAGGTATGAGCATTATTCTATCACGTGATTCATTAAAATACCATGATAAAACATTTTGTTTGGAACCTGCATGTATGTTACGTTATTCAAGAGTCACGTAACGTGGTCATTATTATCATTGCTCATCATCCTTTTATATGCGGATCTACCAGCCTTAACTTATCGCACGTATCCCCAACATATTGCTAAAATAAACTTATGTTAAAACGATCGATAAGTTATTTCGGTACTCCAGCAGTGTATATACCAGGATAGGGTTAGGGCCTAATTTTATTCAGATTTACCATATTTCAGTCCTATTACGAGTTCGGGGAATGTCTGTGTTAGCCAAGTCAATATACTCCCTGCTCATAGGTTTTAGTCCCTTTACACAACTTTTAAAATGGGAGAACAAAATCAGTTACCTCCATATTGGTACACGTACTTCTGGAGCACCGTTATTTCACCTGACAATTTTTAGTTATCTGATATATATATATATATTATTTCGCTGAATACTTGCAATCGAAGTCTACACTTTCATTTAGGTGAAATGATTGACAACAATATATTTACCCATTACATCAATAAATTGAAAAAGCAAAACATTGACTTGTCAAAAAGCAAAAAGAACAAGACAAGATTGAAAGAAGCTTGCGAAAAAATAAAAAGAAATTTGTCTGCATCTTCCCGAGCTCGGTTAGTTATAAAACAAAGCTTTTATGGGACACGGAGTGGATATTTTTGTTATTATTATTTCTTATTTTTATTTTTTTATTTTATTTTTATGTTATTATTTTAACCTTCTGGCGACCGGGAGTAATTTACGTAAGATGTGAGCTGTTCCAAGAAGAACGGTTTTTTGAAGCTGTTCTGCATTAATATTTCCTGGAATATGTTGTACATATTTTTCAAATTCTTTTCCGATAAGTCCAAGCGCCCCCACCACAACTGGTATTGTTGAAGTTTGGAGTCCCCACATCTTTTGTATCTCGATTTCTAGATCTTTGTATTGTGAGAGTTTTTCAAATATTTTTTAGAGGTGTTTCTTTCGGATGGTATAGCCACATCAATTAGCAGACAGGATTTTTTTGTGAAATCTTTTACTATAATATGAGGTCGAATTGCTCCTATAGTTTTGTCAGTGTGAACAGTAAAATCCCATAAAATTGTTACATTTTCATTTTCTGTTACCGGTTCAGGCTTGTGATTGTACCACCTGTCTTCTGAAGGTATATGGCAGTGTTTGCAAATTTTCCAGTGCAAATAGGATGCGGTTTTGTTATGCCTTTCTGTATATTCTGTCGGTGCCAAAACTTTACACCCGGATACAATGTGGTCAACGATTTATCAAACGATTGGCATATTCTGCATTTTGGATCAATGTTTAGTTTCATAATTCTATTCTTGTGAGCGTTGGTCGGGAGACTTTGGTCCTGGGCATCAATTATAAATCCTTCCGTTGTGGGTTTCAGATCTGAACTTTTAGCCATTTATGCGTTTGTTGTTCATTTTCATCCAGTGCACATGTTCTAGTGGTATATTTTCCATGCAATGGTTTATCATGCCAAATTCTTAGTCTCTGAATTAGTGGATCTTCTGTTTCGGTCAAATATATTTTCAGTCCTACAGTAGATGCTTTGTAACTTTCCTCAATTTGAACCAGACCTCGTCCACCCTTGCTTCGTGATAAGTACAAACGTTCAGTGTCTGCTCGAGGATGATGTATTTTATTTATCGTCATTAGTTTTCTCGTTTTGGTATCAAATTGTTTGATTTCTTGCTTAGTCCACTTGATGATATTGAAACTGTACGAAACTACTACCCATACTGCAAAACTGTTAATTGCCTTCATGTCTGATTCTATCAGCTTCATGTACTCCAAGGTAACGATATGTTGAATCGCTATCGAGTTCTTTTATCGAGGTTTCTTGATCTAATTGTAAATTTGATTCTCTAAATAATTTACCTTTGCGAAAAGATGCTTTTGCGCATTTCTCGAGGCCAAATTTCATTTTGATGTCATCACTGAATGATTTCACAGTTTTCAATAACATTTCAAGTTGGTTATTATTTTTAGAATACAGCTTCAAATCATCCATATAAAATAAATGAGATATTTTTTGTTTCAAAATTTCGTAGCCACAACCGGTTTCTTTCAGCAAAGGGCTAAGCGGGGCCAAGGCAAGGCAGAACGCAAGAGGTGAATATGAGTCTCCTTGGAAAATTCCGCATGAAATCGAAATGGTGTCACTTTGTATCATTCCGTCATTGTGCCTCAGGATCAAATTTGTTTGCAAATTTTTTATTGTAATTTTGAAAAAAGAGATTAGGATAGGTGACAACTTGTAAATTTCGAATACCTTTAAAAGCCAAGAATGCGGTACACTGTCAAACGCTTTTCTGTAATCAATCCATGCGGTACTCATGTGTTTTTGATAAGTTCTACAATTTTCCAAAATCATTTTATTTACTAGTAATTGGTCTTTGCATCCATAAGATCCACGCCTGCAGCCTTTCTGTTCACTAGGTAACACTCCCTCTTCTTCAGGATGGGTGTATGTCCTATTATGTCCTATGAATTTAGTATTTTGTACATGGTAGGCAAACATGTGATTGGCCGGAAGTTTTGGGCAGATTCTGTTTCTGGGGACTTTGGTAAAAAATAGGTCAAACCCTAAGTTTACCATTTTGGTGTTAGTTCAGGTTGCTTAAGATACTTTCTAAATACCCCTGCCAAATCTTTGTGTAACGCCGAAAAGTACTTCAAATAGAAATTTGGTATTTTGTCTATTCCCGGGTGATTTCCAGTTTAAGGTGCCTCTGATTACACCACATATTTCTTCATCACTAATGTCGCTCCATTGTTGTTCGGGTAAAATGGCGTTTTCAATTTTGATGTCAGTGATCCACGTTGCCTCAGTATTATGGGACTCATTTTTACTCCATATTCCTGCCCAATATGTTTCCAATTCCGATATTGACGGGTAACGTTTTACGTCGATATCACGCTTATTCAATTCTCTATAAAACCAACTGGCATCCTCGTATGTTTTGTTTTGCATGAACTGTTTTTGTCGTTTGGTGTATCGTCGAAGCCTTTGCGCATTGAGTTGTATTTTCTGCTTTAGAGTTTCTCTGATTACCGCAATATTACTGTGTAACCCATCTAATTTGTACCGATTTGTTATTTTCTTCATTGTTCGTTTATTAAGAACACTACCGTTTTGTATTTCTGATAAGATAGACAAATCTGCTCTCATTTGTTTAATTTGGCTCTCAATTCTTACTTTCCATTTTGCTTTGTAATTGTGCCTTGGTCCAGTAGGTTTCCTAATTATTGCTCCAACTTTTTCAGTAACCATAGTTGAACATGCATAAATAATGTTTGATATTTCAATAACATCCAGATCAAATTCCAAATCTTGCTTCAAAAGGGCAATAGTTTTGTTGCCCTCTGCTAGCCAGATTTTAGTTTCTTTCGTTAATTGTAATTTTGGCAATTTGAGTCTGTTTTTAAAATCTTGTTCTCTGACAGAAAAATATCTTGATTTTAATTCCTTTTAGAATTGTTCAGTTTCTTCTTTTGGTTTATCTGGTAGAGGAGTTGGTGTTTGAGGTGAGTTTATGCATGGCAGTTGTAATATTTCTTGAACATTGTCACATGGGCCATTTTCGTCATGTACATTGTCATTTTGACTCATATCCCTTGATCCCAAGTATTTCTGTTTGATGGATTTGAGTTCTATATCTGTCAGTCGGTTATTCCGAATTATATCTCGTCGGACATTTGCAAGTCCATTTGCTGTCATATTTTGTGCTGTCATGTACATTCAAAGAGTGGGGTCCTTCAAGCCAATTTGTAAGTGTTTGTTTAGTAATACATTTTGAGGAAGAGCTCACAGCTTTGTAGTACGCTTCCATCACTTGTATATACTCTTCACGTTTCCAACGATGTTTTTTAATTTTTTCTTTTCTTTCCGATATTTCACGTATGGGGCTCGGTTGAGGAATATCCTCTGTTGAGGGACCACTTATATCGTGATGTGAGAGTGTGTCAGTAGAAATACTGACAATGTTTTTATTATTATTATTAATATTATTATTATGTTGTTGTTGTTTTTGTTGTATTTTTCTTCTTCTTATCGTTCTGAAAAATACGTTTTTCTTTTCTAACTACTGGATCAATTGCTTTGAAATTTCCAGTAGTTAAACATTGTTTTTTTTGATGGAAGGCTATTACTGTTTTTTTTTAATTTCTTTAATACTCTATGTCCATATATTTGAGCGTCGCTATCTTGTTTTAAATGTATATACTTTTAAACATTTGTTATATCAATAGAATACCAGAAGACTTGGCTGCTGATTTGGGAGTGGAATCATCGTCTCTAATTCTTACCAGAAGTGATTTTAACCAGCTCAACAAAAGTTTGTTTAAAAATTTGAACGTATTGTCGACAAAGTTATCAAAAGTGTTCCAGATGCTAAAAAACAGGTGAATATAGGAGAAACTACAATAAACTATTGACATAAAAGCACTGCTTACATATTTAGGTACGGAGTTTGTGCAGGCTTGTGCGGCTCACAGTACCGTTTATTAGATATGCGAGGCGCAGGCTTTAATAAAGAGTGACGAAATGTGGAATATTTTTTCTTATTAAAATAAAAGTAGAAAAGTCAGATGTTAGTTTGAATATATATCCCACAAAGTTTAAAAATAAATTTGAAAATAATAAAATAGGATTTCTAGCGAAATTTCCTATTATATTATTTAGATGTTGATTCTGATTTTTTAGTTGCATTGAACAGCTACACCAACGGTCCCCCAAGCATGATAAGATAATTAACAACAACAATTTTAATTTAAAACAAGGGTGTGCAATATTCATTATCGGTGGGCCATATAACCAACTTCAGACATCCAGCTGGGCTACACAAAAAATTTAGCGGGAAGGCACGAGAAAAGAATGCGTCTAAAGATTTAACGCTGCAATAAAAACAAAAACATTATGTATTTCATCCATGTGAGCGCCTTTTTAAACTTAACATAAACCAGTCGGATTAGGATTTATTTTCTGGTGGGGAATAAGTTGAATGTGGCCAAGGACTAAATGGCTTGGCGGGCGGAGTTGTGGCCCGCAGGCCGCCTGTTTTACACTCCTAATTTAAAACAATACATACTAACATAGGTACACTTCTTATCAAATCATCATAACTATATAATATTTTAAATCCATATATATGATAGTACATTGATTTTATACAATAAATTTCGATTGAATATATAAATTAATTAATCATTGTTTTCAATTTTATTCAAAATGATAATTTTATCATATTCAAACAATATTTTACATTTTTTTTTCTGAATTAAGTGTGTTGATATATTTTAGTTTGACGACATCGTTCTTGTGGGAGGATCAACTCGTATTAGAGAGATCAGAAATATTCTTTCAGATTATTTCAACGTAGTGGAGTTAAACAGAACTATAAACCCGGATGAAGCTGTAGCGTTTGGCGCTACATTATACGCAGCAAGTCTGACTGGTGCTCAAGAGGTTTTTTGTAGTTATTGAACACGGGGTGGACATATGATCCTTTTGTTATTACGTTGTTGTTCCCGTTCTTGATGTTAAAATTTTTTTCTATCGTTATGGAAAATCTCTTTTCTCTTTAATTACTTGACCAATTTCTTTAAAATTTTCAGTGGTAAAAGATTGTATTTTTCGTTTTATCGTTTTTGTTTTCGTAAGGTTTTATTGCTTTCATTTATTTCAAAATTTTCTGTGGGATTAATGAGATTTGTTTTCTGTGTGCGATGATGTCACCAAAAATAAAAATTGCCCTCCTTGTGGCGATTTCGTCTTCGCGTCAGCGATTTTGGTTCCGGAAAGTCGTGAACACGGCGGGTACCGGTAGTCTACTGTGACAGACTGTATACCCGTACTACTCCGTATCAATATATTTAAAAACTGCTCTTTTGTTTTTCATATATGTATGTATATATATTTTGGTCAGTATATCATTTTTCAATAAAAGTGGAAAAAATATACTAAATGTGATTGGTATATTATTTGGTATGTGCTAAAAAGCATAGACTAATTAACAATCATAGGTACTCCTGAAGTATGCGCACCAAGATGGCGCACAACCTAAACTCAGGTTGTGTACCAGGTTAGATTCGATTGTGCGACATCTTGGTGCGCACACTTCAGGAGTACCTATGATTGTTAATTGGTCTATGCTTTTTAGCACATACCAAATAAATATGTATGCAAGCAATTTCGCTTTTGTAATATACAGAACAAACAATCTTACGCATTTAATATTTACGCATTTAGGTAGTTGCAGATATACAAGATTTTTTTTAACTTTATAGTCTTTATTCCAAACTTGAGCTTGTCAAAAGTGATTCATAAAAAATAATTTTTTTATTGTTTGTCGCGTTGCATTTTTATGCATCGTAAAATAATTAACTTTTCACTAAATTGTATATTTTGTTTTATGAACAGAGTCTCAGATACAACATCCATGATCGCATAATAAACGATGGTGGCAAACAAAACAATGAAGAGGAAATTAAGCGAATGGTAAGAATGATTTATGTGCGACTAATTTTTGTGGCCGACTTTACATCAAGGTAATATATTCTCTTGGCTAACACAGACAGTCCCCGAACTTGTAATAAAACTAAAATAAGGAAAATCGGAATCAAATTATGGCCCAACCCCAACCTGGTACACATTCTACGGGAGTACCGATTTATGATATATATTTTCTAGTATATGCTTAAAGTCGTTCAAAATTAATTTAGTATTAAATATCTTGCTTAATTGGACATGAGTAACGCTTTGAAAAATTTCGGTTAAGATAAATTCAAACGGTTGCCTGTAATTTAACAACAAAATATTCAATCTTTTCTTGACTCACCGTTTTTAACGTGCTTGTAAATAGTTGATCCTTTGCTTTTCCTGCACAATGTATTGCTTATTTTAAGGTGAACAAAAACAAAGAATTCGATGAATATGACGAAACAATAAAAATGCAAAACAACGCCAGGAACAGCTTGGAAAATACAGCATATTCAATAAAGTTAGAAATAAAATCTTCGAATTTATCGGAAGATGACAAAAAATCAGCATTACAGGAGTGCGATGACGCGTTGAAATGGCTGGAAAGCAATAAAGTAAACAATTTTATTATGTGAAATAGAACATTTTTGACATTAAATAGAAATATACCAGTTATTTATTGAAAACCTCGATTGGATTATATAGGGATAGGTGATAAAAGTGCGAAAATTTTGGATGACGTTTGATAAGATTTTTAAAAGTATTTATTTGATTTATTGGACACCACGCGAAGCGCGTCTGTGGAGTGTGGACACGACAAATACTGTTTATACACTTACATTGAATTTAACTGAACTAAGCTTTGTAGTTTAATTTGGACTTTTTGACAGTAAACAATTTATCAAAACTAATTTCAATGTTCAAGCATGATACTAGCAGCTCAAAATTATGCCGCTCCAGAAGTATTCGTACCCCGGCGTTTTCCTTTAGGATACTTTGCCTTATCTAATCCCCACATTGGGCGGTCCAGAAATATTCACACCAATGTGGGGATTAAGTAAGTCAATGTAAAGCAAAGTATTCTAAGGGAAAATGGCCTGGTACGAATGCCTCGCGAGCAAAGTATCCTAAGGCTTAAATGCCCTGGTACGAATACTACGGAAGCAAAATATCCTGAGGAAAATTGCCCTGGTACGAATACTACGGGAGCAAAGTATCCTAAGGGAAAATGCCCTGGTGAGAATATTTCAAGAGCAAATATCCTAAGGATTAAATGCCCTTGTACTAAAACTACGGAAACAAAGTATCCTAAGAGAATGCTCTGGTACGAATACTACGGGAGCTCAAAATTATAACATATTTTAGATCGCTACAGTGAAGGACTGCAATAAAAAGCAGGAAGAGTTAACAACAGTAATTCAAAAAAGTGTAAAGGTATGTAGGACGTTGTATACCATCCTTCACTATGCACCAGCGTTAGTGTTTTTGTTTATCGACATGAAATGGACTATGAATCGTTTTGTTAATATGTTGGGCGCTCCCGTACTATGTGAACTAAGATGACGGACACCAGAATATAGTATGCGTACCAGGTTAGGCCATAATTTTATTCACATTTTCCTTATTTTAGTTCTATTACGAGTTCGGGGACTAGCCGAGTGACTCCCGTAGTATTTAGATTTGAAATGATGGACTAGTCCTATCCTGGTACATATACTACAATCCGGTGTTCGCCCTCTTGGTTCAAATACTTCGGGAGTACCAAATATCAAATAGTAAATGTAAATAAAAGTTTTCATGCGTTGTGGGGAGGAAAGGGGAGCTTAAAAATAGGCCAAAGGAGGAATCCGTCAAAAAGGTTGAAAAGCACTCAGCTATTACATTCATATTCATGTCAATTTAGAATGGCGTGTAGACGTCTGTACGTCATTCTAAACATAACATTATATTGCAAACGCAGTCAACTAGATTCTAACAATATTTATTTTTATGAAGTAAACTAAGTAAACCATGTTGTTTTAAATTCATTTTTTTCGATTTTCTATTTTTTTTAGTTATTTATAGCAACAGATATTTAATTTGTATGAATAAGTTCAAATTTATAAATGGTAATTTTTTTCTAATCTTTTGATTTCATTAAGGACATGCCATGAAAAATTTCAATAATTGACTAAGTCAATTATATTTTTTTTTACTTATTCAAACAATATTATAAACATATTATATAAATTGTAATCTTTGATAACATGTTATTTTTATCTGTATTCAATTTTAATATGAGGAAAATGACTCAGCGAGTACCACACGAGAAGAAATCACAACAGATACAAAACGCCTAAAAATGAAAAGCAGGTTGCATTTTATATTTGGTACTCCCGAAGTATGTGAACCAAGATGGCGGACAGCGGAACGTAGTATATGTACCAGAGTAGGGTCAGGCCTTAATTTTATTCCAATTTTCCTTATTTCAGTTCTTTTACGAGTTCCAGAAATAACCAAGTGACCCACGTAGTATTTGTACCTAGAATTAGGGCCTAGCCCTAACCTACTACACATTCTACGTTCCGGTGACCGCCATCTTAGTTCACATACTCGGAAGTATATTATATTTTACTCGGAATAAAATCCATACTAATAATATCTTCTTGAGGTAATTTCATTGTTTAGATTCCAAACGTGTCCGAAAAACCTCGCCGCAGGAAATTTCGCCGTACACGAAAAGTCGCTAGAGCATTTTGCCGTAAACAAGTATTTGTGATTAAAACAGTTAGGTTTATAGAATTATGGTTACGGTATGCTCTCAAATAACGAATCTTTTTTTAAATAAGGCGATTTTTCATACGGTAAGTTTTCCTATGCGGCGAAATTTCCTACGGCGAAATTTCCTGCGGCGAATTTTCCTAGAACCCCTTACACCAGGGATGGGCAACTTCTCTAGTCGGCGGGCCAGATGTGGGGAAATGAAGTCCTCGGCAGGCCGGATTATAACAGAATAGAATTCAATATCTTAATCACATATTTATTCGCTAAGGCAAGAAAGAAAATTATAAATCGCATTTAAAGTAAAGTTTAAACTACAAAAAACACATAATGAATTCATCATAATGTACTAAAAGTGTAATAATGTAATATCATAATGTACTGTGGTACAGTCAGCGGGCCGGTCAAAATCTCGTCGCGGGCCGGACTCGGCCGCGGGCCGTATGTTGCCCACCGATGCCTTACACAGTACAATTTTCGAAATCGTAATTCACAGTTTTGACTTATCGTCTACAAAATTAATATTGTAACATTATTTGAATCCTTGAATGCATGAAACCAAAAAATACAATCTAGCAAAGTAAATTAATCAGGTATTTATATTAAAGGTCTCAACAACGCAACAAATGTTATAGATATAAAAATTAATTTTGAATGATAAAAACCCATCACTCAAAAGTTTTCTTAATAAAAAATTGACTCTAATGAATACAGTCTTGTGGGTAACTCCAACATTTTGATCGGAAAACAAAGAAAAACATTTTCAATCGGCTTTAATGTTGATTTTATTACAATGTTAACAAACCACAATATAACATAAGAATACAAATATATAAAGAGAGTACAACACATACAAAATAAATTTCAAATAAGCAGAACGCAACAATCAAAAATAACGATCAAACTAATATAAAAAAACATTTTTGATACGATTAATACAATACTTGCAGGATTTCTTACTTACTAATATTCAAATTTGATTTTATAGCTAGAACAATCCGACAGAAAAGAGAGAAAAAGTGACAACACGAATATGAAAGTTGAACAACCAAACTCTTCATCCAAGAACACAAATCCAACTTCAACTGAGGTAAAATTCTAGAATGTTGTCTTTGGTATAATGAATTTCAAACTCAAGCTAACTTTCAACTGTAAGACATTTTCTGGGTTCTATACCTCTCTTTAGATATATTCTATCCAAAATTACTTTACTCAAGAGGCAAAGAGTTTAGTAAAGAATTCGAGGCTTTGAAGAATCTCATCAAAAAAGAAACCAAAACATTCTTAAAAAAATGCATTTTTTAAATTTAAATTGGGAAATAGATAATAATACTCTGATATTAACGCTATTACAATATCTATAAACTTACAAACAATGTTTTACATGTCTAGTGCAAATATTGAATCAGAAGAAGAAGAATCTATAAATATTAGTATGTTATGTACTTCGTGCAATGAGAAAAAATTGTAAAACATTAATAGAATATCAATTTTACCAAATTGTATTAATTCCCGCTATCAAATCGAACACCTAACAAACTATAATTTAGATGACAGAAAACCTAAAACAACTAAAAGAAGTCGCAAAAGAAAGAAAATTTGAAGCTAAAAAAAAAGAAGAACAACAAAACTTCAAATCGAAGGTAGTGTTTTTATAACAATACAAATTATTATTATAATTATAATAAATAGCGAATTGTTCATGGGAAAGATATTATTAGAGTAATTTGAAACAACTCACCTCAAAGATGAATTTTGATAAATTTGAACAGCTCTCTTCTTCAATAAAGTGAGAACAGAAAACTACTCAAGAATTCATTTATTATTTTTATTTTATTGTATGTTACAATTAATATCAATTTACTTAAGATACCATAAGAAGGAATTCTCAACTACAATAAACCGGTTAGTTTTAATCACCCCAAACACTTACACTAGTTGCAGGGAAACTCGCTGAAAAAGAAGAAAGTCAGAAAATCAAATGGCACGGTCTCTGTTGCATCGAGTCAACATGACATGGGCAAACCAAGTACAGACCGGACAAGTGTAAAACAAAAGCCAACCCAAAGGTCTTATTTTTCGTGGTTTAAAAGTTAATATTTTGAATTTTTTCCTGGCTTGCTATCAACAATTCTTTTTCCAAACGAATATTAAGTTAATATACAGAAAAAAAAATTGGCCTCATAAAAAAAATCGGGGGTGGCTACGCTACTGGTATGGTTGCATGCTTACGTACGTTTCATGGGCTCAACGAGAAAAATATTTGCGATTTTTTCTACAGTGAGCTTAAGCACAAAACTGGCAACAACATAATAAGCAAAAATAGATTATAAGTAAATACTAAATGGCTTTATACACAAATTAAGCTAACGCAAGCATAAACGCTTCCGAATTTAAAATTACATCCACACGCAAAACGCATGTGAACTTTAATTTCATGTTATTACTATGACCATTTTAATGAAAATATACAGCATACCGTGTTTTCCCCCAAAATAAGACATACTCTGAAAATAAGACCTAGCCTGAATTTTAAAAATGATTTTAATATAAGCTCTCCCCTTACAATTCAAAACCTGGTCAATAGCGTGAAATCATTTTTGACCTAGTCGATAGCAAGAAATCTCTCCTACTCGTTTTGATAGATTGATAATCCATGTTTTGCAGTTTTTTTTTAAATGAATATCAAGTAAATGGATATCAATTTTCATATTTTGTTTATTTGAAAATCTCGTAATTCTCTACCTAATTTTGTTTTTGATAAATGAAAATATAAGACATCCCCCGAAAATAAGCCCAAGTGTTATTTTTCGAAAGAAAATTGAAATAGGACCCAGTCTTATTTTTGGAGAAACGCAGTATTGATCAAAGTACGCTTCTACCCAATTTATTTGGTAATTGAGATTGACAATATAAATTGTATAAAATTTTATCATGAACCGTTTTCTCTTGTATCAAAATTTTATTTACAGCGTTTTGAATGGGAATAAGCTAATAATAAAAAACTCCTTAATTAATTAAAAAATTAACTAATATAAAATTCAACATATGGCAATGAAACACTTATTTGAAAAAAAAAGATTCCGAATTCAAAAGAACTAAAACATAAAATTTAAGGTTCTCCCGTAGTACACCGGAACGTAGAATGTGTACCAGGTCAGAGTTAGGCCATCATTTTATTTCAATTTAACTTATTTTAGTTGTATTACGAGTTCGGGTACAAGTTCACACTACGGTTCACATACTACGGGAGTACCAAATTTAATATCAGTAGAATCTATTTGTATGTTTTTTGTCAAATTGTTTTTCTGATATATCAAAAAATGTCAGATTTTATAATATCATTATAATTTATTTTTTTCAGTTTTTAAAATTATTTTAGAAGTCACTAAATATTGTCTGTTATTTGAAGTATTGACTTCAAAAGAAGAATTCAAAAGAACTAAAACCTAAAATTTAAGGTTTTCCCGTAGTATATGAACCAAGATGGCCGACACCGAAACGTAGTATATATGTGTACCAAGTTAGAGTTAGGTCATAATTTTATTCCAATTTACCTTATTTTAGTTGTATTAAGAGTTCGGGTACGAGTTCACACTACGTTTCACATACTACGGGAGTACCAAATTTAATATAAGTAGAATAGTAGCATTTATTTGTATGTTTTGTCATGATGTCATGATGTTAGATTTCGTAATATCATTCATATTAATTTTTTTTCAGTTTTTAAAATTATTCTAGAAGTCACTAAATATTGTCTGTTATTCGAAGTATTGATTTTATTGTTACCAGAAAGGTGAAATAGTCAAGAAAAAGGACGGAAAGGCAAAAAAAGACCAAACACCTTTAAAAGAAGTGGAATTTGAATCGACACGATTGTAGTTTTAACACTTAAAATACAACAGAACGTTTCAAAATTGTATATTAAAACAAATATGATTTGGAAATATTATGTAATCAGTATTATATGTGCTTATTACTTGAAATATAGAAATAAACGACGTTCAAATGTTTTGTATTGAAAAGTTCCAGATAACAAAGCAATTACCGTAATAAAAAAATTAGTCTTGTCTTTTTTTAAATTGTGTAACTGTTATAGATTTTTTAAGTTATTATGTTTTTTAACAATAGAAAAATATTGATCTGTTTTTAAATTAAAATTTGTAAAATTCCCCACTACTTCCAATCAAAGGTCATATATGCTGACAAAGGTGTGAGGGTTGTGTTTTTACGACCACAGAATGATATTTAGAGATCTCCTGTATGTCGGCACTTTCCAATTTGAGATCTTCCATAATATTTTATTTAAATAGACATCAGCATACAGAATAGTAGCAATAATTGGGTTTGTGTCAGAGATTGCATAAATTTCAAAGGAGGCGGCGCGATGGCCGAGCGTAAACGCAACTGCGTTGGAATGGCAGATCAACCATATTGGGTTCAAGTCTCACGGCACTATCTCATCCAGAGTGTATAATATGGCCTTTCAGATAATAGTACCTCCTAACGTATCGTTAGATAACAGTGGATGCCAGTACACGACCCATTTTGAAGCGAAAGGAACGAGTAAGCTTGTAAAAATAATCCAGGCGTTGCTATACTTGTGCGATATTTCAATCTTATACAAATTGAAGTTTAGCTAAGAAGTATTTATACAAGCATAAATAGCAAATAGATCGCTATGTACCGCCCAACTTTCGGACCGAAGTTACATCATCATACGGTTACAAATCATCCAAAAGATCATACAACTGCATATACACTTCTTCTATTCTTGTACTTTCCCTTAGAATCACATACTGTACAAACTTGTTCGTTTACTGAATACTACTCCAAGTAACATTTGTTCATTTATTCAATTATTTACGTAAAACAATATTTATCATTTAAAAAAATAAATATAAAATTTCTGTTTGATTGTCTTGCTTTAATAAAATAACGATCTCATCACGATCTCAATACCGAGCATTGATATTCGATCTATTTGGATTGGTAGACTATACAACCGTTATTTTTTTCATCCAGAAGATGGTCGCGGCTCGGAATACTTTTTTTTGACAATTTGCCAAGCTTTGTGGAGTTTGTTCCACTTTTCTGTGTACTCTTTCAGATTTTTCTAAAGCAATAAGATAACAATGAAGCAAGAATTCGTATTAATATATTTTAGATCAAATTTTTATATGACTTACGTTCTTGAGCCAGTTTTTGGTATCGTTGCATTTCCCGCAAAGTTTTTGTCTATCTGCCGTATCGTACTGTTCCAACGTTCCTTCAATAATAGAGACGAGGCTTCTCAGATCCTATTTGAAATTGTCAAGCTTATTTTATAAATGCAACATGTTAAATGTAAAAAGCAAGAATATTAATTACCAGATTATTCTCAAGAAAAGAGAAAAATTCCATGTAGGTAATTTTTTTTAACCAAAACATGGATTTTATTTAAAAGATCTCGACTGCATACCACGTTGTGTATCTTATTTTAATATTTTTATATGCCGGGCCGTTACAAAAGTTGGTATAATTAGTAGCTCTCCACTTATTAGTTGGTTCTTGGTTGAATTATTTATTTAGAAAAGTGTGAAACATCTCATTGGAATTACGACACCTTACGGAGGTCAATAAAACTATATTAATATTATAAAAAATAACCTGTCGATTGCGTTTTTCATCATAATCTGCATCATTTCTCAGTGGCGCCGGTGTTGCTGCTGGTTTATGTCTCATTTTCGGCATCTGTTTTCCGTACATTAAAAATTTATATTTGTAAATTGTAATGAACTTTGTACGCGGGACTCACCATATTCTAGAGCTGGTATGGGCAAACTACGTCCCGCGGGCTAAATCCAGTCCGTTTAGTGATTCAATCTGGCCGCCTGAAGCAGCGACAACCAAACTAAAACCAAACTAAAAGCAAAAATAACTCGAGAAATTTGGTAAAATTGCGATTAAATTTAGTTTCGTCACATTGTTTTCCTTTTTTGCTTTTGTAATATTGCTTTGGGAATATTGTTAATAAAATGTTTTTGGCTCCAAGTCTAAGGCAGTGGTTTTCAACCTTTCATGCCTCGTGGCCCCTTTCCAGCGTCTTTTTGAACTCGTGGCCCACCTGTTCACGCTTGCAAAAAAAAACTAAACGTGTTGGATTGTATTATGAAATGCAAAAACAAGCCACAGACAAAAAAGTCCAAGCTTTTTAGTATACAATGACTGGGAATCTTGCGCTTGGGACTGTCTGACGAGATTTCTCATATTTGGAACTGTCAACATCAGGACAGTTTCTATATTTTGTTTTGATATAGACGCATAGATAGGCTGTGACAAACTGAATTGCTAAGTAGTGTGTAAAAATCCGATATGCCACTTCATCGCTGCATGCATTGAAGACCGTTTTTTTTTCGACAAAAAAACAGACTTGGCCAATTTTGCGTTCTTGTCAAATCTTACTCGCTTGGCAGCCAAGAAGCCGACGTCAACCTCATTACCCTGAGTATGTTTTTTATCACGGTGGTTTTGGAGTTTAGATGGACGTAATTACTCATTGCTCATTACATACGAGCAATGCAGGTATTGAGCACATTCTCTCTCAATTCGATTCATTTTGGTAAAGCCAATCCAACGATTCATGCACAAGAAAGTGAATGCACTCTGTGATCGCAATTAACCTATTTAGATAATGAAACTCAGTGAACACCTAAACGGGGAAAGATGAGTATGCAAACGAATTTGTTTTATGAAAATTATTAGCCTTGTGTCGTGGTCCCCTTGAACTACTCTGTGTCCCCATTGGGGAGCTATCGGTCCCCGGTTGAGAACCACTGGTCTATAGATTGATGCCTGAGTGGCTTCATGAATCACTGATGCTCCATAGGTCTATATCAAATCCAGCATCTTATGGCCGAATAGTTTCATAGATATATATGTGCAGCCGTTGGAGATTAGATAAACGACTTGGAATAAGATGCAAATTGCATGAATGTGTTAATAAATGTGACGAACTAACGAATAACGTTTACGTTATTTTATACGTTTTTGTATTGTTTACGTTGGGGATTTGTATGAATAAAAAATTGTGTGTTTTTAAAACTAAAATAAGCAGGCGAACGTAGGCTAAATAGCGTATCGACAATAACAACAATATTTGGTTATAATCCCAAGTTAAATCTCAAAAGTTTTAAGGCTTTCTTCAACTGGTGGGGTAATAAAAAATCGGCTTACTTGGACAGAAAAGTTCTGGCCTTCAGGTGTGATTACCGTGTAATTAGACAGATCCGATTGATTTTGATTTTTAATTCTGCTGGGGAGTTGTTGGCGGTTGGTGGCGGTTGATTGCTCTTGCTGTTAATATTAAATAGAAAAATTGATTTGAAAATGTTTCCGCAATAATTCTTGAAATTCTGAACGCCTTTGATTGATCAGTTAATTTTTTTTATACCAACCACTACATAATGACTCAGTGGTTAAAGCACTAAACTTGTTTGAACTTCCCCATCATTGCAAGTTTTACATCTTGGTTTAAAATACCACGGCCACTAGTCTGGTGTGTAACAAATCGAGTATGCAACACCCAGCTGTCAAAGTTTCGGTTCTTTCAAAAGATTCCGCTTCTTGCTTACCATTAGGTATTGGAAGATGCTTGTTGTTGTTATATGTTTTATGGCGCTTATAACTCCATGGTTCTGCAGCGATATTGATCAATTCAAATTTAAAATTCCTTTACTAAAATATTATACAATATTTGCAAATAAATAATTATGCATAATGCTTATGCTTGAATCAATTACAACAAAGCCTAGAGAATTTGATACTGACGAATGACAAATCTCAATTTATGTGTAAGGCCTCTGGTTGAAATCTATCGCCTTCACAAAATCCGGAACTCCAAGCTGTATTAAATTTCTACAAATGAAACAACTCTGTCATAAGAATTTAAAATAAAATTGTTCAACTCGTTGTTAGTTTGCTTGATTACTTACATGAAGTTTTTCCGAATAGTTATTTTTATTCAGTACTGGAGTTGCGTTCCTCTTCGTATTTCCAATATTAGAAGGCTTTGGCTAAAGGTAAATATCATAAGAATTATGTCCATAGAAAATTAACAATGACATGTCCAGCGGTTGGCGTATGAGATTCGAAGATTTGAAATATCTAACTCAGGGATAATAGATTTGTTAGGCGATACATATTTTGCACAGAAGCTTGGCACCATAATACATGTCAGCGTCTTCTTGCACATAGCCTCATTCAGAGCGAAGGCAAGCAATAGTTACTTAAACAGGAAATAAATGTGAAGTTAAAATGACTTTTTCAAGTGAGGATGCAAATCAAAGAATTATAATACATGAAGACGAGGAAACAGTACGCTATTTTAGTTTATGGGTTTTTTCATTCTGGAAAGAAATTCAATCTTAACACGCTGGAAATATATTTCATATGATCTTTCATGAATAGAAATTTTGAAAGCTGTTTTGACTACGAGGGATTCAAAATTCTGGCTGCGCACTAACACAAATATAAATAGTTAACGTTTCATCTGAGCAAAGACGTTCATTAGACATTAAATAATATTACATCATTCTTACACTATATGCATACGAACCCATCGGCGAATACCAATGAAGAAGAATGAGGAGTTAGTAAGCAGAAATTCAAGAAGATAATGATGAGACAATGTTACCGAAAAAACCTTTCAAATGCATTTTATCACTTTTCTACGTTTTGAAAATGCACTTAATCATTTTCGACTTATAACTTACAGAATTCGGAAGTGAAGATATCTTTGACTTATACTGACTCTGACCATTGCCGACTATCTGCCTGTTTCTGTTTTCAGCTGACATTGACTGCAAAAGAAACAAATAAATCTATTTTTACCGACTTTCAAAGAAAATGCATAATAATATAACGCAAAAATGATGCCATAGGAAAATATAATTTGATATATAGAAACATTTATAGCAAGCAGTCCATATCGAATAGGAAATGAATGAGACCAAGTTTACATTTGCCTCGTTATTTTGTCTGTGTTACCTTTTTATCCTGATGTATATCTTCTCTTTTGGGCTCGTGATATTGTATGTGCCTGGTACTTTTATTTTGTCGTTTTGGCGTCTGAAAATGTAACAGAATGAAAATCGTAAATTTATTTTCTAACAAACGTCATGATTGAATTTTTAAAATCATACCTCGGGTCGTATTTTTCTTTCGGATAAACTTTCCTTTCTTTCTGGTTCCGAAAACCGTTTATTTACTTTATCTAAAACGGCATTCTGACAAATGAAATATAGCATTAATGCATTGTTATAATAAAATTTTCCTCGTATGTGCTGTGTTTCATTTAATAACTGTATTTTTACAGCTTCTTTGCTAAATATTATTAAATTAAGGTAAATTACGTTGAAATTGTTAATCGCACATGATAAAGGTTTTAGAAGCCTGTGGGATAGATATATCTTAGCTTGTTATAACCAACCTTGAAGTTTTAAACTAAATATTTGTTTGAATAACAACGACGTCTGAGTACTCCCGTAGTATGTGTACCGATTTGGGTTATATCATAATTTTATTCAATTTTTTTTTAAATTTTATTTCGTTTATATACCCCCTGCCCATAAGTTTCAGTCACTTTACACAGCTTGATGCAAAGTAGGCTGAAAAAATTAGTTACTTTCATATTGGTAAACATACTTTTGGAGCCGAAGACTTGTAAGTTAGGATATACGCTTGCGAGTCATCAGTTGGAGCAGTGGTTCTCAACCGCCGGTCCGCGACAACCTTGCTGCCGGTCCGCCAAATATATCCCAATATAAATAAATTAATTGCAAAATACAAAGTATTGACTTCATGTCCATTAATTTTATGATTTTTTAACTCTCATTGATTTGTAGTACCGGTATTCTTCTAACAAGAAAGGTTCCCAACCTTTTCTATATCGCGGCACACATATCACAAAACACGAACATTTTCTACTCATAAAGAGTGCGATAGTCGAACGCAAACAAATGGTTAATAGTTACCGATTTTACAACCGTTTTCTTACATTAATGTAAACGAGAGCGTCTTCGTAGCACCTCACATTGTTGTAAACGTTGCGCGACCGCACGGATAATACGTGGCCCTCAAACGCGCCGCCGATCACGCGCTTGGGTTTTGCTCGTCGTTCCACGTTACGCCTTTATTACTATCATATGTATTGTCAGTTTTTCACAACTTATTCATTTTTGTTACAATTCAATAAGTTTCTCCCATTTCCAAAATCATTCAATAGTGTTATTGTCGGTACTTGCGACAGAAATGAAAGAGGCAAATAAACTGTATTTCATTACAACAATATTTTATTATCGCTAAAAACGCTAAATAGGTTTAAAATTGTTATAAAAAATTTTCACCGCTGGACTTATATTTTCACGTTATTAATTTCGTGCAGGACCCGGACATAATTTGATGGCAAAGATCATATCATTTAGCATTTCGAAAAGCTTATTCGACTTTTCAGACTGCAGAAACTATCCGAAAATAATAACCGTTTTTGTGCTCGAGATATGAAATAATCGTCGATTCCACCACGCTTTCGTGAAGTAGTGCAATTTATCAAATCTATGAAGGTTTTATTGAGTTTCATTGCATCAGTGTTGGACTACCACGCGTTTCGCCAAATTGCTGGCGTGATTACAGATCGGGTGGGCGAAATAGTATATTTCCATCGAATCGAATAATTTTAACAAATTGTCGAATATCGGGTTGAATTCGGGATTTTATTTCGATGTTTATCTTTTTGGATCGACTTCGGTCTTTCTGTCCCCGTTTGTAAATTAACTGTCTTATTTTTGAGCTGAAAATATTATCGTTTCTGACGCCGGAATGCGGATATTTTTGAAGACGATAAGTGACCTTCTTGATTTTACTTTTTTATTGTGGCTGTTTTATTTTCGTATTGAATAGTGAATAAAAACCATGCAAAGTCATTGCGTAAATCTTGAATGCTATTTTGGGTTCAAATTGTGATTATATAAGTCGGCAATAATGACAATTCTACTAGTCAAATAACAATTACTTGGCAAAATTCCGCAAAATAATTCCACTCAGTCTGACTGACTCAAACTGTAAGCGCAGATGGCTTTTTTTCAAAATAAGTATCAAATAAAATGGTAAAACCTACAATTTGTGAGAATATCTATATATGGATAACAAAGCCTTAAAATCCCGGGATTTTTCGGAAACAATTGCGGGATTGGGATTAAAAAAACAATTCAAACCCGGGATTTCGGGATCGGGATTTCCCGGGGTCCCAACCCTACATAGTACGGTACCTGATTGAAAAATTCTCAGTTCGCACGTTCCGTAATTTGACAGTAGGCATATAATTTAGCGAGGTTTTATAGTAGAATGGAGTCAAACAAACAGCAAAATATTATTCAGTTCAAACAGGCCTACTACGCCTTGCAGAAACTTCATTAGAACAGCGTTTAATATTAAAAATACAGCAGCAAATTTCTCATTAAATTGGATTGTCTTCTTTTGCACCGCCTACTTTTGTCCTAATTGCATTCCTTTGATTATGTTTTGTGTTCATGACATTTGTGGTGAATTTTGAAGGTCCGCCGGTAAGCAAAAATTATTTTTAAATTTTACCGGTCCGCAAACTGAAAAAGGTTGATTTCCACTGGTTTAGAGGGATGTTTCCAACAAAAATAATACCGCAATTCTCCGATTAAATAGATATTATAGTAATATTATAACCTTTTTGTGAAAAATATAAAATTTATAAAACATAAAACAAGTAAAAACAAAAATGACTGATTTCAATAACGTTTTTTGAAGTTTTTACCTTTTCGTTTTTTTTTTGAAATTGGTTTTCGAGCGTAGAGTTGCCTTTTGAGTTAAAATTCTGAACTACGAAAAATGTATTACACTATTTCTATTAATTTGTGAAAAGCGTAGAATACGAGAAATATATTTCATGTGTTTCCCTGCTTGGATGAAAATCTCAGACTTTTGTATATAAAATATTCTACAGCAGGGGTCGGCAGCCTTCTGTCGTATACGAGCCAAAATTGAAGGCTGCAAAGGTATATTGAGTTATATGTAAAAAAAAAAAAAAGTTAACAACAAGAACAGTAACAACAACAACATAATAACAAAACGATTCATAGTTCCACTACGTGTCTAGTGATCAAAAATAAGACCACAATTCTTCGATTAAATAGATATTATAGTGATATTATAACCCAATTGTGAAAATAGAAAATTTATAAAACATAAATCAAGCAAAAACAAAAATAACTGATTCCAACAACCTTCGTTAAAGTTTTTTTCGTTTCTGGATTCGTTTGAACATGGTTTTCGGACGTAGACTTGCCCTTTTGGCTATTTGAGTTTCCAGTCTGGAAAGCAATCAAAAAGGAAAAGTAATCTCTATTATTTTGTAAAAATCGTAGAATAAAAGTAATATATCTCATATATCTCCCTGATTAAAAGAAAATTTCATAAATTATACTTTTGTATATACGATTTCTACAGCAGGGGTCGGCAACCTTTTGTCGCTGGCGGGCTAAAATTGACTAAAAAGGCTGCAAATCTTTTTTGACGCATATTTTTCGAAGAAAGTAACAAAACGATGTATAAGTCCACTGCGTGTCCAATAATGTGCTCTTCACGCGTAGATTATAAAATTATATCATGGTTAAAATTCGCAGCCGTATAATTTGCTGTCGCCGTTTTGTCGCTAAATTCCAGTGAAGCATCGCGAGGTGAATTAATTTACTCCGTAGGTTGAAGGTTGTCGACCACTATTCTGCAGTCTACTAGCTTTTTACGTTTTTCCAATAACTAATTACTTACCAAAAGAGCTCTCGGTTCAGCTAGTTTTATTTTAGATTCTCTCTGATAAATGTCAGTGTCAGATTTTTGCCCCTTTACTCCGTGTGCTGATACAGCAGGCTGAAAAAAAGTAACAATTTTTCAAAAGAGAATTTTCCTACGCAAAGTCTCACACACTTCACTCACATGCACTCCGACGCAAAAGACATTGAGTTCAGAGCAAAGTTAAAAGCAACTACTTGAACTCTTAATACTAAATATGGCACTCCTGAAGTATGAGTACCAATATGGAGGTAATTTATTTTGTTCACCTACTTCACGTCAAGTTGTGTAAAGGAACTGAAACCTATTAGGGTATATTCATGAGACTAATACAGACAGTCCCCGAACTCGTAATAGAAATGAAATAAGGGAAATCGGGATAAAATTATGGCCTAACCCTAACCTGGTACACATACTTCAGGAGTACCCCAAATATTACAAAAGCTTCGAAACCTTCCATGAAAGGATGGTCACAAATTTAAATAAATTTAGTGTAAACCCAATATAAATTACTGACGGGCCATAAAATAATGCAAACATTAAAAAAGGGTCATAACTATTTAGACCAGGGCAGGAGGGTATATTGTCCATGATTAATTAGAACGATGGAGACAAAAAATATATCTAATGGCCGCATAGACAGCATAAAAAATAAAGTAGATTATGCATTTGTTCTGGTGTGTAATTAATTAGGTCTGACCTTTCCATTATCATGCATATCTTCGAACTTTGGTTCCGAAAATTGGTTGTGTGCGATATATTTGTGTACACCGTCTTCTTGTTTTGGCCTCTATAAATAAGAAATATCTTAGGTTGTTATAACATATCTTGAAGTATTTAGCAAAATATTTGTGTGAACGGCGATTTATTCATAAACTACCAATAAAATGTAACTCGGTTCTACGGTCAAGACGAGGACTGTAAGTTAGGATATATTCTTGAGTCTTAAGTTGTGACCTAAGTTTTAGACGAGTTTAGAGAGATGTTTCCACCAAAAATAATACCTCAATTCTCCGATAAAATAGAGATTGTAGTAATAATATAACCCTATTGTGAAAATATAAAATTTATAAAACATAAAACGAGCAAAAACAAAAATAACTGATTTCAACAACCTTCGTTGAAGTTTTTTTCTTTTCGGAATTTGTTTTAAATTGGTTTTCGGGTGTAGATTTGCTGTTTGCTCCGTTTGACTTTGCACCCTGAAAATCAAAAATATATTGCGCTATTTCTATGCTTTTGTGAAAAGTTGAATACAAAAAATATATTTCAAGTGGCCCCGATTGGATGAAAATTCTAAGTACTATATTACAACATCTACAGAACTCTGGTACTGCTGAGCAAAACTTTTACATTTTAATGATTTTATTTATAGTTTTAGCGCATCACTTATTATAACTTGCCAAAGGAGATCTTGGTAGAGTTACTTTTGACTTAGGTTGACTTCGATTATTGTCAATGTCTTCTATCTGCCTATTTACGTTTTGCCCTGATACTCTCTACACTACAGTATATTCTACAGTATATTTTAGAAACTTGATTCTTATGAAAAAATTTATCAAAGCAAGGTCAGAAGCAAAGGAGACTGATTTCTAAGCTATGTAACTGCATCACTGGAATAGACACTGCAACCGTCGATCTGAGATATACCGAAGTCTTATCAATTCTTTGTAGATAATGCTAATACATTTATGTAAACTAAATAGTAAAAATAATATATATAATTGATGGAAAATAAAATAAGCTTACGAGAACAGTAATAACAGTCTGGCGTGTAGGATATATTGTTATTGGATATTTGAAGAGATAAAAACAAATATATATAAAGAGGTATTCGGTGGCTTAACAGCGAGTAAAAAAAATGATGCCGATTGTTCGCTTGTGTTGGTATTTAACAAAGTCTGACCTCTTTAGTCTCATGTTCACCTTCTATCTCTTGTTCTGAAAGTTGTTCTTGTTCGGTAAGTTTCTGTACCTCGTCTTCTTGATTTGGCCTCTAAAAATTAAATAATTTAAAACTTAAATATTAAAGCTACGTTTTCAACAGAATTGGTACTATTGAATTTGTCTTGAATCATACCTTGGTTGTTGTAAGTTTGTGACGTTTTACGTCACACTTACATGGCTCGCCAGTCCAGGCGGGCAATATTTTTGGCTCGTGGTCCAAAAACCTGGGTACCCTGAGTGATTTTTTTAGTTACCGAAGTATACAATTATGTGGAATTCGCTGCCCCACAGCTGTTTTCTTGGTCGTGTTAACATGAAATAAACGATATTTGATAGCACGTGCATATATAGATATTTGCTACTGGATTTTCAGTGGTCACCAGTAAACAATGATGTCTGAGCTGGTGTGAGGGAACTTCCGTAGTGTGTGTACCTGGTTAGGGTTAGACCATAATTTTATTCCCATTTTCCCTATTTTAGATCTAAATCGAGTTCGGGGACAGTCTGTGTTAGCCAGGTGAATATTCCCCATGCACATGATGAAGGAGATAAAATAAATATATCTAAAAAGACTTTAGAGATGATCAGTCGGATTGAAAAAATATTTGTTTGTTTTATTATACCATATGAATTTACCCTTTGATGATCACCGATATATTCTTTTTCTGATTCGTACAACTGAGCTTGTCCGGCACGTTTGTTTACACTACCTTCTTGTCTTTGCCACTGAAAACAAAAGAATTAATTTAATAAATTAGAAACATAGTTATCAACAGAATCGCCTTGATTGAATTGTTCAACACACCTTGGATTGTTGTAAGCTTCCTTTATCGGGCATGTTTAAATTCACTCCAAGTAGATCAGCATTCTTGAAGAAAAAAAAAATTACTACCAAATTTTGCAGGGAGAGCACTTAAGTGCTTATAAAAATATGGTCCTAATATGATTGATGAGTAAGAGTAAATATCCTTTATGTATACATCTTATCGTGGACTAAGTCAAAAGACTGAGTCAACACAAAATCAATAATAAACTTTTGCGTCGTTTTCAAGCATGATATATGCTTGTCCGAGTTTTATGAACCCTGGTTGTGCATCACTCCTTTTTGGCATATTTCCAATTCTACAAGTTTTATATCTGTAAGTATTTGAAATTTAAGATATGCACATAGGAGTATGTTATTACTTGAAAGAAAGCTATCTGAGCAGGCGAGTAATCGTTTTAGCTCGTAAACTAGGTAATAATCGCAATAATAAAAAAAACAATCAGCGTCCTCGCTGGGAATTTCTCGCTATGAACCCGCTCTTTTGTTTCTTGAATAGTTAGCCTTCGACGCCGTCTCAAGCGACATGCTTGGATTTGTATGAAAGCTTACGTAATTGTCTATATCGAGAGACTTTGTTGTCGAGTCAGTTTTGCTAAACAAACCGCTAAACCGATAAACAAAACAAAACTTAAAAAAAAAAAAAGTTATCTCATTCACAACGCACACGGTTAAGCGAATATCGCAAGCATCACGAGACACAACTGACATAAAGCGGCGAAATACCGCTTTCCGATGAAATTAAACTGAAGGTTCTCGCACGTTTGAACAAAAAGTTATGACATTTTTAGGAGGGGTATACAAAATACTCCAGTCAGAAAGGCTACATAGGGATTCATACATTGCTTTAATAATTTTTTCAGTAGCGTAGAAGTGGAGCGCAGAACCAATATGGAGGTAACTAACTTTATTCGCACATCTAGTTGTATAAAGGACTGAAACCTAAGGGTATATTTTCATGGCTAACACAAACAGTCCTCAAACTCTCAATATAACTAAAATAACGAAATTCGGAATAAAATTATGGCCTAACCCTAACCCGGTACACACACTACGGGAGTACCCATTTTCCGTATCGTTTCTTGTTCCCATTGTTGAACGCAATTTTGATCTTTTTGGCTTGATGCAGTCGTTTTTCAAGATTGGGAGAAAAGGCAAAAAAACTGATATATTGATTTGAAGACACTATATTTTCAAATCCATCAGACATGCTTGTGAGGTATCAGTCGTGACGTTATTTTGAAAGCGTTAAGATATCTACGTCTATCAATAATTCCGCCAAAATTTCCTGATAAAAATATTAATTGAATAATTATCAATTAAATATTTCAAAAAGCACGGACTTTACGAATGAGAAGAGGAAGAAATGTGATCAAAGAAAAAATAAAATAAATTAATTTTATTGGCACCTGTGTTAGAGTTTCCTTTTCAATTTTTTTTCTGAACTTGGGGGTTTACAGGAGTAGATTTCCGATTCGCGCCTTTTGATTTTGAACCCTGAAAAATGAAAAATATATTTCGCAATTCTTTTGTGGAAGTTAAATACAAAAAATATATTTCATGTGACCCCGATTGAATGAAAATCTCAAGAACTATACTACTATAATACAATACACTAAACTACTTCCAAACAAACATTCATATTGCAGACTATACTAATTTCATACGTTTTTAGAAACACGAATTACTTACCAAAGCAGCTCTCCGTGCAGCTATTTTTGACTTAGATTGACTTTGGTCAATGTCAATGTCGGATTTTTGTCCATTTACGCCGTGCGCTGATACATGCTGGAAAAAATTTATTTTATTTCTTAAAAGAAAATTTGCCCAACGCAATGTCATACGCATTCACTCGGACGCAAAGGAGACTGATTTCTGAACAAAGTTATGGGTAATTTCTGTAACATTTTTCATACATATATCACAACCCTTTATAGAAGTAGGATGATAAATTTATGTAAATTTAAAGTAAAAGTAATATAAATTGATGATGGACCATGAAAAAAAGTAAATATAGATAAGGTGTGATAACATTCTAGGCTACTGTGAGAAGGATATAAAGGTTGTCCGTAAACTCTTTTTACAATTTCAATTTTGTTATGAAGTCAGTTCTCAATATATCTTGACCAGGTTTGTTGTTTTTTAGTTATTCATTACATTTGTGAGGGCCAAAACAATATATGATATCAATAAATTGACTTTGCAAATTTAAAAAATTTTAGGACTTCAGAGAGACCCTATATTGTTCATGCTAAATTGGAAAGATAAAAACAAATATTATATACATAAAAATATATTCAAGGACACATAGCAAGCAGAACAGAAAAGGCCGATTATGCGTGCGTGCTGATGTGTAATTAAGTGAGCCTGACCTGTCCATTATCATGTATGTCTTCGAACTTCGGTCCTGAAAATTGGGCCTGCGCGGTACATTTGTATACATCGTCTTCTTGTTTTGGCCCCTGAAAAGAAAATAAGAACCTAAAACAATAAACTCAACTTACAACAGAATCGTGATAATTGAATCGTACCTTAGGCTGTTGCATATCTTCGAATGCACGTTTCACGCCGTCTAACATCTTTTCCACTTTACTCAATGTAGCATCCTTAATATAAAGAAGTAGTTTTAGATTGATATTTATTGTTGTTTTGGTGGAGGAAATACATAAATTTTACTTTGTATTTGGTGTAGTGTTTCACTAAAATAGTTCAAGTTATTTGGTAATTAGTGTAATTAATATTCATGCACGCTCTATAGACTAGTGGTTCTTAACCTTCCCGAGCCTGCCGAGCCCCTGCGCTATTGGGCATGCTCCCGCCGAACCCAATCGTACTGAACGGTTGAAGTTAGGAGCCTAATCGTAGCTTTATAAAGGGAGAGCTAATTTCGTGCAAGGTTTTAATAAATGAACATTATGGTTTAACCTTGATGCCAATACCCCGTGTGGAAATAGTCATTATTTTGTCACAATTGTGTCGGCCACAAGGAAAACAGATGTTTTTTTAGTTGTAATGCGGGTATGCGAGTGAAAAGCGAAAAACGAATAAAAAAATAGTAACTTTGAAAATTCAAAAGATGATAATATGCCTTGAAAACGTTGGTAGTTCAAGTCATTCGTTACTCGAACTTCAAACTGCATTTAAATGCGAATATAAAAGCTTTTGACAATTGTTTTATTTTACAGAAATAGAGATAGGATATAACTCGGCGCCATATCGAGGTGTCCGGAACGGATGATGATAATTTCAAGTAAAGCCCTTCAATTAGGTTTTCTTTGTCGCAAATTTATCACCTAGTGTCTTAGAGAAATTCAAACACGCTCTGATTTTGCATTCATTCATGTACATTACTGCTAGTCTTCAATTTACCCGTAAAACTGAGTTTATAAGTCTTGTTAGTAAGGTAAATTATAAATTAGGGTCACGCAAATATTTAGCTTAAAAATCCTTGGTTTGTCAAAACCATCCAAGATATTCAAAGGCATAAGCAGAAAGCATCTAAAAGCGGTATCATATAGTACAACACCAAAGCGCGCGACATCTGTGGAGATATGAGTTTTCAATTCAACGTACTTATCTAAGAACATCGACTGGTCCACTAAAACTAATATCTGCGCGAACTATACACGCAGCTAAGCTAATTTATTGGATGTTAAACGCTTAGGTTTAAATATTTGCGATGAACTATAGTTATTTTTGCAGTAAGTCACATAATATAAAACTATTTCAGAGACCTTCGCCAAACCTCTGGAACAGCTTCAACGAACCCCATTGGTTTGATCGAACCCAGGTTAAGAACCAATGCTATAGACCAATGGTTTTCAAGCAGTGGGGCGCGCCTCACAAGGGGGCGTAGACAATTTTCGAGAACCAAGGTGTTTTTTGCCTTACTATCTGTTATTTGTAGCTTATTGTTACTTGACAAATTCTAAAAAGGGGGCGCGGCTTAAAAAGTTTGATACTGCAGTATAGACTAATCAAACTGTACAAAAGCAGGGTGAAAGCTGCGTTCACTGTTGCAATGAAGATTGGACAATAAACGGAACCAGGGTTATGATACATAGTTGAGGGAATTTAGACTGAATTTAGAGTATCACCTGATGTTCGTTTAGCCAAATCAATGTATCATCGCAATTTTTAAGAAATAGTTTTGCTTCGTCTCGACCAATTTCAATGTTGCTGCTTGATTTGACGTTTTCTTTGACACGATAAATATAATTTTCTAATTCGTTTCTTTTTTCGTTAAGTAACCATAAATCTTCATCTTCTTTGCTAAATATAGCATTTTGATGAATCTGAGTGAAATATATTGAATTAATAGAGAAACCGATTTATAAAATCGATTTTTTTTATATGGCACTTACTCGCGAATTTTGCTCTGAACAAGGACATATACAGACAGTCACTGATATGTACTATTTATTAGTACCGTGTTTCCCCGAAAGTAAGACAGTGTTATTTCAATTTTATTCTGAGAAATAAAACTAGGGCTTATTTTGGAGTATGTCTTTTATATTTATTTTTCCAAAACAAAATAACAAAGTAGAGAATTACGAGATTTTCAAACATACAAAATATGAAAACTCATATCCATTTACATATAAATAACACGTTAAGTTCTTATTTCAAGAGAAGGTCTTATGTTAAAATCATTTTTAAATTCAGGCTAGGTTTTATTTCCGTGTAAACACGATGAGGAACGGAATTTGATAGATTCAGCATTGTCTACAATTTTTTTTTTCTACAGTTTGAAGTTTGGCATGGAATTTGAATCCAAGATATGCAACCCCCAATGCCATCTTAGTTGATCCTAATGTTTCAACCACCTCGCCTAATCTCCCAAAAATTCGAATCAACATGACATAGGCGGTCTATAAACGGAATACAAGTTTGATACTGGGTAATTACTATGTTAAGTTTCAAAATATATAGAATTACCATTTTACGGATGTCATCGCTGTTTGTTCGGGGATCCTGGAATGAAAAAATCGAAGGTTACATTTTTTTGAACCAAAATTCATCACAAAATTAGAGAAACTTCCATTGAGAAACTTCATTATATCAGAATCGAAAGAAATCTTACTTTCTACTTCCAACTTTGAAAGGCTTCAACAATTCGTCTCCAACAATGTTGGAAGCATTACTATGTTATTAGAACAAAATTGTGTTTTGATTTTGAACCCCTCTGGACCCCGGAATCAAATGAAAAAATATTGGAACTTAGGGCGAAAAACTGCGATCGCTACGTAAATTTCTTACCAAATCATATCAAAGTAACTCTCATAGCCCTTCCCACTAAATAGGTTATACATCACTAAATTATATTTGGCACAAAACATATTATCCGGACTTGACTTCTAACCTTAACGAACATAATTGCAAAATAATGGAATAGAAATATTAGAACCGATAAAAGCTAAGAGCTAGTGAGCGTTTATTCGCTTTTCTAACCATTTCACTAAATTAGTTCAAGACATATCGTCCATCTTAGTATGTAGGCTAGTTGGCTTATTTATCATTATGCCAAAGACTACGCATTCGTTTTAAATGTAAAATATAGTAACCGTAACATCAAAAAACAACAGGAAACCCTGTGTCATAATTTGTCTGGTATACAATGTTTATAATAAAGCAACCCAAATCGAGATTTTAAATATGAAATAGGACCTCTTCTATTTTGCTGTTTTTGAGAATATTATCTGCTGCATAAATAGCAGCACCACATGCTACGGCTTCGTCAGGATTAACTGTTTGATTTAGAGTTTTTCCGTCAAAAAAGTCCGAGAGGATTTTCCTTATTTTTGGTATTCGTGTCGATCCTCCCACCAGAACGATGTCATTGACCTAATAATGAATGATTTACATAGATATTAGAATTATTCTAATAACATCGATTATATACATTCAGTACCTTATTTAATACTAAATATATATTCGTGTATTTTGTGAACTTCACATATATGGAATTCACTACTGAAGCTAATTAAAAAGAAAAATATTTGTTAGATTTGATCTTGTTCGCCTTATGAAATTTGAATTTTATTTAGAAATTTCAACTACTGCATTATCTATTTTCAATCCGCGTATTCCCAACGTATTTTTGAATAAAACTGACTTCGCTTTACTACTTTTCATTTGTAGCTTTTTGTTTATTAGTTATCTTTGAAGTGGGGCGCAAGACTTGACATATTCTATAAGGGGGGCTTAAAAAAAGTATTCCCAACGTGGATGGAAACGATATCTCTAAGCAACAAAGAAATGTAAATATCCAAAATAAAGCCGGCAAGAACAAATCTTACAAATATTTTTATTTTTCATCAGCTTCACACCCCCTCAAAAAATGTCTTCGACACCCCCAAAAGCCCCCCCCCCCATTGTTGTGGGACGTGCCCCACCGATTGATAACAAATGCCGTAAAACAGTTTATAGGTCCACTTCGTGGTCATTACACTGATGAGACGAAAAATATTTTAAATAAAACAAAGATATCAGTAAATTTGATTAACGATATGCTTCAATTACGCAAAGTTAGAACACACAGATAAACGCTAAGCGTTGCTCATATCATTTATTAACTGAAGTGTAGTTCTGTGGAAGAACGACATTCAGCTAAAATGTAGCGACATTTCATACCTGCTCTTTTGTTATATCTGCCACTTTAAGTACATCTGAGAGAACTTTTTCAATTTCTTCGAATTCTGTCGAGCTGACTTTTTCAAATTCATCAACCATAAGGACTTGGTTGTAAGAGTCATCTCCGACGAAACGATCAATTTGAAGACTTGAAAAATAAAACTAAGTGAATTTGAGAATATTAAAAAGTCCCTGTTTAGAAACTTAAAACGGGATTACCCTTACGACGTATCTATACGTATTTCGTTCCACACAAGGCTCTGCACAAGCAAGGTAGGAATCTACTACTATAGTTTAGAAGGGGCAGAATCATTCCAGTTCGGCAATGGCTGACCAAATAAAATAAAAAACTTTTTATTACATGATTTAGCATATAAATGATATTATTGGTTGATTGTGACGGGAATGTCGTTCAATGGCGTTTATTTTAACCGTTTCTTTCATTCGTGGTAAAATTCGTAAGTTTTGGGCCTTGATTTCGCCCTCCAACCCTATCCTCTCTCCCAGAGATCTGACAAAAATTTCATGCTTTTATCAAGCAAGGCGCTGAATGTTGTACTCACTCGGTAAGATATCAATTCGCATGATGTTTGGCTACATCAAATGCGTTATACCAAGTGTAATTGTTGTTTGTAAAATAACACTTATAATATGAGACGACCAGTGCGTGGTGTTAAAACATTCCTGAAAATATGATCGTGTAAAAAGAAGGTTCTCAAACGGCCCCATAAGGGGACGAATAGAATTTTTTGATGAGGCGTGAAACTAATTAGATTTGACATCGACCATCTTATTTTAAATATTTATATTTTTTATCGTTTAGAGATTGCGATTCCATCCACGTAGTTCCAACTTGTTTTTAAATAAAACATACTTTTGCATTACTATCTGGTATGTGTAGCTTGTTGTTTGCTAGTTATTTTTGAGACGAGGAGCGAAACTTGACATTTTCTAAAAAGGGGGGGGGGGGGGGGCGAGGCCTAAAGAGTTTGAGAACCACTGGTGTAAATGTATATTAATAGTAAATACCGTGCACGTTTTGCAGATGATAAACTCTTCTTTGCTTTTTCACAGCTTTTTTTTAAACGGTAGATTGCTTTTTTGTCAGGTGTGATATTTCCAGCGCTTTGTAAAATATGATCGACCAATTCATAATCAAAATCATCACCTAAAACACAGAATGGATAAATTTTTGTTATCTACGTCTTACTGTTGGTTGGACTCGTCCAACCGTTGAAGCAGAACGTTTTGCAAATTCTGCATCGAATTTCGTAACATATCTCATAGTTACCTGACTCTTGCTATACATCAACCTTTCATTAAATGCAAAAGGATCTACCAACGCAAAAGGGTACTCCCGGAGTATAAGGGAACCAAGATGGCGTACACCGGAACGTAATATGTTTACCAGGTTAGGGTTAGGCAATAATTTACTTTCATTATCCAATATTTTAGTTTTATTACGAGTTAGGGGACTAAACAAGTGACTCCCGTAGTATTCGTATCTAGAATTATAGCCTAACCCTAATCTGGTACACATGCTACCATGCAGTGTCCGCCATCTTGGTTCACATACTTCGGGACTACCCGCAAAATCATAGAAGAAGGATAAGTAGGTAGCACCGTAGAAACCCAAGCGATTGCTTATATACTATGTATGAAAAATTCTTTTATTTTACTTCAAATCAAAATAGTCCGACCTCCAAAACTGGAATTTCCTGTTTCGCCCAATACTCTCTTAATACTTTCGCCGTTAACATCAACATCATATATGCCGGTATCGAACTTCCCTGCTCCGATGTCAAATATAAGAACAACACGTTTTGCTGGATTCTAAAATTTATATTTTGAACAATTTTGAAAGTGGGAAGACAAATGTAATTGTGGGTGAGATGTTTCAGCATTTGAGAGCATTTGGGGAGAAACGCGTGTATGAGCGTCGTATAGAACACGTGCGGTTATTCCAGCAAGATGTAATGCCTTGTAACTTAGGCTGAAAATTTCAAGGAAACACCTTTAACCCTTAATAACCGGGTAAAATGAACCAGTTAACTGTAGCATAACGTTTGACACGATAATTTACAATTTTAGCTGGATACATCTCAATGGTACCAAGCAATTTCGCGTGATCTTGTCCCAGTATCGTTGGAAATTATTCACCAAACGAGATAGTTAATCGGTTTACCACTCCCAGTTCTAAAATTTATACATAGGTTAACACCAGTAATGTAATATGCGTGATCCAATCTACAAACAAGATGGGTAAACTAACAAGATTCCCATCCTACCCTTAAAAGCTGGTACCTCATACTATTTACTTACGTTTTGATTTCTTGCGAATGCTAATGCAGCGGCGCTAGGTTCATTTATAAGTTCGACATTCTTGAACCCAGACACAAATCCTGCGTCTTGGATAGCGATACGTTGAGATTCATGGAAGCAAGCCGGTACAGATATAACAGCATTATCAACTTTTTCTCCGATGTAATTATTCGCCATTTCTTTTAGGTTTTCAAATATCATTGCAGTGACTTGCACTGGATTTAGTTCAAAATCCTTTCCTCTGAATGTGATCTGAAAGTATCATAAAGAATTCAAGTATAACACGTACATTTGTGCGACAGCCATGGCCCGTGCCATGCTGGGCGACGTTGTGTTTAGGTGTAAAACGTTTAAATAAAATTGTAAATAATTAAATCTGCATTTTTATTTAAATAATAACGTAAAAGTTTTAACAAAACACATTTTAACAAAAGCTGTTACCAAAAATTGTCAACCAATGAAAAAGGGGCGCATTTTTAAACTTTGCCTTGGGTGCCATTTTACGTAGATATGTCACTGTTCAGTCGCACTATATGCATACAAACTGCAACCCACCGACGAAAGGTAAGAAATATATTATATAAGATTTCAATATTGCGTTCATCACAATTCAGTCTTCTATTTAATGTTTTTCATATCATAAAATAAGTCTCAGTTACGTGTGACATTGAAAATATTTGTTTATGCAAAATTCTCATTATTAAACCAACCAGCATGAAAACTAGCGCTATCTGAATTCATTTCAGCTCCAGGACGCTACATATAAGTAAAGTTAATTGTTCTCTACAATGCAAATGCATACGGGAGTTTGATGGAAAATACTCTATCTTTGTTCGAAGCTAGTTATTGTTACCTTATATTTATTAACAGGTGCAAAAGTATTTCTGTTTCTGCTTTACTACAATATTTCTCACCGGAATTTCAATCTCATTTTTACTAGAGTTGTGATTAACGTCAAAGCCCCAGTATTTCTCATGTTTTCGTACGATATCGTCGTCAGATGTTCGGCCAACCAAACTTTTAATTTCTGAAATAAAAAGGTATATTTGGAACAATAGAACAAAATATAGGAATTTTTGATCAGCAGTACTATAAGTATTATAAACGCGATCTCTTTTCCGACAAAGATCGCTTTATTCTTGTTTATCACTCTAATAGTATCTCGTCCAAGCATCTTTGCATCAATTGCTAAATACAGATCCGTCGTAGGAAGCAAACTAAGCAAAAACGAACTTGCACCTCAATAGACAATGTCCTAGTGTTCTCTGTATCAGGGGTGGGCAAGGTTTTTGGACCAGGGGCCAAAGGAAAATTTCCATCTAGACTGGCGGGCCATGTAATTATAACGTAAAAAGTTGCATTTTTTGAACAATATTTACAGTGTTACAAAAGCAAAAGTAGAAAAACAATGAACTTCGTGACGAAACTAAATTTAATTGCAATCAATTTCAACAAATTCCTTGAGTTATTTTTATCTAAAACATCACAATTTGGTTTCAGTTTGATTGTGGCAACATCAGGCGGGCCAGATTGAATTACCCAAAGGCTGGATTTGGCCCGCGGGCCGTGGTTTGCCCATGTCAGTTTTATAAGTAGGATATTTATTTGGCCTAGAAAATAGGTAAAAATACTATTACTACTAGATATTTTTAATAACGGAGTAAAAAATTCAAGCTTAAGTGCTACATACGATAGAGTGTATTCTTTAAATTTAACGGAGTTTGATGCTGAGCTGCGTCTCCGAACAAGCGTTCATCTTCAGTAAATGCAATGTAAGAAGGCGTCAATCGTTGGTCATGTTCATTAGGTATCACTTCCGTCTAAAGATGTAAAACAACGTCGTTATTGAAATATAATCAGCTTTTCAACTATGTAATAACAGTACAGTGATATTTTCTATTCGAGACGGATTTCTCGACAAAGAGAACTCGTCTCCGTAAATAGACAGTCGAGTTGTCCGCATATATATTATATAAAAAGAACGAGTGTTGTGTTTGTCTGAGGGCGTTAATCTATAGCAATGTTTCTCAACCCGAGTCCGCGGTCTCAAATGAGTCCGCGGAGCGTTTGTATGAGTCCGCAAAGAGCCATAAATTCACTGCGGGCCGCAAACGTTTTTGCAAAACTTAGCCCCCAACAAAGTTACGATTTACGTTAGAATTTACATAAAACACAAAAAGCAAGTTTATTCACATAACATTAATGGAGTCAATAATTACTGGTTACTGAGTAGGCCTGATTATATATATTCAAATTTTCAACTATTAAAATAGCAATTTAATATTTGAAAATTTGGTAACAGGTCACTTGCATGTCGCTTAATTAAACGATTGTATTTTACAACTCACTTGCGGATTTCCGACGAAAACACAGTCGGCACACGCTTGGATAGATACCTAAGTGGTGTTTCTCGCGAGCTCAAACAACGAAAAGTATTTTTTTTTTCTGGTAGGTGTCAATGGTGTCAACCGAAATTTTCCAAATTGAAAAGCGGCAATACAAAATACTAAACTTAAAACGGAGAACGCCGTAAGTTTTGTTTAATGATGGTCCGCGACCGATTAAAAACGCTTTATTAGACATTACAAATCGCAAATCTTTGGGTGCTACCGTATAGTACGCGTATTAAGGCAACGTCTCTTGAGATTCTTTTCTTTACTGTCTCCATATTGGTACGTACAGTGCTGGAGCGCCGTAACTGTTGTGCGAACAGCTCAGATTTGTCGAATTCACACAAAAATACGAATCAAAAAAAAAAATAATCGGACACTTTACCACGCATTTTTGTGTCCACGGCTTGTCATGATATTTGCTGAGTAGTATTGCTTTTATTGCGTCAATACACCCGCAGATTAAAATGATCACAATTAAATTTATATTAAAGCATGACAATGAGTATTTTTTTTTATTTACTAATTTATAGGCTTTAATTATAATTTAATTAGTACTGTACTAAATCAAGTTGTACTCTCTGAAAATTTATAGCAGATAGTAGGATTTTTCTAACAGCGATGAAAATTCACAAGATCGCAAAAAATATGTATCAAAACTAAACTTAATCGGGCAATATATTCTAACATTATTATGTTCGCAGACTGCCGTGGAATTCTAAAAAAGAAATGCTTTTATTATAAGTCGACGCAACCGCGAGTGACCATGAACACAATTAAAGTAAAGTAGAAAGACATTTTAAATTCTCGTCGTTGTCATGGATTGAATATTGTGCGACAGAAATGCCATTTATACACTAAAAAAGTCGGCTCTTTTAACAAACGCGTAATTACGGCGAATTTACGATTTTAAAATTCGTTAAAATCTTTTGTTTGGTTTTATTAATTATTCACACAGAGTACGGTTGAAATAAACGCAGGTTGAGTCCGCAAAGGTTTTCGCCGGGAAGAAAATGGTCCGCGACCAAAAAAGGTTGGGTAACGCTGATCTATAGTGATAACTTGCTTGCGGATAAGGACAGCCGAGTTATCCTCGATTTAATTTGTTTTTGTTTGTAGAAAACAGAAAGTGAGGTGGTTGGAATATGGATAGGAAATAGAGTAGTTGGGATGATAGAAGGCACAAGAGTGGAGGACGATTTAATAAAAGAGAGGCTTAAAATTAATGGAATTACCTTTCCATTGCGATGTATAGCAACACAGCAATAAGAAGTTCCGAAATCGATTCCGATGCTGGTCATCTTAAACGTGTATCTTTCAAATCTGGAATGAATTAAATGTGGCAACAGATTAGCCAAATCTAATCACTGGAATAGTTAAACTCATGGGTGTGTAACAGACGGCCCGCGGGCCACAACACGTTCCACCAAGCCATTTAGTGTGACCCTTGTTAACACTCATATTTTCCCTATCAAGCTCAAAATCCTATTCTGGCAGTTCATGTTTACAACTTCTATCAAAGCTGTTGTTAACAAACTATGCAAGAATTCGAAATTTTAAATGCCCCGCTAAATTGTTGGATAAATAAAATTTAGCATAGTTAGTATTTTTATTTCGTTGTGTACATGGAAAAACTAATTTTTTGGGTGGCCCAGATAGATGTCTGAAGATGGTTATATGGCCCACCGACAAAAAATGTTGTACACCCCTGATTTAGAGCATTCAGATTTAGAGTGGTGGAATTTCACAAGAACTCGACGTCGTAATTAATAATGATTACACCATATCCTTTTTGGTGCCACGACCCAAAAAATAGCTGTTACTCGACTTATTTCATGGACTTATTTCAATACTACGGCCTCAACAAATATGCTAAGTATTAAATGCAAACTTTCCAGGCTTAGTATGGAATTTAGGTATCTACAACGGTCCTCTATTTGAAGGTATGGTCCAGTGGGTCTATTGTCTCATACTAAATAAAAAAAATCGGTACTCTGTAATTGAATCGCATGAAAAGTTGAAAAGTTGAACATCACTTACCGAGGTAACAATTTCCCAATTCTTTCTAATGATGTAACTGCTATTTTTCGATAAAATTTCAGCTGGCATAACGCACAATTTCTATGTTTTTGTAATAGTAAACACCACTACACATTTCCGTGTGTAAGTTTATGGGTTTCTATTTTTTAAACGATCATTTTGCTTGTTGTGAGCGCTTACTATAGTAAACTATACTGAATAATTTCTGAAATAAAAATATATTTAATACAACGTCGATAAAAGAGGTCAGGTTCAGGTGATATTCAGGTATTTGTGAGGTCAGGTGATATTCAGGTATTTCAAAATTGCGATCGAAAAAAATTTGTTCCAGTTGGAAGACGATTGGTTATTCTATAAGTAGCTATAAATATCTTCAGTATATATATGAGAATGCAATTTTGCCTGTAAGTTTCGGGATTTAAAAATACATTTAATATATATAATTGTTATATGTACGCCGAGGCGTGTCGAAATTTTATGCTGCCAAGAGCGAGTTTCTGATATTGATCCCCTTGTGCCTTCAAAAATATTTTAAGTGATGAACAAATTATAGATGTTGTTATATGAGAATAAATAAATTAAAGGCCAAGTAGGAGTGAAATGTTTGTAATATTATTATTTAAATTATCAAAATAAGCAACAAAATCACCCCTATAACATGCTGCCCGTGGCGCCTGCCCATATGGTCGCCTTTACACACACCCCTGCATATAATCCTCTGTCCTATTCAATTCACAAGATAGAGATTTCATATAAGTACCCGAATAAGCCATAAAGCCATGTTCGCTTTCCTTCAGCTACTAAAGATACATAAATTACCTCAACGCTTATAAAACGGTTGGCAAAGACTCGGTCATTCTGCTATTTCGAAACGATCTTGCTATATAACACTTTAAATAGTAAGTGGCCTCGACTGCCAACACACAATACGCCTTTTGTGTAACCAACCCACTGACGAACTGACATTATCTTAGCTTGAAAAGATTATTTGATCAAATAAATTCGTGTGCGCACCGGTATCTCATCACCTGAGCACAGGCAAACAAATACTTTGTGGATGGCTTATGCTTTTACGATATGGCCTAAGCAAATCTGATCCGAACGACGTCTGCTCAAGAAGGCAAAGTAAATACAAACAAACAAGTGCAGTGATACCTCGATAGTCCAACATAATTCGTTCGGGATTGGTGTTCGGTTACCGATTACCCTTTTGGTCGAGAACCGAAACTTTTTTGCCTTAAGAAACAATGGTAATTATTTTAATTCTTTCTTACGCATTCGAAAATACCCAAAATATTGACAAAACGTGTATCTAAACTACAATAATTGTTTAAATCTGTACGTAGCACACACAATGAAGATTAAGCATAATAAAGATTAGAATATAAAAATCACCGAATTTTCGTTTCGAGTATCGCAGCATTTTTGAATTGTCGAGGTATCACTGTATATATGCTACCTCGGTCAAACGAAACGTTACAGCAATACATTTAGTTAGTGTGCAACAAGACTCTCGAATGAAATAGAATAGTCATCTTTATTCTTACTACATCATCCTTGCATCATACGCATACGGATCCACTCACGCAAAAGCATACAGCAAGGAAAGTTAGTTAGTCTCGCGTAACCCCGACTAACAATCGCTTTAAAGCTTATTTTTCAGTCAGGCATCTGCAAAGGTTCCGTATTTGAAGATATGGTCCAATGCGTCTATTGTTTTCGATTAAAATACAATATCGGCCTTTTATGGTTGAACAATCACGACACCAAGAATGTATCCCACTAAATTATCTTTAATTTGAATGACTTCGAAAAGAATGAGTCTTGCAGAATTCACAGTTGTATAACTTGTAAAATGCCATTCATTTTTACGTGTTTGTTTCGTTCTGTTGATTTCATAACCATAAAAGAGACAGCGTTGTTATTTAGACGCAACTCTTTTACGAGCCCTGGTATGCGCGAGATGTTTGTTCAGTGACTGAAGGCGAGAGTGACGTCTAGTAAAGAGTAAACAAGACACAATAGGACGATGCCAATAGTAATGTTGCCATGGACAGCAAAATGCTCGCAGAGATGATTTGTACCTTCATAAAGCAAAAGTGCGGAAGTACCGTAATTTGGTTTATTACAACTCGTATTGCACCGCAAACATATGTAATCACGAAACCTAACCTATATGTAATACATATATACTAATCACACTAATAATAGGATATGATTTTACATATTTGTCCCAGGGAAGAAGAAAGCCGATAAACCGACTAAATCATAACCACCATCACGGGTCGTATTTATGGTAATTATGTAAAATTTTAATTTGATATTACTAGATTTATATATTATTATTAAAATTCAGAATTTATTTACGTCATTATTGGTATATATTGGAAATGTTCGATCGGGTAACTAATGCCACCAAATAATGAAGAAATAACAAAAACATATTTGCAATGTAAATAAACCCTAAAATATTATCGGATATTTATGGAATTTTGATTCAATAAATTTAACGAATCCGATACATAAATGACAATGATATTTAATCTTGCTATTGTCATTTACGCAGTTATTTTATTTTCACATCTTTCCGAATCTAATTGACTATATTTTTGCAGAATTGACCGTGGGAACTGATCTGATCTATTTTTCGTACCACAGACTTTATAATAGAATTTGCAACCTTCACCTCCTTTGGTGAAGTTGTACGCTGTATATTAGCAAACGCCATCAGATTTTTTCTGATGAAATACACATTCGAATTCATAATTAACAACATAATAAATGCGTTTCATTGTTATATAAACAAGATGGCGGCCGCCCAGTATGTACTCCCTCAATGCTGGGGAAACCGCCAGCAAGATTGTGCAGATAAAATTTCTCCAAAATGTCAGTTGAGAATCTCGTAGTTACCTTTGCGCGAAATCTAGTCTGACTGACAATTGAAACGTGTCCACTGAAATCCTTCAGCTTCCCCAGTTTATGATATATAAAGACGAAAGATGGCTTGTTCCAAAGAGTATTTTTTCTGCACATTTTCGGAACTTTAATCTTCGGTATGTTTGATGTATAAATAACCAAAAATTACGAAAAACTGGGAATTTTTTTAACGAACGACGTGTTTTTTTGCTGCTGCCATGGAAAAGAAATATCAATTGTGACTTTGGGTGAAATACACATTACTAGGATGACAGCATAGCCTACATTGAAAATTTCAATCAAATCGACACAGCCTTTTAGATGGTACAGCTAACAGACAGACATACAGACCATCCATCATCACACCATCCATGGAAACTTGCGGGTGAGACGGGTGTCGAACTGCCAGATTACTTTTTGTTTTTGATCTTATGACATTATTAGGGGTCTTCGAATAAATGATGAGACACGATGCATAAATTTCTGAAAAAAACTTCTATTCAAATTTATTGTCACGCCGACTTTAAACCATTTTAGTGAAAAATTTGCAGCTGGCTTCTTTTCCGGACCCGTTTTTTCAAATTTGCTGCAAACGAACCTAACAAACACATCATGTTCTATATAGAGCACAACATCGTCAGCGTTTTTTTTCGTACAGAGAAAAAGGACCGTGATTCAACCCCACCAAAGTTAAAAACATATAGCAATCAACTCTCAAAGCTGATTGTGCCTGAAAATCGTTTTAGAAAACGGCTGGGGCGCGTGCAAAGGACGCCCGTCTATCTATTTCCCATTTTTGGTTTTGTTTAAACCGACTTACACTAAGGCTAGAGACTAGATCTTGTTTGTATTCTTAGATGCGTTGCAATTGAATTTATAATCATAATGCAACCACTGTGACATACCTTAAACTCGTCTGATAAAAGGTAAAAAAAAAGTTTGTGAAATTCATATGTTCTTGACCAATACGAATCCGCATATATGTCATTTTATTACCCATCATTTTAAATTCTCAAATATTCTAAAATTCATTCTAAAATATCCCACAATTATCGAGAACTCAAAATGGTCAGCGATAAAGCTTCTTTTATCGTCTCATTTTCAGAAAGTTATAATTTTTTTAAAATTCAATCGTTAGCATATCAAGCAATTTTGATTATTTGGCTTCAATTTCTAATACTGCATTGAGAAAGGTAGTTTTCTACCAATCCGGGTTGTTCAAGAACGCTTTTGGCCTTCCTCAGACGAGTAGCTAAAAACGAATCACTTATGGATCAGATTCCCCGCCATCCATGAACAATAATGATTAACTAGCTCAGGAGTGGGCAAATTACGCCCCGCGGGTCGGATTCGGCCACCGAAGTATTTCATCCGCCCACTCGCGCCTGCTGAAATTACTAGTGTAGACTGTAAATTTCCATTGAAATAACGATGGAAATAACAAGCCTGAACATCTTGTAATTCCCCGCGTATTTTACGCTCAATATAACATGCGAAACGAGCCACGTATACCTCAAACTCACCCATCCGATTTATTTACGGCGTAATCTGACTATGTTGGCATCGCAGATTGCAGATGGTCTCGAATTGAAATTTCAACTGCATCACTACTTGTACAGATAATATTTGTGGGTACTCCTGAAGTATGTGAACCAAGATGACGGAGACCTGATAGTAGTATGTGTACCAGGTTAGGGTTAGGCCGTAATTTTATTCCAATTGTCCTTATTTTAGTTCTATTACGAGTTCGAGGACTGGCCAAGTGATTCCTGTAGTATTTGTAAAATTATAGCCTAACCCTGACCTGGTACACATAATAGGTTTTTAGCATCTTGTTTCACATAGTATGCGTGAGTGCCTATTTTTGTAATGCATATTTCAAATCTGTATTTCTGTATTGAAGATCACTAGATCAAATATTTATTTAAAGCATATTTAACAAGATAAAAGTATAAACAATGAATTAATAGTGGAATATAATATAGGGTATGGAAGTCTCAATATAGCGATTACAATTACGAAATATTTTACACATAGCACATTTACACATTAGATTTTTGTAAATAGGAGCAACTGCATATATTAGATGACTTTTAACACTAATCTGTGGCGGCATTGCAGATTACAAATCGTATGTTCAAATTTAATGCCCACCACCTTACACAGGTTGTAATAAACTGAGTAGGCGATATCGGCCCGGAAAGATTCCTACAAATAATAGTTTTTGTAAACTTCTTATATATTAGTGACTTAGTGACGGGGACTGTCTTTGTTAGCCAAGTGAATATCTCCCTGCCCATATGTTTCAGTTACTTCACACAAATTAGTTACCTTCATATAGGTACACATACTTCTAGAGCGCCGCAAAAATACCTATACATGCCATATAAGCAGGTTTTGTACCTTCAGATTGCTAGAACGACACTTAGTTCAACATGATTAACAAAGTGACCTAACCAGAAAACAATTTACGTTTGCGATGTAAATACGATAACTTTATATATTTATGTGCTTCATAATTTTAGTCCTATTTTCATTCATCGCTTTTTCTTGTCTCTTGTGTAAATTAACTCTCCCACCAAGGATTGCAATATTAATTATCGTTGTCTGTATTGGTTTAATCTGCATCAAGCTGCTATACCAAATTCGATTGATCATCTGACTCGACTCTCTAAAATAAAAATAAATAAATTCGTTCAAACTACACTAACTCGTGAGTTCGTTTATTACAATTTTTAAAAATGGTGAATGTACGCAGCCGTTGGAATTGCATGACCTGCCGGCTTAGTCATGGAAAACGTTCCATGGAATAGGATAGGACAGCACCATGAAAACTTGATTGTATAGAACTACCCTTAAGTTTCATACTTATACCTCCCATGAGCACTTTGTATTTAATATTTATTTCAAACCGAATTAATAAATACACATAGCTTTTTTTTTTATCAATTATTAATAGTTGTGTCGAGGGATTCTCAGTTACCCTTGATTTTCAGATTTTTTTTCATTGCAAGAGTTTTTATTTTGCTGCGAGCACCGGATACAAAAATCAATTCACTTGGCTTTTTAGATTTAATATTAGTCACCAGGCTTGGCCAATGGGATTGACATTTCCTTGGGATCCCATCAGAAACGTTCTGGGATGATATGAATCGGGCATAAATTACTATTGGATTGAATGAAACCGATGGACAAGCCTGAATTAATTTCATTTTGATCGGTCTTGTTTAATAATAGATGAGCTCACCGGTCCAAAACAATTCCGATTTAACCATTCCACAAATCTATCCCATAATGATGGTCCCCGTATCTCTCTTGTCTGCAAAGTATATAGTACTTTTTATCTGGCGACTCAACAAAAAGAGAAGCCAAGTTCATTAGAAGATATTCTATCTCATGCGAGGGCTGTCTGTGACTGTACTTCAGCTAATAGGGCCCAAAAACAGAACTCAGGTTATTTGAGGAATTTTCTGGAGTGAACATTACTTTTGCGCTAAGCGTGCTATATTTAGGAAACTTTAGGGTACAATCATATACACAAACAGAAGTTCAAGCGCAAACAAAATTATAAAATTACCTCTTCATTTTCGTAAAAGTATTTAGGAAATTTATGAAATAGATATCGACTGTTATATTGCCTACACAGTTTATTCCCTCAGTAAATGAGATGTTTGCAACAAAACAAAATTAAATTTCCGTGTTAGTAATTGTTCAATTATATATACACACTATACTTAATAACTTACAGTGACATGACCTTCAGTCGGGTACTTTTGACTACTTCGTTGCTGGAAGAAAAAATTACTAGATTTATATTTGTACATAAACACTGATAAATATAACTATCAGTATAGAGAATACGCGAGACTAACTCCCAATCCTTCCTAAATGCCTTTGCGCTAGTGGGGTCCCTATGCGTATACTGCAATGATGATGTGGCAGGAATAAACATGCCATACCGCGCAATTCAAGAGTATTTCAAGAGAGTTTCTGTATTCACAAAGATACATTTGTGTTAGTGTGAAGCAAGACTCTTGAATTGTATAGACTGATAACTATAATAGCTAAAGTATGATTCAGTTACAAAGTTCTGCCCTTTATGCAGTGAGTATGAATAAAAACAAGCAAGCAAATAAATGTGGATTAGAACTAATAATGAATTTACATTAATAGGTTACATTGTACATGTCATTTGCCAAATTTAGTGATTTAACAATATAATGTTGCAATACCGTTTGTTTAATTAGACAATTTATACAATTCTATGCACAAAAGCATAGAAGAGGGATAAGTATTTAGTCTCGCAGAAACCAAACCCTCAAATACAACTTTGACAGCATTTTTATCTCTAGCTATAGGTCATGTATATAAATCAAAAATCATTATTGCATGATTCAGAAAACTACAGAAGTAACATAATCTTTTAAGATGTGCCCCAGAAACGAAATTTTGAAAGGTTATCTAAATTGCTGTGTTGGCAATACATTTACTCCGACACGATGTCTATCAGATGGATCGATTCTGTTCTTCTGCTACTACTCGGTTGAGACGTTACAGGGTCGACTGTAAAAAAATAATTTTAGGTTGAAATAAAGTTATGTTTTGCACAAACATTTTCTCATTAATATTGCTGGATGATTCTATATTGGCAAGAATTGAGGTGTGAGGTTTTGGAAAGCACACGAGAAAGATGCAATTGTCTGACAGAAAGTATTCAAGACAATGAATCTGAATTTATTTTAATTCCTATTTGGTCCCATTATTTTGCCCCAATCATTGAGTTTTACTGTTACGGTGGCGTTTGTGTTAATATTTCTGTCCATGAAAATAATCGGAATTTAGAATTGTACAGCATGTAACGTGGCGGGGTTTTTAGGCGATGGCGTTTGACGGTAATACGAGTATATTGTGTAGAAAGAAGACAATTTACTTGACTTTTGAAAACTGGGACTCAGAACTATTAACGGTGCACTTTTGTATTCCATGCACGGATACGATAACAAGACATCAAATTCAGAAAATAATGTGCACAAAGCAACAGACACGACCTAAAAGGGACAAGCAATTAAAAACAAGTGGCAACACTACAAACGCGCAAAGCCAAAGCGATATGTATTACGTATTACTTACATACAATGTCAGTATTGATGTACATTACCGCTGACACAAACTTTATTTGGGTTTGCAAGGCCTAATCTTTTTAAATAACCCATCAGCATGAGTCGACAGCAAATTAGTACAGTCCGTTGATGACGTAATAGGAAGTAAGTACCCCTGAAAAAATGATTTCGTTTCATAAATTCAAGGCAGAAGAGTTTTTCATGTTCTTGGGCACTCCCGTAGTATGTGTACCATGTGAGGGTTAAGCTATAATTTTATTCATATTTTCCTTATTTGAGTTCTATTTCGGGTTAAAAGACTGTCTGTGTTAGCCAAGTGATATACCCCGTGCCCATAGGTTTCAATCCCTTCACAAAACTTGATGAAAAATAGGCGAACAAAATTACTTACCTCCATATTAGTACACACACTTCCGGAGCGCATGTTATTACTGTATTAAACTTTGTGTATTCTGTTGCATTGGTTCAGCTTGTTCAAACGCATAAAATCCCTAAAGATGAAATAATAAACGATTGTACAATAAGATTGTTAAGAGTAATTAAAAACAATAATAATGAAAGTCGTTTGACAAACACTGAAATCTGGCAAGCTGGTCCAGCATATAAATTGGTTGGACAAGACATACGCTGATCAGAAACTTATGGTTCTCAAAAAATATTGGGAATTGCATACGTTCTTTTTCGAAATATTTTATTGGTACTTCTTGGTTGGTAATTCAAATTTATAGCAATAAATCTGGGTTTGTTGCTAAAATTGCAATGTTCGCAAATCTGAACTTCACACAAATCAAGTCTACCACACTTGTTGCGCTAAAATACACACATAAAATCATTTTGGGTTAATGATAAACATGCTATTCTCAGTCTGCTGGCTATTATGGACCATGGTGTAAAAGTGATAGTTTCTGAGCGCTTCTATATTTAACAGATTGAGTAACAGATATCCTGGCGGTCGGATCTAGGTCCACCCAGACGTCGCAGGCTTCTGAGAATTTCATCTTGTTCATATGTATGCATATTTGAAGGCTAGCGTAGCCTAAATGAATCGAGAATAAAATTTTCAGTGGTTAAAGATTGTATTTTTCACTAGAAGGCTATTACTTTTATTAGTTCCTAAATTTATGTGAGATCTGATATTGTATTCAAAATGCGCTGTTTAATTTTTTTAATTAGTGGAACTTGTTTTATGACACCGTGGCGGCTAGTACCAAAAGTCTCGCAGTAACAGATTGCATACCCGAGCTACGACTTTTTGGATTTCTTGTCCATTTATTTGAGCATTGCATTCTTGTTTATATTATTTGAAATTTAGCGCTAATAATGTGTTATTTTTTATGTAATTTTTCCAATAGATATTCTAAAATGTTCGAATTGAATATATTATACATAAAATATGATTTTATCAAAATTGAATTCACATTTATGTTTCAAAGTTTGATCAGGTATTTGCGTTCGATAGCGACACATTATTGCGAGCACTTTGTCCAGCATTACTTACTCGGGAAAGATCGTTTACAATTACCAATAGATCGCTGTACAACGCAACATTAAATCTTAAATCCCAACTCAAGTAAATAATGATAAATTTGTGCAAACGAAGCGACTTACATACAGAGGCCTGTTTGCTCGTTAAATAAAAAAACACGGCACGGCTCAGAGATAGTTACTGTAAATAGAGCTGTCACCAAATACCTGAGCGCATCGCTTGAATGAATTGTTTGTAGTGTTGGGACATACACAATAGGGAAACCCTGACTCACAAAACAAAAACCTTTGCTTCATATGCGACATGATTCGCTTATCTGGAATGAGTGTTTCAGTTCGCTTTGCGAGAAAAGAGGAAGTTTAATATTGAAGCGAATCGGAACAGTCTATCGTGAAAGCTCAAATAGACTAGTACCATTTATACAAGGATTAGATATAACAGTGATTGCGATAGTTGATAGTGTTTTGCTGTAGAACTACACGTTAAGATAGGAAAGGTGATCGAGGCGACGATGTGACCAAAGTCAGTATCTCTGGTCAAAAATAATACAATTACAGATGCATGTGCATTGGCAAGGATTGGAAGTGTTTGCTATAATAGTATAATGTCTATATTTTCTTACTGATAATTCAAAGCTCCAATCATTCGTCCTGATATAATGCAGGTGGAAGTAACTCTAAGTAACAAGTAACACAACAAAGATTAAACCATTACTTAGAAAAACTTCCAATTACCTAAATATATCCAATAATAAATTCGAATTTTGCCGTTATAACATATATTGAAGCTAGAATTTTAATCATTTGGCGTATCACGTTCGTTAACTATTCGAGAAAACCCCAAAAGGGGGAATGATAACTTTATATATATACCAAGACAATACGATATGATATTTTAAGTCCATGCATTTATGTACAAAACTCGGCGCTCCAGAAGTGCGTGTACCAATATGGAGGTAACTTGTTTTGTTTCGTTCAAAACCTGATATTTATCACTCTTTTGCGTATAAACGAGTTCATACTCGAATGATCATAACAATAACGCAGCGGCTGCAATCGTTCAAGCTTGTTATTTCACGACTAAGAATTTGCAAGTAATTTAAATTATTTTATTTTTCATTAATTCAAGTTTGAACCTTTTTTTATTCATATCAATACACAAATATAGGAGCTTATTTGTTTAATGTTGCCACACACGATTTAACATATTGCGCATTTCACTCGGCACGGTATACTTGTATCGAGCATGGACGAGCGTTGGTTATTGAACAAATACACAGAGTCGCATAGTATATACTATATGACGCAAGTGACGACTAAAAGCTATCGTTACATAAATTATAAGAGGGAATGACTATCGAGTGAGTATGATATAATTTTTTTATAAATCTTCTTTATTGTATCAGTTTATAACCTAGCAAAGAGTTACCAAGAAAACGATAGCAGTAGAATTAATTGCCTGTCAGCCTTTTTCATAATTTATGTAAGGATTTGAGTTCAGGTATACCAGATATTTGTTCACAAATTTCAGAATCTTCAGGCACATGCTGTGAATTTGTCGATAGATGATAGAAACTTGCAACGTGTTTGTATAAGTTGGTTATGTTTAACATAAATAAATACGATACTTTAGAGTTTAGATGACCTAAAATAGTCTACGGAGGCATGTCGGCTATTGGAATTGATCTTGGGACAACATATTCATGTGTCGCTGTCCTTAGGAATGAAAGAGTAGGTATTCCATTTTAGTAAAAGTTAGTATAGTAGTTTATTTCAAAATTTTAAATCATACATCATGTCTATTTCTTTCGAGTTTTCTTTCGAGAAACAGACAAAACAGTCAAAACAACGTTTCCTTATTTAGTAAAAAATCCATTTTAGGTTTCAGTTATAGCATTCAGCAAAACTTGGCTAAATATTAAAATTGTATTACAATCATTATGTTAATCTATTATTGATTTCAGATCGAAATTGTTCCAAACGACGAAGGAGACAGATTAACACCATCATGTGTTTCTTATTCCGACATCGAGGTATTGACTGGGAAGGCGGCAAAGGAAGAAATACCATTTAATTTTGAAAATACTTTGTATCGTAAGTAATTATTAATATACTTTTCTCTAAAATCGCGATGAATTAATAGTTATTTCATTCGACATTATTTCATTAGATTGGCACAAATATTTAAAAAAATATTCTCCTAAAGTTAGTATTAAAAAATTTAAACAATAAATAAATGTGCATGTCACTTGATACTTATCTTAAAACACATATCTGAAACACTTATTTCTTTAAACTATATATTCCATTATCATCCTATATTTTTCATAGAAATCAAGCGACTTATCGGCAGAAAATTCGATGATCCAAATGTCCAACAAGATTCAAAATATTGGGGATTCAAGATTATTAATCAAGATAATAGACTCAAAATACAGGTATGCATTGATCTCATGAAATTACATTCAAGTTTCAACTATATTACCAAGTGCACGCTTGTTTTTTATTTAACATAAAGCTTTTTAATATTACACTATAAGGCCACTTCGGCAATCATTATCATGTCAATGTTTATTTTGCTTAATCAATAACTAATGTCTTTAAACAATTCCCCATATTTAGGTGAATTACAAACATAAAGCAAAAACATTTTACCCAGAGGAAATTAGTGCGCTGATATTAAAGCATCTAAAAGAATCCGCTGAGAATTACATGGGTTCCAAATTCACCGACGCTGTTATAACAGTACCAGCTTATTTCAATGATTCTCAACGTAAGGCTACAAGAGAAGCTGGAAGAATAGCCGGTCTCAATGTTTTACAAATGATAAATGAACCAACGGCTGCGGCAATTGCCTATGGATTAGATAGAGAGGTAAAATAATCATCTCCAATGAATACAAAAGGTTTCATGTTAGATTTCTTGTTAAATGCAGTACTATATGGTATATTGATGTGAATTTATTAATAATATATTACTTTTTCAACATCTGTAACAATTTTTTTGACTACAGAAAAAAGACGAGCGCCACGTTTTGATTTTTGATCTCGGTGGTGGAACATTTGATGTGACACTGATTACAATAAAAGATCGAGTGTTTGATGTCAAAGCAACAGGAGGAGATACCCACTTGGGAGGTAATGTAATAATTCTGATTATTGGTAAAACATCTAAGAATTGCATTGATCGACTACGTCATCAGCTACGAATTAATAGTTTATTCATTTACTAAAAGAATGAAGATTTTTAGACTATATACATATTTTCTCCTTTTTAAACTCAACTTTACTCTTACTACTCGTTACTCCAATAATTACTAGGCATAACAAATTTGCAGGGGAAGATTTAGACGACAGGATGGTGAAACACTTTGTTGAAGAATTTAACGAACAAAATAAAGTTGATATATCAGAAAACAAAAGAGCAATGAGCCGACTTAGAATTCAATGTGAAGCAGCTAAACGAAAATTATCCGTAAATATGATAGCAAAGTAAGTTTAAGAAGCAATCTTTTTAAGCCTGCATCATTAACCAAATTCACAGCTGAGGTGAAGGTATTCAATTAACTCGTCATGCTAATCTTCGTCGATCACAGCATTGTTTTTTATTCTTGCGTTTGTGTAAAATTTATCATGAAGATACACTAATATACCCTGCGGAACTACATCATGCAGATAAAAAGTAAACTTTTACATTATAGAGTTCAAGTCGACGGCTTTCACAACGGGAAAGATTACAAAACAACTATTAGTAGAGCTAAATTTGAAGAATTGAACTACGATTACTTCGAGCAAATGCTCGAAGCAGTGGATGTTACACTATCTGACGCAAAGTTTAATAAAGAAAAGGTGCTGAAATAAATTAAAGGGACCAATAGCAATTCTATAATTTTAACCGCATTAGCAGAGAAATGTTGCCCAGGAATATTAGGCCTCGGCGAAAAAGTCTAGTAAAACAAAGATACCGACGGTCGATTCTTTAGAACTTAATACCTTCTCTTTGTATTGTAAATTTTTAGAAAGCATTTCATAAAAAGAAGATAGTAAATATCAAATGCCATGACCGATTAGTAAAAAATAAACAGTTTTTGGTGGAAAGATTAATAAAACAAAATGTTAGTCTTATTCCCCCCTTTACACACATATTTTTTAAATATATTTTGGTCATTTCTGTCTATTTATGATTTCAATGATTAAAGTTATTGACTAGACGAAAGCATTTTAAAATTTTCTCAAGTGTGATGAACGAATATTGCTTAAAAACTCTCAATATATTGCATTTTCTTAGTATTCATCATAATTTCAGGTTGACGAAGTCGTATTGGTTGGTGGATCAACTCGAATCCCAAAACTGCGTAATATGATCCAAGAGTATTTCAATGGCAAAGAATTGTATAAAACCATAAATCCGGATGAAGCTGTGGCACATGGGGCTGCCGCACTTGCTGTTGATCTTAGCACAGATGCATCTGCAAAAGTAAATACAGTTTTTGTTACATTTTCAATATAAAATTTTAATGAATGCGTTATGGACATGAAAAAATTAAAGAAAAAACTGCACTTATTTATACATGAGGCATTTTTATAAAATATTTAGAAGTTTTTTTATGGGGACAGAGTAATATTTTATATTCTGGGGACCACTTCATTGTAAAGCAACATTAACTCTATAAAACAAATTTGTCGAATACTAATCAACAAGACTTGTCTAGAATTTTGTATATTTTTGTAGTTCGATTGCCTTATTTGGTGACGACTAATTCAGAAAGTGTGCTATAGCAATACTATGTGAAATCCTAAAATTAAAATTTCAAGATCTCTGCAGCAATAGAAATTGCGTAAATTTAGAATGATAATTGATTTCTTGATTGTGCCCTCATATATGCGCTGTAAAAAGATGAATATATTATTTATTATCTATTTCAGATAAAAGAGTTTACTCTTTATGATATTGTGCCTTTGCCACTCGGCATCAACGTTGTCGGTGATATCATGTCGGTGGTTGTTAACAAAAATTCGAAAATTCCCTCTAAACACTACAAAACAGTCACCACTGTTGCTGATAATCAAACAGTAATTAGCTTTTCGGTTAGTATTGTTATCATTTCTAGTCGGTATAATTTAAAATTAGCCTTTGACAAATTGATTGAATTAAATCGTTTACTTCTATTGGTATATGTATATCTTTTGTACTTGAGAAGTTGGCCAAGATAGGCGTAACGTTGTGGTCTCCACAAAAGAAGGCTCATTTATATATATATATGTATGTATATGTGTGTGTTTGACAATGTAGTGGCATAATATCAAAATTTATTCACAATTTTGTTCAATATTTATAATACAGGTTTACCAAGGCGAAAGAACGTCGACCATGCACAACAAACACTTGGGCTCCTTCAGTTTATCGGGAATTTCTCCTGCCCCACGACGTGTACCCCGTATAGATGTCTGCTTTGATATCGATTCCAGTAGTATTTTAACTGTTACAGCAAAAGATAAAATTACTGGGAACAAAAACAATTTACAACTTGAAGCTGCTAAATTGAAACTTACCATGGAAGAAATAGAACTTATGGTAAGGTTTGAAGTTTATCATAAACCACAAAACCTCTGGTATTACCTTGCTATAAAAAAAGTAGCACAGATGTGAGACATTTTCTAACCTAACCAATATTAGCGTTAAAACGCTTCAATATATAAAACAGGTTGTTCCAAACCGCGGCCCGCGAGCAGCATGGGCCCGCCGACACGTTCCGTGCGGCCCCGCGGCCCACAAAACAATTTTAGCGTGCATTAAATCATTGGCAGATATTTTTATCCATTGGTAGAACATTTTTGAGTTATATTTAAACTATTCCAACTGGGAATAGCCCTTTTCCTAATTCAAATGCCGGGATTCATGTTTGTTAAAATCATGGAATTTCAATGTTGTATCTATAAACGTTAAGACGGTGCCAATGTGAGAATGACCTCCTGTGTTCGGTACAAGGGGAATGAATTGTGTGGTGCAGACAGAACTAAGTCGATGAGATGGGTTGCGCTTTTCATCTAAACTTCGCATCTCAAGCTCGCGTCAAGAAACTCCTCATTTGTAGAGACGTTTTGTGCCTTTATTTTAGTAAAAACACTCTATTTTCAAGCGTCGGCCATGTGACAGCCGTTGTGAACCGCAGAACTGAGTTAGCGCCACGCGATCCAGTCTTTTTTTATCTGGGTCCGGGGTCCCAACTTAGACGGACATGGTTGTTATTTGACGATAGCACCAGGCATGCTCACGCCACAAGTAATAAAATTAGTCAAATATAACAATTCATCATACAATGAGTATAAAAAACGTAAACTGTGAAGAAACAAGTCACGACAATTGTTTTCGAGTAATATCTATCACGAAAGAATATTATTTGAAGCGTCATTGCAAAACCAAACACGAGAAAAGATACCGAAAATACCACGAAAAGCAATTTTAAAATAACTAAAGTCTTTGTTTAGTTTTTTTTAAAAACTGATTGGAACGGTGATTTCTCATTTCTAAATATATTTGAAGTGATCAAATTTGCGATGTTTTGATCATATTTGGGTTCTCTACGACTGCGGCCCGCGAGACCTTCTCGAAAGTTTTTGGGGCCCGCCAATCTTGAACCTTGGACCTGATATAAAACATTATTGATTTATTCCTTGAGCTTTGTGGTTAAATGACAATGCATAAAATTCCACATCGAGCAAAATAATTTAAAATTTGAAATTGTAGTGTTACTCTTCCTAGGTGCAAGAGGCTGAAAAATATAAATTGGATGATATTGAGCTCGGAAACATCGCAGACATGAGAATAAATCTGGAAACTTTGGTTTTCAACGCAGAGGAATCCGCCATTTTTCTTGATTCACAGGGAAATTTGAACAAAGAAGATAAATGTATATTATTGAATAAATGTGAATCAGTTTCTCACTGGCTAAACAAAAACAAGGTGATTTTTGATTTTTGTTGGTAACAAAAACAATTTTACTTTTTTCTTATATAAATGCCAAATTCTTCAAAAATTACAAATTCAGTTAAATTTAACCAGTCTTGAGTACGAGAGGTTTAAAGGAGTATTGAAATCTTATACATTTCTTTCAGAATGCTTCAAAGGAAACTCTATTTCAACAACAAATTGAATTTCAGAATTGCTGCCACCCAATATTCATACGAATATGCAGGGATAAACAGGTATTTCAATTATTTTTTTTTTTTCAAGGTTTCTGGTTGAAAAAGTTATTCGGTTATAATTTATTTTTCGAAAATAAACAGACAAAACCAGCTTCAGGATAAGTACAAAGTAAAATCTAGCTTGATTTATGAATTATCCTACAAAATTTCAATATAAATATTAGGAATGATTGCTATTTGCAGATTAGCATTAATAAAATATTATAGTTGAAAAAATAACTTGACTCACAAATGTCACAATAATTGTTTTCGAGAACTTTGAATATAAATTATGTTTAAATAATTTGTGTAGGACTGTGCGTACATAAATAATCAGGGGCGCAGCCAAAATTATAGAGGGTGAAAAGTTGTAGAGAAAAGTTTAATGTAAGGGCCCATGGTACTTTTTCGCGTTTGCGCCAATTCTTCAAATAGCTAACAAGTTTGCTAATAATGATTATTTTCTTACACAAAATGTTTAATCCATGGTCAAAACGAGCATTTGAAATGTATTGCTATAATAATTTTTCTATAATAATTGCTATAATAATCTACGGACAAATAAATTGTTAACTTGTTTCCATCAAAAGTTCAAGCGGTATGCATAATTTGTCTAATTAATATTTATTTCAGATTGCAGATGGTATTGCATCTGAAAACAAGAAGATAGAATTCAATCAAATTCGCATAGAACAAGACAAGGTACAATTACACACCGCCAAATACAAATCGATTAACGATTATTCATGATTATTACGATTTAGAGGTGGCAAATATTTTGGCAATTAGTTTGAAACTATTTGACTATTTTACTGCATGCATGCAAAATTTGTTATACTCGTGTTTTACATAAAATTGCAAAAACAAAAATTAGAACAATATTCAAAATATTAGATAAACTCGTCTAGGTTTTTCCGATATTTGGATTTATTTGAAAATTGAAAGTATTTGTAAAAACACCACTTAATATTAAACAGACTGCTCTCTGTGAAATATTGTTCAGATATGCTTTTAGGATTTCTGACTTAACTTAATATAGATTCATATACGGTAATGATTGAGACTAAATAGCTATAATTAAAGATATAAAATTTTATTGTTAATTTGTGCATCGTTTCTTTGAATTTATTTTGAATTTATTACCTAATTTAAATTCAAGATCTTTCGTGAGCAGCTTCAAAAGTTGGCGCAAAGTGTAGATAGCAATATCAGTAAGGTGAAAAAAAGAGACGAAGAATTGAATAAACTGCAAAATGAATTCATTATAATCAAACAATGGATATCTGCTAATAAGTTAAAAGCGATAGCATGAAAAAAATTTGACGCTCAAATAGATGAATATTATTTTTTGTTAAACGGCAATCACAAAGCGTTGCGTTTTTTGTTTTATATGACTAAAACATTTTCTGCGTTATACTTTGACAATATGCGCTGCCTCTCTTTTTATGGAACAACTGCATGCAGTTTTTCGTATGTATCGTATTTATCTTTGGACTATGTAAACATCAGAATAATTTTTGTTAATTCTTATTCAGTTTTATAATAGATATGTTGTAATGTACTGATTTATGAAACAAATGGAAAAAATCGTGCATGAAAAGGGTTCAGGTTAGATAATTTTCACAAAACATTTTAATATAGGTGTCAGTCAAAAGCGAGTATGAAGTAAAAATACAACAGTTGAAAAACATTCAACAATCCGTTTCAAACAAACTAAGCGATGAAGGAAAAGTAAGTTTTTTTCTGTTTCTGAGTTTTCTACCAATGTGCTATTAAATGTAAATCACGAAATATAAAACATTTAGGTTTTAGAAAAACATGTATGAACTTATTGATCTAAATATATAGGTTATTATTAATTCTTAGAGTCTTGCAAAAATTAAAACGGAGTATCATGACCAATTGAAACAAAACATTCAGGTTTTTTATACTTTAATTCGTTTAAATAATGGAATTTGTGTGTTGTATGTGAATATGATAGACAAAAAAGAAACAACTGAATTATCAATATTGATAATACCTGCACAAATTAATATATATGCTATATTTTTTTACTTGCCTTTTTGGCGTTATTCAATTAAAATTAATTAAAATTACTCATGGTTTAAGGCATAAACAACAATATAACAAAAATTAAATGCTATTGTTTTGATATGATGCCTTTTAAGCATGGCCAAAGAAAATTTCAATTCCGTACAACAGAATTTACAATCAGACGTGAAAAAATATGTGGGACGAATTAGGCATTTTGTCGAAGATTATCCATACTCAGAAATGCTCTCTTCCGAGGAAAGAAAGATGCTATTGGAGCAATACAGTGAAGCCCTTTGGATTGAAAATTACCGGGTATTTTCTTGTGTCCTCAATTTATTTAGGAAAAATAGTATAAAGAGGTCAGAGAGCCATCCAATTTTGACAATTCTTGAATGCGGCATTATGTAAACGTGGATAGCGCGAATAGAAAAATTATATGATCGGTCATATTTTAGGCACTATAAATCAAATTGATTAAATATTTTTTTATAGCAAATTCGAAGCTGTTATTTTATCTTGTGTGAAAAACGTTATTTTAAAAAAAAACTGAAAATGTCTAAAGTAATAAATGATTGGCAAATGTGGTGAATGAACAATATAAATATTTGTGATAATTTAGAACGTTACAAGCATAGAAATACGCGAAAAGCTGCAACAGATAATTGAAGTTTGTGAACCCATATTTGAAAGATTACTTCAGGTAAATTATCCTATTATTTAGCTTTAATTTATGTCAACCTTATGTTTCGCTTGTACGATTTAGTATCAGCAATCATACAATAACCAACGCTATTGATAACTTTATATATTATAATTAGAATTATAATTATACGCTAATAATAAAATTTGAATACATTTTTGGAACTGATAAAACATTTTTGTTTTAATATATGTGGAGGGCATAACGATGCAGTATAATTGCCCTTTTTTATTTTTTATCTACAAATACATAGGAAATATTTCGGGTAAATATTTCACGTTTTATATCTTATGGACTTATAATTGTTTTTATCTTTTATTTGAAACATCTTAAACAGACATAGAATATGACATTGAATAAATTTACCTAGCTTTAGCCTGAATCGCGGTCAATGTATTTGAAGAGATTTCGATTTGAAATATTAAACAATACTATCAATATTATCGCCAAATAAACTTACATTTATCATTCTTTATTTTATTCAGATGAGTGAGAGAGAAAGACAAAAACACCCCAGTACGATCACACCGGTAAAATGATAAGGCAATATAATAAAATTGAAAAAAATTATTAAATAATAATTCCATAGTTTGGAACGATTATTTGAATATTTGGAAGTTGATTGCTGTTTTTGCAGTACAAAATTTGCTTACAAACAATTAAAATTCTGAAAAACGAAAAATATATTACACTATTACTATTAATTTGTGGAAAGCGTAGAATACAAGAAGTATATTTCATGTGATTCCCTGCTTGGATGAAAATCTCAGACTTTTGTATATAAAATATTCTACAGCAGGGGTCGGCAGCCTTCTGTCGTATACGGGCCAAAATTGAAGGCTGCAGAGGTATATTGAGGTATATGTAAAAAAAAAAAAGTTAACAACAAGAACAATTACAACAACAACATAATAAAATTCTGAAAAACGAAAAATATATTACACTATTACTATTAAGTTACAGTTTGAGTCAGTCAGACTGAGTGGAATTATCGTGCGGAATTTTGCCAAGGAATTATTATTTGACTAGTAGAATTGTCATTATTGCCGACTTATTTAATCACAATTTGAACTCAAAATAGCATTCAAGATTTACGCAATGACTTTGCATGGTTTTTATTCACTATTCAATACGAAAATAAAACAGCCACAATAAAAAAGTAAAATCAAGAAGGTCAACTATCGTCTTCAAAAATATCCGCATTCCGGCGTCAGAAACGATAATATTTTCAGCTCAAAAATAAGACAGTTAATTTACAAACAGAAAGATGACAGAAAGATCGTGATCGTGACGATTCCTAACGTGAAAAGATACGTCCAGCGGTGAAAATTTTTTATAACAATTTTAAACCGATTTAGCGTTTTTAGCGATAGTAAAATATTGTTGTAATGAAATACAGTTTATTTGCCTCTTTCATTTCTGTCGCAAGTACCGACAATAGCACTATTGAATGATTTTGGAAATGGGAGAAACTTATTGAATTGTAACAAAAATGAATAAGTTGTGAAAAATTGACAATACATATGATAGTAATAAAGGCGTAACGTGGAACGACGAGCAAAACCCAAGCGCGTGATCGGCGGCGCGTTTGAGGGCCACGTATTATCCGTGCGGTCGCGCAACGTTTACAACAATGTGAGGTGCTCCGAAGACGCTCTCGTTTACATTAACGTAAGAAAACGGTTGTAATATCGGTAACTATTAACCATTTGTTCGCGTTCGACTATCGCACTCTTTATGAGTAGAAAATGTTCGTGTTTTGTGATATGTGTGCCGCGATATAGAAAAGGTTGGGAACCTTTCTTGTTAGAAGAATACCGGTACTACAAATCAATGAGAGTTAAAAAATCATAAAATTAATGGACATGAAGTCAATACTTTGTATTTTGCAATTAATATATTTATATTGGGATATATTTGGCGGACCGGCAGCAAGGTTGTCGCGGACCGGCGGTTGAGAACCACTGCTCCAACTGATGACTCGCAAACGTATATCCTAACTTACAAGTCTTCGGCTCCAAAAGTATGTTTACCAATATGAAAGTAACTAATTTTTTCAGCCTACTTTGCATCAAGCTGTGTAAAGTGACTGAAACTTATGGGCAGGGAATATATTCACTTGGCCAATATAGAATGTCCCAGTACTTTTAACGAAATAAAATTAAAAAAAAAATGGAATAAAATTATGATATAACCCAAATTGTTACACATACTACGGGAGTACTCAGTCGTCGTTGTCATTCAAACAAACATTTAGTTTAAAACTTCAAGGTTGGTCATAACAAGCTAAGATATTTCTATCCCACAAGCAGAAAGCTTTTAAAACCTTTATCATGTGCGATTAACAATTTCAACGTAATTTACCTTAATTTAATAATATTTAGCAAAGAAGCTGTAAAAATACAGTTAATAAATGAAACACAGCAAATACGAGGAAAATTTTATTATAACAATGCATTAATGCTATATTTCATTTGTCAGAATGCGGTTAAACGGTTTTCGGAACCAGAAAGAAAGGAAAGTTTATCCGAAAGAAAAATACGACCCGAGGTATGATTTTAAAAATTCAATCATGACGTTTGTTAGAAAATAAATTTACGATTTTCATTCTGATACATTTTCAGACGCCAAAACGACCAAATAAAAGTACCAGGCACATACAATATCACGAGCCCAAAAGAGAAGATATACATCAGGATAAAAAGGTAACACAGACAAAATAACGAGGCAAATGTAAACTTGGTCTCATTTATTTCCTATTCGATATGGACTGCTTGCTATAAATGTTTCTATATATCAAATTATATTTTCCTATGGCATCATTTTTACGTTATATTATTATGCATTTTCTTTGAAAGTCGGTAAAAATAGATTTATTTGTTTCTTTTGCAGTCAATGTCAGCTGAAAACAGAAACAGGCAGATAGTCGGCAATGGTCAGAGTCAGTATAAGTCAAAGATATCTTCGCTTCCGAATTCTGTAAGTTATAAGTCGAAAATGAATAAGTGCATTTTCAAAACGTAGAAAAGTGATAAAATGCATTTGAAAGGTTTTTTCGGTAACATTGTCTCATCATTATCTTCTTGAATTTCTGCTTACTAACTCCTCATTCTTCTTCTCTGGTATTCGCCGATGGGTCCGTATGCATATAGTGTAAGAATGATGTAATACTATTTAATTTCTAATGAACGTCTTTGCTCAGATGAAACGTTAACTATTTATATTTGTGTTAGTGCGCAGCCAGAATTTTGAATTCCTCGTAATAGTCAAAATAGTTTTCAAAATTTCCATTCATGAAAGATCATATGAAATATATTTCCAGCGTGTTAAGATTGAATTTCTTTCCGGAATGAAAAAACCCATAAACTAAAATAGCGTACCGTTTCCTCGTCTTCATGTCTTATAATTCTTTGATTCGCATCCTCACTTGAAAAAGTCATTTCAACTTCACATTTATTTCCTGTTTTAGTAACTATTGCTTGCCTTCGCTTTGAATGAGGCTATGTGCAAGAAGACGCTGACATGTATTATGGTGCCAAGCTTCTGTGCAAAATATGTATCGCCTAACAAATCTATTATCCCTGAGTTAGATATTTCAAATCTTCGAATCGCATACGCAAACCGCTGGACATGTCGTTGTTAATTTTCCATGGACATAATTCTTATAATATTTAACTTTAGCCAAAGCCTTCTAATATTGGAAATACGAAGAGGAACGCAACTCCAGTACTGAATAAAAATAACTATTCGGAAAAACTTCATGTAAGTAATCAAGCAAACTAACAACGAGTTGAACAATTTTATTTTAAATTCTTATGACAGAGTTGTTTATTTGTAGAAATTTGATACAGCTTGGAGTTCCGGATTTTGTGAAGGCGATAGATTTCAACCAGAGGCCTTACACATAAATTGAGATTTGTCATTCGTCAGTATCAAATTCTCTAGGCTTTGTTGTAATTGATTCAAGCAAAGCCCTTAAAATTAATTATGCATAATTATTTATTCGCAAATATTGTATAATATTTTAGTAAAGGAATTTCAAATTTGTTAATTTGTTAAATTTGTTAAATTTTAAATCAATATCGCTGCAGAACCATGGAGTTATAAGCGCCATAAAACATATAACAACAACAAGCATCTTCCAATAACTAATGGTAAGCAAGAAGCGGAATCTTTTGAAAGAACCGAAACTTTGACAGCTGGGTGTTGCATATTCGATTTGTTACACACCAGACTAGTGGCCGTGGTATTTTAAACCAAGATGTAAAACTTGCAATGATGGGGAAGTTCAAACAAGTTTAGTGCTTTAACTACTGAGTCATTATGTAGTGGTTGGTATAAAAAAATTTAACTGATCAATCAAAGGCGTTCAGAATTTCAAGAAATATTGCGGAAACATTTTCAAATCAATTTTTCTATTTAATATTAACAGCAAGAGCAATCAACCGCCACCAACCGCCAACAACTCCCCAGCAGAATTAAAAATCAAAATCAATCAGATCTGTCTAATTACACGGTAATCACACCTGAAGGCCAGAACTTTTCTGTCCAAGTAAGCCGGCTGCACATATATATCTATGAAACTATTCGGCCATAAGATGCTGGATTTAATATAGACCTATGGAGCATCAGTGATTCATGAAGCCACTCAGGCATCAATCTATAGACCAGTGGTTCTCAACCGGGGACCGATGGCTCCCCAATGGGCACACAGAGTAGTTCAAGGGGACCACGACACAAGGCTAATAATTTTCATAAAACGAATTCGTTTGCATACTCATCTTTCCCCGTTTAGGTGTTCACTGAGTTTCATTATCTAAATAGGTTTTAATTGCGATCACAGAGTGCATTCACTTTCTTGTGCATGAATCGTTGAATTGGCTTTACCAAAATGAATCGAATTGAGAGAGAATGTGCTCAATACCTGCATTGCTCGTATGTAATGAGCAATGAGTAATTACGTCCATCTAAACTCCAAAACCACCGTGATAAAAAACATACTCAGGGTAATGAGGTTGACGTCGTCTTCTTGGCTGCCAAGCGAGTAAGATTTGACAAGAACGCAAAATTGGCCAAGTCTGTTTTTTTGTCGAAAAAAAACGGTCTTCAATGCAGCGATGAAGTGGCATATCGTATTTTTACACACTACTTAGCAATTCAGTTTGTCACAGCCTATACCAGCTATATCAAAACAAAATATAGAAACTGTCCTGATGTTGACAGTTCCAAATATGAGGAATCTCGTCAGACAGTCCCAAGCGCAAGATTCCCATTCATTGTATACTAAAAAGTTTGGACTTTTTTGTCTGTGGCTTGTTTTTGCATTTCATAAAAGTTCATAAAATATAATACAATCCAACACGTTTAGTTTTTTTTGCAAGCGTGAACAGGTGGGCCACGAGTTCAAAAAGACGCTGGAAGGGGGCCACGAGGCATGAAAGGTTGGAAACCACTGCCCTAGACTTGGAGCCAAAAACATTTTATTAACAATATTCCCAGTATTACAAAAGCAAAAAAGGAAAACAATGTGACGAAACTAAATTTATTCGCAATTTTACCAAATTTCTCGAGTTATATTTTCTTTTAGTTTAGTTTTAGTTTGGTTGTCGCTGCTTCAGGCGGCCAGATTGAATTACCAAACGGACTGGATTTAGCCCGCGGGACGTAGTTTGCCCATACCAGCTCTAGAATATGGTGAGTCCCTCGTACAAAGTTCCTTACAATTTACAAATATAAATTGTTAATGTAGGGAAAACAGATGCCGAAAGTGAGACATAAACCAGCAGCAACACCGGCGCCACTGAGAAATGATGCAGATTATGATAAAAAACGCAATCGACAGGTTATTTTTTATAATATTAATATAGTTTTATTGACCTCCGTAAGGTGTCGTAATTCCAATGAGATGTTTCACACTTTTCTAAATAAATAATTCAACCAAGAGCCAACTAATAAGTGGAGAGCTACTAATTATACCAGCTTTTGTAACGGCCCGGCATATAAAAATATTAAAATAAGATACACAACGTGGTATGCAATCGAGATCTTTTAAATAAAATCCATGTTTTGGTTAAAAAAAATTACCTACATGGAATTTTTCTTTTTTCTTGAGAATAATCTGGTAATTAATATTCTTGCTTTTTACATTTAACATGTTGCATTTATAAAATAAGCTTGACAATTTCAATTAGGATCTGAGAAGCCTCGTCTCTATTATTGAAGGAATGTTTGAACAGTACGATACGGCAGATAGACAAAAACTTTGCGTGAAATGCAACGATACCAAAAACTGGCTCAAGAACGTAAGTCATATAAAAATTTGATCTAAAATATATTATGACGAATTCTTGCTTTATTGTTATCTTATTGCTTTAGAAAAATCCAAAAGAGTACACAGAAAAGTGGAACAAACTCCACAAAGATTGGCAAATTGTCGTAAAAAAGTATTCCGAGCCACGACCATCTTCTGGATGGAAAAAATAACGATTGTATAGTCAACGAATCCGGATAGATCGAATATCATATGATTGGTATTGAGATTGTGATGAGATCGTTATTTTATTAAAGCAAAACAATCAAACAGAAATCTTATATTTATTTTTTTAAATGATAAATATTGTATCACGTAAATAATTGAACAAATGTTACTTGGATTAGTATTCAGTAAACGAACAAGTTTGTACAGTATGTGATTTTAAGGATAGGGAAAATACAAGAATAGAAGAAGTGCACACGCAAATATGTGACGACTTGCTAATAATTAGTGAAAAGCAGGGCCCGATTTACCAAAGTAGGCGGATTCATAGGGGCATTGACATCCAATTTTGAACTATTCAATTAATAAGGGTTGCAACGAATATTTACCGTATAATTTAAAATATAAAAATTAAGTAAGTTCGAATAACTGATTTTGTCTAAATTTGGAAATCTCCACCTATTAACCTTTGAAACATAATATGCTAATTTAGACTAATTGGACAGTTTTTATGAAAATAATTATTATCTCATATTTCACTTAATGGCATAGCCTAGGTAGGGCCTCTCATTGTCTAAATCCGGCCCTGGTAAAAGTATGATGATAACAAACCCTCGTGTCATGATATCGGTTGTTCTGCAATATTGAATAGATGACCGCAAAAATAGCATTTCAGTAATTGACATGATGCCCTAGGCCTTCCTATATTGCCATGGGGCCCATGAGTGATAGGATTCAAAATTTCAACAACGGGTTCTCAGTTGTATCTAACTCACTAACATAGGTTCCCTCAGAAAAAACACGCCGGATAGCTATAGCTTCAAAATCAAGAGCGGGTTGGCTGTTTTCACAAATGCCACAACAGGGCTCATCCGGACAGGTTTATGCATTTTTAGGCATAATTGAGCAGAAAAAAGGATATTTCACTAAAGGTTAGACAGGAACATAGGAATGATAAAGTCCGCGCGGTAGCAATTATTGCCCATACTAAACCTAATGTTAATTTAAGAGAGCTAGCAAATTAAATACATTGTTTTATTCATAGTCGGTGTTTTGGTAATTCTATCAAGTATATGCAGTTGTATGATCTTTTGGATGGTTTGTAACCGTATAACGATGTAACTTCGGTCCGAAAGTTGGGCGGTACACAGCGATCTATTTGCTCTTTATGCTTGTATAAATACTTCTTAGCTAAACTTCAATTTGTATAAGATTGAAATATCGCACAAGTATAGCAACGCCTGAATTATTTTTACAAGCTTACTCATTCCTTTCGCTCCGAAATAGGTCGTGTACTGGCATCCACTGTTATCTAACGATATGTTAGGAGGTACTATTATTTGAAAGGCCATTTCATACACTCTGGATGAGGTAGTGTCGTGAGACTTGAACCCAAGATGGTTAATCTGCTATTCCAACGCCGTTGCGTTTACGCTCGGCCACCGCGCCGCCCCCTTTGAAACTTATGCAATCTCTGAAACAAACCCAATTATTGCTACTGTTCTGTATGCTGACGACTATTTAAATAACATATTATGGAAGATCTCAAATTGGAAAGTGCCGACATACAGGAGATCTCTAAATATCAATCTGTTGTCGTAAAAACACAACCCTCACACCTGTCAGCATATATGACCTTTGATTGGAAGTAGTGGGGTATTTTACAAATTTTAATTTAAAAACTGATCAATATTTTTTTTATTGTTAAAAAAAATAATAACTAAAAAAATCTATAACAATTACATAATTTAAAAAAATACAAGACTAATTTTTTCATTAATTGCTTTGTTATCTGAAACTTTTCAATACAATACATTTGAATGTCGTTTATTTCTATATTTCAAGTAATAAGCACATATAATACTGATTACATAATATTTCCAAATCATAATTGTTTTAATATACAATTTTGAAACGTTCTGTTGTATTTTAAGTGTTAAAACTACAATCGTGTCGACTCAAATTCCACTTCTTTTGAAGGTGTTTGGTCTTCTTTTGCCTTTCCGTCTTTTTTTTTGACTATTTCACTTTTCTGGTAACAATAAAATCAATACTTCGAATAACAGACAATATTTAGGGACTTCTAGAATAATTTTGAAAACTGAAAATAATTAATATGAATGATATTACAAAATCTGACATTTTTTGATATATCAGAAAAACAATTTGACAAAAAACAAACAAATAAATTCTACTATTCTACTGATATTAAATTTGGTACTCCCGTAGTATGTGAATCGTAGTGTGAATTTGTAACCGAACTCGTAATACAACTAAAATAAGATAAATTGGAATAAAATTATGACCTAACTCTAACCTGGTACACATACTACGTTTCGGTGTCGGCCATCTTGGTTCATATATTACGGGAGAACCTTAAATTTTATGTTTTAGTTATTTTGAATTCTTCTTTTGAAGTCAATACTTCAAAAAACAGACAATATTTAGTGACTTCTAAAATAATTTTAAAAACTGAAAAAAATTAATTAGATTGATATTACAAAATCTGACATTTTTTAATATATCAGAAAAACAATTTGACAAAAAACATACAAATAAATTCTACTGATATTATATTTGGTACTCCCGTAGTGTGCGAACCGTAGTGTGAACTTGTACCCGAACTCGTAATACAACTAAAATAAGTTAAATTGGAATAAAATGATGGCCTAACTCTAACCTGGTACACATTCTACGTTCCGGTGTACTACGGGAGAACCTTAAATTTCATGTTTTAGTTCTTTTGAATTCGGAATTCTTTTTTTTTTCAAATAGGTGTTCCATTGCCATATGTTAAATCCTATATTAGTTAATTATTTAATTAATTAAGGAGCTTTTTATTATTAGGTTATTTTCATTCCAAACGCTTTAAACAAAATTTTGATACAAGAGAAAATGGTTCATGATGAAATTTTTTACAATTTATAATGTCAATCTCAATTACCAAATAAATTGGGTAGGAGCGTACTTTGATCAATACTGCGTTTCTCCAAAAATAAGACTGGGTCTTATTACAATTCTCTTTCAAAAAATAACACTTGGGCCTATTTTCGGGGGATGTCTTTCGGGGGATTAGGTAGAAAATTACGAGATTTTTAAATATACAAAATATGAAAACCGATATCCATTTACTTGATATCGATTTAAAAGAACTGCAAAACATAGATTATCAATCTATCAAAACGAGTAGAGATTTATTGCTATCGACTAGATCAAAAATAATTACACGTTATTGACCAGGTCTTGAATTTTAGGGGGAGAGCTTATATTAAAATCCATTTTAAAATTCAGGCTAGATCTTATTCTCAGAGTATGTCTTATTTTCGAGGTAAACACGGTATGCTATATATTTTCATTAAAATGGTCGTAGTAATACCATAAAATTAAAGTTTACAGGAGTTTTGCGTGTGGATGTAATTTTATATACGGAAGCGCTTATGCTTGCATTAGCTTAATTTGTGTATAAAGCTATTTAGTATTTACTTATATGCTATTTTTGCTTATTATGTTGTTGCCAGTTTTGTGCTTCAGCTCACTGTAGTGAAAATCAAAATTATTTTTCTCGTTGAGCACACGAAACCTACGTAAGCATGCAACGATACCAGTGGCGTATATAGGCACTCCCGATTTTTTTTTTGACGCGGGCAATTTTTTTTTTGTATATTAACTTAATATGACGCTAACTTGTGTCTTTTGATACTAAAAATGCTGGATAAAAGTAACCACACTCATCTGCTTTGATTAGTTCGTTTGGAAAAAGAATTATTGAAAGCGAGCCAGAAAAAAGTTCAAAATATTAACACAATTTTAAACCACGAAATATAAGACCTTTTTGGTTGGCTTTTGTTTCACACTTGTCCGGTCTGTCCGGTTGAGGATTCCTTCTTATGGTATTTTAAGTTTTTTTTTATTCAGCTCCTTGAGATATTGTGCATAACTAAGGAAGCTAAATTTGCTCGTAAATTATGTAGATAATAAACTGTTCAATATTATAAAACGATTTACTACCATATACCAAAATTTAATAAAATATTAACCAAAAATTCTAATGCTTGTACTACTTTGTTTTATTAGAACCACGTAACACAATTATTCGGTGCAACTTTTTCATTTTTTAATCATTGATAAATTGATATTAATTGTAACATACAATAAAATAAAAATAATAAATGAATTCTTGAGTAGTTTTCTGTTCTCACTTTATTGAAGAAGAGAGCTGTTCAAATTTATCAAAATTTATCTTTGAGGTGAGTCGTTTCAAATTACTCTAATAATATCTTTCCCATGAACAATTCGCTATTTATTTTACACATAATTATGTTTTGCTTTAAATTACAAATTATAATAATTTGTATTGTTACAAAAACACTACCTTCGATTTGGAGTTTTGTTGTTCTTCTTTTTTTTTAGCTTCAAATTTTCTTTCTTTTGCGACTTCTTTTAGTTGTTTTAGGTTTTCTGTCATCTAAATTATAGTTTGTTAGGAGTTCGATTTGATAGAGGAAATTATTACAATTTGGTAAAATTGATATTCTATTAATGTTTTACAATTTTTTCTCATTGCACAAAGTACATAACATACTAATATTTATAGATTCTTCTTCTTCTGATTCAATATTTGCACTAGACATGTAAAACATTGTTTATAAGTGTATAGATATTGTAACAGCGTTAATATCAGAGTATTATTATCTATTTCCCAATTTAAATTTTAAAAAAATGCATTTTTTTAAGATTATTTTGGTTTCTTTTTGGATGAGGTTCTTCAAAGCCTCAAATTCTTTACTAAACCCTTTGCCTCTTGAGTGAAGTAATTTCGGATAGAATATATCAAAAGAGAGATATAGAACCAAGAAAATATCTTACAGTTGAAAGTTAGCTTGAGTTTGAGACTTTATCACAAGGACAACATTTTAGTATTTTACCTCAGTTGAAGTTGGATTTGTGTTCTTGGATGAAAAGTTTGGTTGTTCAATTTTCATATTCGTGTTGTCACTTTTTCTCTCTTTTCTGTCAGATTGTTCTAGCTATAAAATCAAATTTGAATAATAGTAATTAAGTAAGAAATCCTGCAAGTATTGTATTAATCGTATCAAAAAA